CAAGTATTCATAGAAGAATCCTGTTGTCAGAAAACGCACTGACTCATATGCATCACGCATGCACCCTTGCAAAAAGGGAGGTCATGCAAAATTAGTAGACACCACTAAATTTGGTGAAACGTCCGCGAAATTCACTTGCAAGTAGTTCCAAGTGGTGGATGAGCACAGTCACGAAAATAGGAAAAGCTCTACATCAGTTGTCTAATAAAGAGGTGTACCAACCCAAGACCACCTGCGCCAACCGGTCTAAAAACATTGTCTCGCCTCATTGGTTCATAAGGTGATGATCAAATAAAAGTAGCAAATATGCAGTGACATTTCTGTACGTAAAGCCTCGAACAACATATTACTTGCAGTACATCGAGTACTTTTGTTGCCAGCAATAGGCTCCAGGCTTTAGCTCTGCCAAAGATAGAGAGGTTATGTGGAATAAACGTCTCGGCATAGCGCTTCAAGGTGGGTACAAGTTCTTTCCAATAATGTGCACTTAATCAACATGCATTCTACGGAACGCCTAGGTATATTGGTGGAACACAGAACCACTCTATACCCTGAAAATAGGCTGGTTTATAAGTACAAGGGCCAACCCACTGTCCCAAGCTTTTAGCAAAGTTCATTCGCGCCCTTAACTTTTTTTTAAATTAACCGATCATTGACAGCATCATTTTCGTACTAGAACGATCTGTACGAAAGAACCCTAGATCATCCGCATACACCAATACCTTTACCGCAATCCCATAAACACTGAAAACGCGTACGTTACTATATCAACTTACCCTTAAGCACAATGGCTCCCAGTAAAGAGCAAAAAGCATTGGCAACAACGAACAGCCTTACTTCACGGCCGAGTTAAAAATCACCGGCTTTGACAGATGGCCATTAACAATTAGTCAGGTTGAACATTCATTTTGTAGCATAGTTTTACACTTTTAAACATAGGGGAGACAACGTTGACATGTTCGAGAAGAGAAAACAGAAAATAATGGCGAACCCGATCAAAGGTCTTCACTAAGTCTACACTTGCATTATTGCTAGTTGTTCATATGAATGTGAGCGATGTTCCAATACTGTGCTAGTAGGATGTATGCTAGACTGTATTGAACGACCTTTTAGACCGCAGGTCTGATGGACACTGATAAGTATCGACACTGCAAATGGAAGTCCGTTTGAAAGCACTTTTGGAAAAACAAATTATAGTCAACGTTGCACAATGTAATTGGTCTGTAGCCGTCAACATGACTGTGTTTTTCTCTATATGAGTATTTTGGGTTTATAACAGTGCGAGTATAAGATCGAGGAAGTGTCTCTAGATTAAAACGCTGCGTGAAAATGTGAAGCAATACAGGGCACAGTAGTGATTTATGTTTCGTAAAATTCGCCGGATATTCCATCAGGTCCTGGCATTTTCGACAATAGTATCTGTTCAATGGCAAGATATATTTCTTGTAGTGATTGACCCGCTAATAGATTCGCATTCCTCGTCAGTTAGAGGAGCCACAAATGACAAAAACTTCCCCACCAGATCTTCATTTTCGTTTTCAGAAGATGCGCTGAACAATTCTTTGTAATAGGTTTCCAATTCTGACATAATGTCTGGGAAATTACTGACCACTAATCATTCCAAATAAATATCAGGTATATGTTTGAATTTAGCGCGGTGATATTCATCGAATAAGGCTTGACGTGTGGGCACCTCCGATTGCAAAGTGCGAGTATTGCGTGATCTAACACGGGGATATCTGCAACGTAAAGCGTCATACCTCTGAAGTGCGCTATTGACATTGATTGATTGATTGATTGATTGATTGATTGATTGATTGATTGATATGTGGGGTTTAACGTCCCGAAACCACCATATGATTGTGAGAGACGCCGTAGTAGAGGGCTCCGGAAAGTTCGACCACCTGGGCTTCTTTAACGTGCCCCAAAATTTGAGCACACGGGCCTACAACATTTCCGCCTCCATCAGAAATGCATTCCGCCGCTGCCGGGATTCTATCCCGCGACCTGCAGGTCAGCAGCCGAGTACCTTAGCCACTAGACCACCGCGGCGATGCGCGCTATTGGCATTAGCAATTACGCTTGTATAACAACAAGGAGCCTCAACCCAAATCTATATAAGTTTTGAATATTTTGCTTCAGCATTTTTGTCGTAAATTTTTTTCAAAGCCCCTCACAGATCCAATTTCTATAGCTATAGCCCGAACGTCTTGTTTGAAAAATTCCCAAGAGGCAAACAAAGGCGTGTCGGCTGACAAACAGCTCTGCAGTGGTATGCGAACGCGATCAGCAAACTCTTGAGCGAGTGAGATTGACTTTGTTTAAACATATCCTGAGGAGGCTGAGAGGAGGCTGAGAATTAAGGTGCACTACGACCCTTAATTCAACCTGAAGGCTCCGCGCAGGATGTCGCTGGCAGCCGAAGGCTTGTAGCGATGTCCCGGGCCCTCTCGACCACCTCTAGTTGCTGCTTGTATTCGTTGCTCTTGAGGGCATTTTGCCAAGCTTCTTGGGTATTTAGTTGTGCTGCGCTGTGAGAAGGGCACAGCCAAAGCATGATCAACTCCTGGTCGTTTACAAGTGAAGAGTTGAGTTTCCGAGCGTTCACTAAGGTCTGAAATGGGACCGAATGTTGCTACCTATCTCACCCACAACAATGCAGTGATCTGAAAAGGAAATAGGCTCCATTCCGCAGGACACGTCACGGTATACAAGGGGTGCTGAAACGTAAATGCGATCAAGTCGCGTATGTGTAATGCCTTAAGGATGTGTACACGAAGGCAGGCAACCATTGTTTTGATACTAACTAGTCCCACACTTCGAACTGTAAGTGAGAGCATTTCAGCACTTCTGTCATTGCTATACTAAGGCCGGTACGATCGGATGGATTACCGGTACAGTTGAAATCGCCCGTGAGCGCAATGTCACGGTCAGGATCTGACAAGGAAGTCAAAATTTCAAAGATACTAGTGCGCCGTGTGCATCGCTAAAGGCATACACGTTGATTAGGCGCCACAGTAAACCATACAATATAAGACCACATTGTAGCAGCCGCCCTTCTTCGTCAACACTATATGCTACAGAAGAATAGGGTAAACTCCTCCTGAGAAGGCAGCCCGCCGAAAGGCCCACAGGGTGCGACACAAATACACTAAATACGGAGAGACATGACCGCAAGGCCCTCTCTGCCACCCTTTCCTCTCGATCTCAGTTTTTCGAACGGCGACGAAATCATGATGTCGGCTGAAGGGCGACCGGCGGAGCTGCAGCTGCTTCTGCTTGGATCATAGTCACCATAACCATTGCAAAAGTGACCTTATGGAGCAGCGCCATGCGTCCGAATTCTTTTCAGAGTTGCATACGCCGGTCTGCTTGTGGATACATTACAAATAACTACCTCTGCTTGGAAATGCAGTGAAAGTAACACAAGCTTCACAAACACACGCATCCTGCACACATGCTTCACAATACAGCGTCGAATATTGCATTAACAACGCGTGGTACAAGCGCCCATAGCAATCAGGCGTAAGTACATGTGATTAACATAATGACTTCGTGGTTTAAATGCGGTAACCCATAGAAAAGGCACACACGCTATATGCGCCTGTTTCCTTACGGCCACATAGTGGGTCCATAAAAAGTTCGAAATAAGTCTCGCGCCCCATGTGTTTGAAGTACGCACTAGGTACAGGATATCACTATCACGCTCAGCTTTTAAAGGCAAAGCTTAAGGGTGCCCCAATGTTTGTTTGTGCGCTATGATGCAACACGGACACCGACACAAAATCACAGAACAATGCAAAAACATCCCCCAGAAACTTTCTGGGGAAATACAGGCGAACCGAACCTCCGCTGTTCTAGCAGATTTCGCACCGGGTGGTACTGGGGCAAGCATCTCCTTTTTCATCAGTCCTCTTCATAGGTGTACGTGATATCGACATAACTTGCGGCATAAGTAGAATACCGAGTTTAGCTTTACATTACCAGCCCTGATCAGCCCTACACCATAACTCCGGCTGATGCTGGAGGTCCTCTGTGATGGCAGCCAGATTGTTTTTATAGAGTCTAAATGAAGTGCTTAGCTAGCTGTCATTTTTATTAAGGTGTTGTGTCTATACTAAAGCCGTTAGATCAAGCATTAATGACAACTAACACACAATGATGCCAATGAAAGTATAGAAGATGCTCTTGGTAGCAGCTGTAATATAAATGTGAAGAAATCTAAGTGGGCAAAAAGATAAGTCGCCGTGACGAGGGACCAAATGTATACGACCTTCCAATAACACGCCCCATGCTCTACAAACCACGAATCACGAGTGAGGAAAGTCGTACAAGGACAAGCACTGATGTGAGAAATCAACTAAAAAAACGAAACTACAGAGATATAAAGATGGCCACCGAATAAGTTCGAGCGCTCGCTTACTAAGTGAAGCACACATGGGTCCTTCGTTTGGCGCTGACCCCAAGTTTCTAATTTCACGGGGAAAAAAAACGAATTTCTACACAACCGCAAACACTCATCCAGACCAATCTATCGTATAAAACAAACGCGCAAATCAAAGAGAGCTCGTGGCGTTGATAAGCGAGCCCCCCGAAATTTCCCCGGTGTCGTGTCAAACTTCAAGGGCGACTTTCTAGTCGCCTCATACATGTCTGCGATCAAACAAAGCTGCGACTGCCGCAACGAGGCTTTGCAGTTGAGAAATCCGAGCACCGACCGAGATTCAAGAGAGAAGTGACTTGCACGATAAAGACCTCTTTTGGCTGGATCTTGTTTGGACATGCCCAAAGCGAAAGCCGAGATGTATTTCTCTTTCCGCCAAACTCATCCGCAAGCCTAAGGAAGCCTGCCTGCCCTCTTTCAATATCACTGAATCCATGCGCCCGAAGCGTAGCTACAACCTCCTCACTCCCCCCCCCCCCCCCCTCTTCCAGAAAAAAAAAGAACGCATGCAGCACTGCGAAGCTGCGACAGCTAAGGCTACAGGGTACTTAAGGCCCCCAAAAAGCAAGCGCAGGCTCAGAGCTCAGCTTGGTGTGTGCTGGAGCTCGACACTGCCATCATGAGAGTGCTTTGGTTACTGCTGCTGGCCGCCGTCGCCTCGGGTGAGTTGATGTTACTTCATATATGTGTTGATTGATTTGATTGATATGTGGGGTTTAACGTCCCAAAGCCACCATATGAGTATGAGAGGCGCCGTAGTGGAGGGCTCCGGAAATTTCGACCACCTGGGGTTCTTTAACGTGCACCCAAATCTGAGCACACGGGCCTACGACATTTCCGCCTCCATCGGAAATGCAGCCGCCGCAGCCGGGATTCGAGCCCGCGCCCTGCGGGTCAGCAGCTGAGTACCTTAGCCACTAGACCACCGCGGCGGGGCATCATATATGTGCTGCACCAAAGTAAATTCGCAAGCAGAATTGAGTTTGACCAACGTTTTCGACGTATAATGAACGTTAATGTGCGTCGATGGCTATGGCTTGCCAAGAGAAAAAAAGAGAGAATGATACAAAGAGAAATGCCCAGGGACTAACCGGTAATATCGCGTGATAGCCCCTAAGGCTGAGTACCGTATATATTCCATCCGAGGAAACACGTTTCACGTTTCTGACGCAATGTGGAAAAAAACTATAATTTTACCAGATTGCAATTTATTGTTACGTTCGAATACAAATTTCAAATTTATACTGTCGCAATGGCTCTTGGATCAGCTGAGCTTACAGGGCGAAGAACACAGCCACGCCAAATCATGTCAACGTTTGCATAGAAGAAGCTTTTCTTTGCCGAGTGCCGTAAGATATGGGCTGCCAAAATATACACACAAACTCCCGATTTCGAAGAAAACCGCGCGGTACGTTTCCTCGCACACTGACTCCCTTAGCTTCGTAAAAGAAATACTGCGGATGATCAAGTTTCCTTGAGGCCGCTAGTGACTGAGTAAAACATCTCCAACGCGACATATCACTGATTCACTCCAATCACGCCGCGATATTCCGGTAGCCAACTTAAGACTGCCGCCTGAACACGGCTACGGGCGGATATTTTCGAAGACTCAGTGCGAGTACACAAAACAGTGGTTGTATCTACCGTGCTATCTAGATTAGCAACCAAGGCCCGATTTGCTGGCAAAGGAATATACTTGCTCTGTCACGCGCCTACTCCGAGTATCGGAATGGCATCTATACTTTTGACAACCCTGGAGGAACTGGTCTCGGTGTGTGCGCGGTGCACGGTTGATGTGTGGTTGCGCGTATTGTTTCACCCTTTGCTCCGTCTTTCTCCGTTCTTTCCCCCCTTTTCTCCTTCCCCCAATGTAGGGTGGCAAACCGGCTACAGCCTCGTTGATCTCCCTTGCCTTTCCTTTTTCTCTCTCTTTTTCTCTCTACACCGAGTAAAAAAATAAAGCGACTTAAGGAAGTTCATAACGTTTCTCAGCATCGTCTATGGTATGCACTCTTTTCGTAAGGATGTTCAGGGGTAAGCAGTGATTATATCTTGTCTCATCTCTCCTTAACAAAGCCTTCGAGGTCGGCAAGGAGTATGTGTACGAATACAAGGGAACCATGTACGTCCTGAACCCTGAACAGCGACACCAACTGACCGGCCTGGGATTCCGAAGCAAGGTCGTCGTACAGCCCAAGCCAGATCACACGCATTTCAAGGTAAGCGCACGTAATACAACACTAAATATGCGCGCAATTGTCAATGCCTGATCTGGAGTCCGCGTATGAGATAACATTCATAGATCAGTGCTATTTCACGCGTCGGTTTTCACCTTCACAGCCGTCAGCAGGCTCAACACGAACGCTCCACAGCGTGGAATCTAACGATTTGATCGGCCCCCGCGCCGCTCAACTATGCATCTTGTTGCCGAGATGTTGCCGATACATGGCAACAAATTATTCGAGCATACCGAAGTGTTACCTTGGCAACAGCGGCCACCACTTCGCGGCTGGCATCAGTCAGACCGTGTTCATGCCGCACTGCAGATCGTTCGTGGAAACCGTGCTGACGAGGTGCACTACTTTGGAGTAACATCGGATGAGGCAGTGGCGCGCTTGTGCTGTCCTAGTGTTTGGGGAGTATTTCTGCCGAGCGACTGTAATCTTAATGTGGCTTGCTCAAGCTTCCTTTCTTGAAGAATTCGCTGCCGCCCCTCGACTATCGAGAGTACTTTCTCACGCTGACCGCGGACACGCAGTTCATAACCGGAAAATACCTAAACCAGGGTGATAACGCAAGCAAAGTACGCTAGGTAGATTACGATCACAGTTGTGTGGCAAACATACCCTCCGAAGTTTTAGTATTAGGGGTTTCACGTCGCAAAACCATAATATGAGTATGAGAGACACCGTGGCGGACGGCTTCGAAAGTTTTGACCGTCTGGCGTTCTTCAACCTGACCCGACATCTTGCAAAGCAGTGCTTCCCAAGTACTCGACTGTTCCTCAAAGTGCGCTATCAGCCGCTGTCATTGAAGAAGGTTAAGCCTTTGCATCAGGGCTACTTCTGTTTGACAATAAGTTCGGACTTCTCAACGCCCCAAACGCAACGTGAAAAAATTCTCGTTCCTGAAGGCTCGCGTCGCCGGATAAGAAAGATTATGTTGTTGCACTCACATAGGCTTCTTCTGAAGTTCCCTCTGTTGAACATTATTATATTAGCCACAATCTCGCCCGACGCAAAATTCAGCGAATGAAGCGAACCCCCAAATAAAGTTTTTCCCACAAAACAGCAGTTGCGCATACTTTTCTCGGGAACCTGTCCTAAATTGCTGTTATCTGCGATTCCCTTAGTGTTTCCGCTTTAGTTGTTTGCTACGACGTGATGCTTCGCTTTACGTGAAGCGCTAGATATGGATGCTGTTTTATTTCTACTTCCTTCACTTGTACATAACTGAGACCGAGGCAAAAGCGAGCGTAAGTCTTGTACGGTACCCTGGTGCTGCAGGGTCCACGAATTTATTGTAACTTAGCTAACACGAATGTAGTAATTTTTATATTTATCTTTCACCTTTAATTGTGACGTTTCATTTAAGAGATTTCTTAAAGAGTTTTTTTTTCGTTTTTTTAGTTGACTTCAGTTTCACTTACCGATGATGAATTGGAGTCGTCAGATATGACTTGGTCTAGATTGACAAACTGTCCATTTAGAACTGCGATGACATATATCCCACTAAGTTCATTATTAGCGGCAAAAATCAAGGCTGAAGCTTTATTTTAAAATATCACACCAAAATCTGCGCGCGTGTCATCGAAATTTTCAAACTATTTTTCGTGTTTTCATGACACCGACTTGATGAAATTTTCTGAAACATCGTACGCCAGGTCTATGGCAGCCACGGATGACACCGCACTTTATTTTTATCGATTAAAAGCTACGAAGAACTCAGTGAGCGCCTTCGAAATTTAAAATGCCACGGTGTTCGGTGCGAAAATCTCAAGGCGGCGTCTACAGCTGCATTTTGTTTTCGCTCGTTTTCTCGCTTACCTCGCGTCGTGTCGCGGTGCTGTTTTCGGGATTGTGAAATTGTACTTTACTAACACGCGAAAAATCGTTTCGCACTCTAGTATCCCTTTAACAGATTCAGACCCTACGGTATAACGTTGTTGCTGATCGTTTCTAGCAACAAGATTCCAGTGTAACTTTCTTTTTTTTTTCTTTTTTCCAGATTGCAAACTTCGAAACTGAGACCTTCAACTCGGAGGAGATCCACCTGAATCACCACGAGTTCCACTACACGCCGAACAACCACCACAACGAGGCCCTCGAACACCCCTTCGCCGCAAAGTTCGACGAAGGAAAGGTATACGGTGACGCTTGGAAAAGCGTCATTACTAGTGAAGCAGTGACGTGTCTAGCGGCACCCTGCGATCTCTACATACACTTGCAGCAATAGAAGACCAAACCACCATAGAGTTTCCTAATATACACTAGAGGGAACTCTGGCGCTAATGTCTATGGGAACTGCAACGCAGGACGCTTCAGCAAGCATGGGAATGATGGGTAGTACACACATTTGTCTAAACTTCGTACTTCTAGCCTGCTTTTGACTTCGTGTGTGTTCGGGTGGCTTGAAGCTGTTTTCTGTGAAAACAAAAATCAGCAAATGTTCAGCGGTTGCGCTTCACCACCCTATTCTTTTAGACTTACCTTTCCTAATCGGGTCACGAGGTTCAAAAGGGTTGAATCTTTCTTTCAAAACAAAACCAAAATGCAGCAATAAACAAAGCCGCAAGTAGGATTCGCCATCTACAAGTACGAAGACTAGGCAAATGCGTGTACTACCCATCATTCCCATGGTCGCTGAATGATCGCAGCGCCAGAGTACCCTCTAGTTGATTTCAGGAAACTCTATGTAAACCACCGTTTCACCACAAGCTGTCACAGTACTCCCCGCAGATGTCAAATGCGTCACCAGTGACGATTCGAAGATTTCCACATTCGCACAACAGCAGTCGGGTACAAGCATAGCAATCCAAACTGACGTCCTGAATAGCACAGCCGGTGAGCCCACTTTTGGAGAACACGGGCGAGGTCCATAAGCGGGACAATTTGTAGTTTGTCAGTATGGTCATCTGTGCTAGGCCTTTGCGGAATATTTAAGTTGTATACGACCATGAGTCTTTATAGATCTTCGAAGCATTCTTGAATACGACCATGAGTCTTTATAGATCTTCGAAGCATTCTTGAACCCAGTAAGAAGCCATGTTCCCAATATTGTGATCAGTATTTATCATTTACGTATGCCATACAGAAAGAGATTTACAGGAAGCTATACAGTATGGGTAAGTATTTCGTTTCTGCGGTCCACTCTGCCTCTCGAGGTCTCCTCCAGTGGGATACTACACTATATAATCACCATATCACCACAAACGTAAAGTTTACCAAACTAAACCAACGGCAATCTTTCGTGCTTTTTAGTTCAGTGTTTCGGGTAAACGTGTGTCTCGCGTTTCGTACCAGCGGATACGAAACGCGAAACGCGCATTGACGCGAAACATTCACTTAGAGAACGTGAAACATTGGGAATGGTTTTGTTTGGGACACTATACTATTCCATCGCCACAAAGTTACGGTCTACCAAACGAAACCTGTATCTATGTTCCGTGTTTTTTTTTTTTTTTAGTTCATTGTGTCGCGCCAATGTGTTTCGCGTACCAGCAGATACTAAACGCGAAACGGTGTACTTACTTGACAAACTGTTTCTTCTTGCTTTTCTTTTTCACACTCTTACTGACTGACGGATGTCCTGCAGATTGGGGAGATCGCGCTCGGCAAGGACGAACCCCTTTGGTCGAAGAATGTCAAAAAGGGCATACTGTCCCTCTTTCAATTGGACCTCGTCAAGGGACGTCATGAGCACCACCGTGAGAAGGAGTACCACGTCAGAGAGGTAAGCAGGCGAAAGTAACGTTGATACACTCTAAATAATGTCTTGCGTAAAATGCTATAGATATAGCCAGGACACTACGTCTGTTCAGTTCAGTTTCCTGGATAGCATTTTATCCTGGACTTCATTAAGAATGTATCAACGAACTGTCCATGCCAAGTTCAGCACAGTCCCATGTAATGTGTGGGCGCTTCATTGCTTGCTGGATACCCGCGCGAAACGTAAATGTTTAAAGGTACATCCCGGTATATGTTGGTGAATATGCATTTACATGTACACGCAGTGCTGCACCGTAAGACGGGCTGAATCGAGAGCTTTCAAACGTCGAGCGGAAAGGACACTGTTTGAACAAAACAGTGGCGCCGGTCTCTTAGCAGCACAGTGCGTAACGTAAGACACACGGCTCCTGCTGTGTGATTCTTTTCTAGAAAACTCGAAATGCAGCCTGCGGTTCCTTCGCGTTTCTTGTCACCGACTCGTGCAAGTAGAAACTTGGATAGCGGTGAAGCTACAAAAGAATGCCTTTTTTGTATTAAAATGCTTGTTAGCTACAATACGGGCCCCTTCGCTTAACCGTAATGTATCCCCATTGGGCCAACGTGCAAATACGTCTGGTATTTTGCATGTGCTGAAATAGCTTGTCGTCCATCTCTTTCCAAGTTTACGGCGCGATTTCATTTCCCAGCCCGGCATTATTCGAACAGAGCGCGGCCACCATTATTCTCCTTTCTACCCGCAGCGAACGGAAGTTCCTGCGCGTCCAGTCAATTAGCGCAACTAGCGTCCGTTTTACGTTCGCCATCGTGCTTCCTGTTGGTCGGTTCTGTTCCATTTTCGCACTGCCAGCAGTGGTGCCGATTGTGCCACCCTTATCCTCATCATGTTTGGACATTCACGTCATTTGCAACATTCCGCGCACCGACAACAGCCAAATGTCTGTGGACACTATTCTGTCAAGCGCCTGAGAGAAGACGCTGCAACAGAAGGCGACAAAAGCTCTGTTGAAATTCCTACGCGACACGGACTTGAACAAGCGGCTGTAACAGCAATGTCACACACCGCGAAAGACAAGACTAGCCTATGACTGAGTGTCTGTGACTGAGTGCTGCCGAATGTGCTGTGTTTATCTCTCTTCCCTCTCTGCTCTCTATCTGTCATCTCTCCCGTCCCCCTCCCATGCGCAGGGTAGCAAACCGGCTGCCTATACGCTGGTTAACCTCCCTGCCGTTCTTTTCGTCCTATTTTCCGTTTCCTTTCCGCGCAGGATGGTCTCCACGGCGCCTGCGATACCCTGTACGTGGTGCGCGCGGAAGGTCACGATTACATCGAGCTGACCAAGATTAAGAACTTGCAGAAGTGCGACCACCCCGCGCACGCCACCATGGGCCGGGAAGTGGCCAGGAAGTGCGTGAAGGGCGACACGCAGGAAACGGTGAGTCGACCACGTAGTCTACGCACAATATCGTAACACGTGCTCAATCTGGCCTTCAAAAAAAGAGAGGTCAGAGAAAAATCGACACTATAGGAGCCGAAACACACCGACAGTGTCCTTTTAATTGCTATCGCAATAAAACAAAGCTTTTTTTTATAACATCGACTGTGTGTTAAGGAAAAGTGGTTAACGATTTAGAGTACTTAGTACTCTACTATGGGAGACCTGAAAGCCGTCCCATGGACCTCTTTACCGAGCAGTAAGCTCCCGATGATCAGAACATTATGATTGGGCGTCACTTCGTCTTACTGCCAACTGAAGACGACTTCATGAGGCACTTTTCGATACCCAGTTAAGAACGGTTGATCCCCAATTACACACGTTTTCGTTTTTTAGCGCCGTCCCCTATTTCATTACGAATTCTGCAGTTCGATATAAGCACAACGAAACTGACGCCCGCAGTGCCACTCCGTTATTCGCACATTTTCTCGAATGCCTATCCACCGTAATGCAAAACCTTTTTTCTTTATACTGTTGTGACCCGTGAAGTCAGCCACACAAATGGCTTAAGATTAAAGTTCCCTCGGTTCTTTCTAATACTAACAATGTCCGAAATCAGCTCAGCTATTTTTAATAAAAAATCAAATGTCTTACAACGTCCACCTGTCCTCATTGAAATACACAAACAGTGCATTGAATTCTCACTCGCTTTTTGTTTGGTGGGGGGAGGGGGGATATACTCTTGTACAGACTGCCAGTGACGTAGCGCTACACTTGCCAATACGGTCGGCCTTATTGTGTTCTCATCTGCAACTCTGCAGCACCCGTCCACCCCAACATCCGAGGTGTATTACGAGCTGAAGGGAACGGCTCAACACTACGTGATCACGCACGCCTGGGCCGAGTCCGGATACCTGTTCAGGCCTCACGGAGAGGGCAAGAAGATCCACCTGAAACTGAAGTAAGCATTTCTGGGAAGAAAAAAAGAAAACAAAAACGAGGCACATACGACATCCTTGTCAATATATCGCGCGCGCTTTATAACAAAGAGCCCAGACATGGCCTTTTAATGCTCAGTGCACGCAATGTACTAATGGTTCCCGCCATGTCATCATTCTGAGTGTGACGCAGCGCAGCTCTCGAACCAGAGTAAAATCACCGGCGTAAACATCTCACTGCAGGAATTATGACAACAGAAAATAACGACGATGGTATCACCTTCGCAGAAAAGTCCTCGTACGCGGAACAACTCTTGAGTTTCGCTCTGAGTATCCGTATAACCTGTGGTGGCCAAGGTTCACACTTTTGTCTAAAATACAAAAGCAAAAAGCAGAATTCATACATCACAGATGATAGGCACAGCGACAAAATTGTTGAAGACTGCGACTGTGTTTAATCATATCGTGCTTTTAACGTGCTGAACACATCTTCGAGGCCTTGCTAAGTAAGAAATGTGACATTGCGGCTTTACGCGAGAACCGTTTTTAAGTTCCAAAAATATATCACCGCTCAAAGAGGTCAGCTTGTCGCCCATACCTGTGAAATCCCGTTGGCGATAACGAAATAAAAGTTGTTTGTGCGCAGGTTAAAACGTAACTGCTGCTGTTTCATTACGCCACCACGATTCCCTCACGTTCACTCGGTTGCCTACGTGTGTCGTGTTCTATAGATTAAGCACATATTCGAGCCAGCGGGCCAACGAAAGCTGACGTGCGACGAAGGGCACTGACTCATTGTTCCGACTGTCCACGCATGTTTGCAGTCGCACCCTGGACCTCCAGGAAGAGCACGATGCCGTCACCGACACCTCGCTCGGCGAGAACCTCGAGAAAGAGCACTCTCTGGCACAGGAGTTCGGCACCACGGGAGACCTGACGAACCCCCAGGAACTCAAGCACCCCAACGCTCTCTTCAGGCACTTCGAAGTCCACAGCAACAAGGAAAAGGTAAGAGGGATTTCAATTACGCCCAATGCGGCGGCGCTCACGGTCTCTTGCATATTTGGCTAATGTATTCTCGCGCAAGAAGCTAAGCCGAAAATACTTTACGCCTATTACAAATAAGGTAACTAATGAAGCCGAACTTTCAACGGTTTAGATTGATGGAGATGAAGAGATATCCCCCGACCGGTGACCTAATCCGGCTTAAAAAAAGTAGACAACTTATTTTATCCGATAGATTATGACAGAGATTATACTCAGTCCTGTTACGATCCTCGCGTACCAGGCAATATATATACATTTTCACGCTATAACAGCATCAGAGACAAATGCGATGCAGGTAAATTTGGTACTCCAAACAATATGGCGGCTACGCGGAAAGCTTGAACCTTGGCCGGCATAATAGTCCGGCCAGTATAATGTAGACGCTTCATTGCCCGCCTTTTCGTGTATTAGGTTTTCGTTCCTTTGAACACGAAAGTAAAACGAATAAAAATTCCGGGTGTTACGAACTCAGCATTCTCCGTGTGTCACGCATTCGCACTCAGTGACGCTGAAGAGCTCTCTCTCGTCAGCTAAAGTCATATCACGTCGCACAGACGCGTTCCTTACAATCATGGGGCTGCATGGGACTCGACGCCATCTTGTCAGTTGTCAGTGTATACGAGGCTTGCCAGAATCGCAACACACTCGGTGTTCCTATTGTAACAGCAAATAAAAAAACGGATATCGGCTTACATTAACCAATGGTAGCCACACTTTGGCAGACACTGTCCAGCTGTTAACCAAGAAAACAGAGTTCTAGTAGCCTACTGGTAGATAAAAACACAGCAATGTATGGGTTCGAGCTAGATGGTGGCACCAAAATGCGCAAAACTTTAAGACGAAGTCCGTGTGTCTGCGCCATTAATCCAAGAGCCTATAGGCCCGTCCGTTCTATCACGACAGCACCGGCAACTAGCCAAAGCCGGAACGTCACAACGTGGGAAACCTGAGCCGGGGTTATGAACCTGCACGACTCCCAGCATCAAGACTTTGCCTGCCAACCGGTGCTGAAATAGTAGATTAGGTATGCGGTTGAATTCATGATAAAAGGATATAAATCAGCGCTTACATAAACGGCCCCGAACTTGCAAGTTAGCTGCTTTATATTCTTTTGTCATGGAACTTCACTTACTTGGCCAATCTGCCTGTCTTCGCCAGTTCCATTCAGGCGAACAGTTCCCACAAAATCATGACAAGCATTTACGGCCTAGCTAGAAGAATTGATTTTGGAGCGCATTACTCGTTTAGGAGAACTACGTCACCGAAATCAAAGCAAAGACCCATACACATTCGTTTAACCTCCATCCCCGTCTCCCCTGCCCCTCTATTTCAAAGTTCGCGGAAGGCCTGCACCAGCTGGCGAGCCTAGAGTACACGGACGAGGACATCAAGGAAATCGACCAGAAGCCGAGCGGAGGCCAGCTCTTCCTGACGCTATTCAACTCTTTCATGGCCTTCGACTACGACGAGATCAGCTGGCTGTACCAGAACCACGTTGTCTCCGCACCAGAAGAGCAGAAGGGAAGCACGCTGTAAGTGATCCTGCCATGTCATACTATCCTGGGAAACAGCACACGCGTGTTCCCTAGAGCGACCTGCGCAGGGAGGCGCAGCACACCTCGTCATCTTCAATGGGTGACTATAGGTACGGTACGCAAAACACGCACAGTGCATGCAGTGCAAAACAAAAGCATTTAGTCGGTGCACGTTGACAGTTCCATCGCTATTTAGTACAGAGTGTACTAGCGCAGCTCACTCAGCTATTGTCTCACCTGCCGTGCTTGCCTCCCTTTTAATAGCTATACAAGTATTGAACCAGGTGCATACTAAAATAGAACCCGCTTCGATCGAGCCCGACCGACCGAGGACTTGGTCGGTGGTGTGTTGTGGTCGTGGAAAAAAACTGGCACCAGCCTTCCCTTCGGCAACGGTATTCGCCCTCCCTCGGCGGGGTCAAGCGACGCTTCTATAGTGTTCTCGCTTTTCTTTCCCGTTCCTTTGTAGGGTAACAAACCAGGCGAGCGAGTGGCGGACTGCAAATTCCTTATTCTCACCGCGCTAGTCTTCTGGTATCAGCCCTTTCTCTGTATCGCTGAAAGTAACGGCGGACACAGATAAAGCACCATCAGAGGCATCCTGGCGCCAAGTATGGCTTGCAACATGCTGCCCGGTGTCAATGTGACGCCAACACGCCATAATAGCGCACACGGTCAATTGTATACCACTGGTATAGAAAATGACCACTGAAGAGAGAGAGAAAGATAAAGGAAAGAGAGGGGTTAACCAGGGGAAGACTCCGGTTCACTACCGTATACTTGGGAAGGGGAAAATAGAGTATAACAGAATGAAAGAGATGAGCAGGAGTTTGTGACGGCAGAAGAAAGTAAGGGACTGGGAACAAGTACTGCTCCGAGTACTACGTAAAAACATTGTCCGTGAAGTAAAAACTGTTTCGATTATTGGCATTTCTATGACCTGTTTCGTGCTTGCCGCTGTCACAGTACAGAGTCTACTGACGTAGGACTCCTTTAACCATGACCATCACATTGAGCACCACTGCATATCAGACGACGCTTGACGTTGCGCCTCGTCCACTGCGCGCGTCTCTGTGTTCGCAGTTCTGATAGCGCAACAACAAGGAATAATAGAATCACACACAAATCGGCTGGAGTAGAACGCTAAACCGAAGAAGCTGCGAAGGCCCTTAGGTGTGGTAGGGGTAGGAACTTGCAGTAATGCGGCAACGTTGTCGGTATCGGACTCCGTGCCATGTTTCCTGACGTGTCCTAAACACCTTGATGCTGCGTCTGGCAAACCAACGCATCTCATTGTTGAGCTGGAGACCGGCCTTTATAGCTAGACACGCCAAAACGTCGTGAAGTCGTTTCAGATGCCACGAGAAACAGGACGACGAAAAGATGACGTCCCGGTAGCGAATGCAGGTCTTCAATTATAGTGCACGTAGTACCGTACCTACCATTCATTTGAATGTGGCAGGGGCATTGCAGTAGTTATATTGTTAACTCTGCGTGAACATAACTCTAGAAGTGACGATGACACAAGCACAAATTTCGTGTCTTCCCATCGTACCTCTACAGCCGCGCCTTCTTGGACCTACTGGCTGCTGTCGGCATGAACCCGCACGTCGCCTTCGGCTTGAACTTAATCAAGAACAACGAGGTCAGCAAGCAAGACGCCCACAAATTCTACGCAAAACTGCACCTGAACCTGAAGGAAGTCAGCACTGCCTTGATCCTCGAAATTGCCGTGAGTGACAACGTTTCATACTAAGCAACGTATTCTGTAGGCAGCATGCAGTTTGTAGCTGACGTGCAATGCAGATGAGTTTTCCATTACCTTCGCGGGCAAAATTCAAGCGCAAAGTTCATTAGAAGTTTTACTAGACCCAATATCCTCACCAATCCCGTGCCGAACTCGTCCTTTATTCCTAAATTATACAAGCCTAACTCCAGCCTCGCATTTGTGCATTTGCATTTTGCAGTGCATTTTGCATTTGGGCCTATGTGGTAATGCTATCCAGCAGGTGCATACGAGAACAGACGTTACACCCAATGCCAAAACCGTCATCCTTCTATAGATACGTAAAGTAAACAAGTAGTTATACGCTGAAAGTTGGGCTATTACTAATTAAACCAGGCTAATCTGGTCTCCGTTAACCATGAGCACCCTAATACACCCAGAGTTTCGTTCCTGAGTGACACTTCATGAGGGCTTATTAGTTAAAGATATATGTCATTAGCAATTACTTCATTGGTCAACATCATGCCCTAATTTGCGACAACTTCCAATTACCCGTTCCAGTTTATACGCTCATTCTCGTCATCACCTAATATCATGCTGCGCAAAATGAGCAACGTATTTTTTTAAGGAAATCTTCATATATACATAAAGAATGTAACGATAGTTCAAAACAGAATAGGCATTTTTTTAATGTTTTGAACCCTTCTAGGCAGAACCAAGTTGAAGAGAAGCATCGCTTTTATCTTATCTAGTATAGCATGATGGTTTCGTTAAACATTCAGGACTATTTGGTCAACCTTTTTTATCGTTTCTTTGATTCGAGCGAATCATTCCGTCTATCCGTAAGCGCAGCGTTGCTTTTGCAAGTGTTGCAAACGAACGCGCGTTTAGGGTTTGTCGCAGAAACTCAGATGCAGGTAACGCTCACAAGAACACTTTCGAACCAACCAACAAAATCTGAATCACATCGCCAAAAAGAACACGCTTATACCTTTGCTACGCAGGCAAGTTAACCACAGTTACGACCGACCACTGTTACCCACGTGTAACCACAGTTAACGGCTACCACCGTGTACCCCGTTTTCACCCAGCGCGGAAGCGTCATCAGTTATGGCGGCAAACGCATCCTCCGCGGACGCCGCCATTTTCTCGATTCGCCGCCAAACTGAAGTAGCCAAGCTCGGTTTCCTGTAACAACCGCGGTTAGCGGCAGAACCGCAGCTTCGCGTATAACGTTTAACACGCAGTATACTGTTTACCCGCAGTGACACGTAACAAAGGTTACGTAACCACGGTTCAGGCTGCCTGTGTAACAAAGATATTAGAATGCGAGGTAAAGAAGCTTGCGGTAAAGAAGCATGACGATGATCGTGTTGTTGTTGTTGTTGTTGTTGTTGTTGTTGTTGTTGTTGTTGTTGTTGTTGTTGTTGTTGATGATGATGATGATTATGATGATGATGATGATGATGATGATGACGACGATGATGATGATGACACCCTCACCATGCAGGACTCTTGTAAATCGGAGGCCGTCAAGAGCCACCGGGAGACTTGGAGCTCCTGCAAGCTCGCCGCCAGCACGATCGCGAGCAGCAAGGGATGCAAGCACGCCCACAACGACCACGAGGAGGACCACGGCACCTGCAAACCCGAGATCGTCTCTCACATCTTTAACGTGAGTGTCTATCACCGTAGGCTCAATGTGGTCGCTTTTATCCGCCGCCGGTACCCAACGGGTCCTTCAACTTGTCTTAAACGGCCATCCGAACTTTCGACCATGGCGCGCAGATGGAATGTAGCGCGATTTACCTATGACACATATTAATCGTAAGGCCTGCGGAGTTCAGCACACTGAAGTACTGAATGTCTAGCAACAATATAACCCTGGGCGCACGGAAAATAGGTTCGAGTTTCCTTACTTCTATGTATAAGCTTAGTTAGTGCGACTGTGTACTAGTGAACGTTAAAAATATGTTGGCATATATTTAGCTATATACATTCTCCAATCTGTTAGTGTGCGACGTAGCCAAAGAAGTGGTGACATAACCTTACACTCGAGCTCTTGCGCTTCACACAATGACACATGCTGCAAAAGCAGGAATAATAGCGCAATTATTCCTCGATTATGTGCGACATGTAACTCTGCGCACGCGAATGAAGATAGCTCCGTACGTTTCAATGGCCGAAATGTACAACTCCTAGGGTCGGCACCAAAATTTTCGGTACGCCCACATTCCGTAAACATTTAGGTCACACTTTGTGAGACAGAACTGCGGTAAATAGCAAAGACCTGCAGCTATGCTTTCGGCATCAAGGCCTCACTTGTAAATCGCGGCAGACGTCCAAGTATGGGTTAACACCGACATGCGTGTTTCTGGACTTTTGGCGTGCGCCTTGGCCATCTGCCGCTCGGTGTGGAATGTTACTGAGGACCATGTTGCTCGTGTGCCACGCAGTACTCTGTGACCCCGGCCGACACGCACGGCGAACACCTGTTCGAGACCACCGTCTACCTGCGAACGGCCGGCAACCTGGGTACGCGCAAGGCCATGCACTACCTGGAGCGCTTCATCTGCAATTGCCAGGAGGAGCCCAAAAGGATGGCCGCCATGTGGGCCCTGAAGCAGGCATCAAAGAACCATCCTGAACTGGTGAGCACACGTGCAGAACCATTTCAGGAGTGCATATACAAAATGGTACACGTAGAGGAACAGGGATGATGGCAAGGACCACGTCGCAGGGGACGTCTTTACCATCATCCTTGTATCACCGTGGGCACATTGCATTGTCTTTCCGTGTGCACTGCTTACTTTTTTATATTTTTTACAGCAAATCTCTCTTTTAGTCTGCTCTCTGCCACCGCCATTGTGGACTTTGTCGTCATCGTCGTCATCGTAATCACAGCAGCAGCAGCAGCAGCAGTAGTAGTAGTAGTAGTAGTAGTAGTAGTAGTAGTAGTAGTAGTAGTAGTCGTAGTAGTAGTAGTAGTAGTAGTAGTAGTAGTAGTAGTAGTAGTAGTAGTTGTTGTTGTTGTTGTTGTTGTAGTAGTAGATGTTGTAGCAGCAGTAGTACTGATCACGCAAGTAATGTGAGCAGGGTAGGGAGTGAATGCCATGGAAAAACTTTATTTTTAATTCTATTCTGTACGGAAAGCCGTCATAACCATAATCCTTACATTTTCACTGTCCAGTGGGATTTAAGGGCGAGGAACTGGTTGTTTTTTTTAACGCAATGTTGCACCAACAAGCGGAATAACTAGTTTAGCGCAGTCCGCAGATAGAACTTGAGATTCAAATGCTCTCAACGCTTTGGTGCACACCAAATGCTTAGAGGCACACCAAAGAACAACCCAAGTGTGTGTATGAAGTAGTAATACTTTTGTAGAAAAACTCACACAAGTTAAAGAACAGATCTCTCTCAAGCCAACGAAGCGGCAGATTAGCACTGCCACATGAAATTTGTGTGCCTAAACTGCACACGAGCACGCAATGCTCACCATTTCATCCTACAAGCGGCATTTTCCGCAGGTAAGTCATCGTAGGCTACTGTCGAATCTCAGCATGTCGCTCGCGCAGGAAATATAGACCATTTAAGAATTTTCAGCCCTAAACATTCCAATATAGCTGCCAGATAGCAAGTCAAAACAGTCTGTCCTTACCAGCAGAGGTGGCAACAAGAGAGCTATATTATGAGGTATCACACACAAGTGTTGTTGTCAGGTGACGGTAAGAATACACGATTAAATAAATATGTATATAACTAGTGAAACTTGTTGTTTTGTGTATCGTTCCCTTCAAACCCTTCAAGTGCTAAAGATACCATCAGATTTAGATGTAAAACCGATAATTATAGCATGACCTATTAAACCTTCACAGCTGCTTCGCGTGGTTGCTTTTTCAACGAAGAAAATAGCGTCAATACACTCCACATGCGAAATATTTCTCGTTTCGAATTTGAACATTGTTTACTGAGCCAGCACCGTATACCGCACGGCATCCCACAGAGCCCTAAAAGGTTCTTCATGACAGCAAATGTCAGAAATTCGCATAAAAGCGCGAACGACTTCAGTTTTCACTGCGAATCATGACAACACATATCCATCGTGTATATAGAACAGGTCCTAGTGTTCTTACATTTACCGACTCCGGTCTCTGGCGTATAATTGTAAGAGAAAACCACTGCTAACATCTGTAACTTTCCCGTGGCTGACGGCCACGTACCATAGGCACCCGACCGTGGACCAGAGGGCGCGACGAAGATTTTTGGGCCACCTCGGCATTGTTGGTACCGACCGCCAGGGATACCAGAAAAACTAAAACTCTCGCTGAACACATTGAGACGCTGAATCGTCCATGCTCTTTTGGCGCATTTTCAATGAAAGCTTCTTGGGCACTTACATAATCATCCGTGACCCCCCCTGCTCACAACTAAAAAAGAAAATAATATGCACTGGCAAGTCCGGTTTTGCTGCGTCTACTCGCTTGGCTACGCATTCGAAGACTCGGTTTCGCTGCGCCTACTCGCTAGGCTGTGTGTTCTGGCGCTACCATCAGATCTCGTAAACTGCATTGCCGGGTGCCTATTGGAAAACACCTATTTTTCTCAATCCACTTTTTTTTTTTGCTTCTTCTTCGCAGGCTCGCGCCATCGCATTGCCCGTGTTCTACAACACCAGCGAACCCAGCGAGATTCGTATAGCCGCCTTCCTGACCATCTTGTTCAGCCACCCTGAGATGTACCTGCTTCGCCACATTGCCGTTGAAATGCTCACGGAGCCCAGCGACCAGGTGGTGCACTTCGTGTCGAGTGCGTTCCGCACTGTGGCCAAGTCGCAGTACCCCTGCCATCGTGATCTGTGAGTCAGTCATCAATTACAACAGATAAATCCTGCCTTTAAACGACCTGGAAGTTCAACGAATAAGTTAACCAATGCCGCACGTTGGGCTTGGTCGTGATTCATCATGAGGGGAAAAGGTGTAACGCCTTGAGGAAGGGACAAAACCAGTGATACGGGAGCGCGCAGAAGACAGACTGTAAAGAAATACAACTTGGGAGAGATCCCACTTTGAGCTGAGAAGCTAGCGCGACCTAGTGGAAGTGAATAAAGTTCTTCCACTCATCTGTCCATAATTGATGTGTAGAACTTTGACATAGAAAAGCGTGTAACAAGAAACACAATAAACTGCTAGAACTTCTTGCACCCTATAGTCCCCTGTAACATCTCATGGAGGACAAGGCGATGGGGAGAAATACAGCAGACGGCACTTCTCAAACGGATGTTCTATTGTTTGACAACAGCGCGTCATCAAGACCCTTCCAAATAACCGGCTTTCAGATGGGACACCGATTTCTTGCAGCTCTGAACGCATCGTTCATCTTACACATGTTCCAAAGAGTATTTACCAATAGGTATTGTTTTTGTCTCTTTCCCCAGTGCCCAGCACATGCGCTATGTGCTGCCAGAATGGGACCATGACACGAGGTTCAAGAGGCCAGTAGACAGGTCTTCGTCTCACCTGACCATATCGTCCACATACAGCCGTAAGCCTACTCACGTTCATCTAAACACGCTGCGGCTAGTCTCCGCAAAACTAGCAACTCTTATAGGACGCACCTTGGGCTACGGATATTTGTCCCCTGTTGAATTACTGCGTGTACGCTTTGACTCCTGGCTTCCTCATAGTCGGACCTCTACGTTGCGTGCGTGCGCTTGACCATTTTGAAAAATTAAGCCACAATGAGGCGTCCACAAAATACAACCTAAACAACTACAGTACATCCAATCACGGCTACGTGATGCGCCACAATTAAAGTACTTGATCTTTTTGCCCAATCCCGACTTCATCAAAAACACCAAAGCCCGCACTGCTCTACGGCACAAGTTGCATTACCACGAGAGAATTTATAGAAGACATCTCCTTCTGCCCAATTGTGCAACAAGGCCATAATGCAAACAATGAATAAAAGCCACTGCCCTTGCTTGAGCCATATTAAGAAGGTCCGGCTGTACGGGGTAAGAACCTGCTGAATGGGATAAAAATTGATGCCTAATATAATCGACGCCATTATATCAACGCCCAGGCCTCAAAATTTCCTCAGTAATGATTCAGCAGTTTTCGCGAACCCCTGTACGCTCACCAGGCTTCTAGTTATCTGATCTTAAGAAATTTATAGGTGTTCCTCTGATATTTATTTCTAATCTTATTATCTTGCAAGTGAGAAAACTCACAATTAATGAAAATCACCTGCAACAAGAAGACAAACATCACGTTCAACGCACTTATCTCATCGATGATACATAACTCATTTCACTAACGACAAAACTCTCTAAGAAAGAAAAAAAATAATCTCGACGGCTAAGATGCCGGCAACGATTGCTGAAGCGAGCGGTGTATGTTATGAACTTATAACCACGATTGTATTCAACACCACTTATAACGAAATATTAGAGTGCAATGCTCCGTTAGAAACTTAGGCAGCGGTCAGAATAATGCAATAAACACGAGACGTGCATATAAACATGTATCGCAACCAGTATTTGGACCCTTAATCTTTTTCTCAACGCAGCCAAATATGACTACGGTGGCATGACGTCCATGGAGATGATCCGCTCGCATGACAGCTACCTGCCCCGCAACTGCTACGTCATGATGAGAGACTACATTTGCGGCCACTCGTACGACACGCTCACCCTCGAGTTCGAGAACTGGGGCATGGACAAGCTGATGAGCAGCATGCTGGGCCCGCGTCCAGGATCCTCGAAGAACCTCTGGAACTTCATGGCCCATCGCCGCATCCCGCGTGATGCATCGGCTAAGGAGCGAAATGAGATCGAGAGTTCCGTGAGTGCTTTTTGTCGCCGACTAAAATCATTGCCAGCGACAATCACTTTTCTACTTCACATACCACGCCTAGGAAAAAAAACACGCTAATAGTGTGAGGGCTGGCTGTTCACTTCATCGTCTTGATCTGTATGTCCAGACCATCGTAAAGATCGTCATCATTTGTCACACGGGCTGGTCGGCTTTGCTCTCTCATGACTGCATACTATGACCTTGCTACTGCCGTACCAGAACGTCGTCATCATGATACAATTTACATTTCATAGGACCAGAGCCATCTCTGAATGTTGCTACTGTTTAGGTTCAGCATAAGTTGGAAGCTAGAAGAAGTGAAATATTCTTGAACACAAGGTGTTGCTGGGGCCAAGGTTTTGACAAGAGGTCTTGTTTTCAGGACCGCAACCGATGTAGCAAATGATGCTCCAGCTTTGAGGCTGTAATTGGTAGAATAAGCACGGACTGTATTCCTCAGATAATCACCATGGGGGCCAGTTCATTTAAATATCGACGCTCATCACCTAGCCTCAGTGTTGCCAGTTAGACTACTGCGCAATCACTCGCTCGATTTTAAAAGTGAATGTTTCGCCAGTCAGCATAGAGAACAATGGGGACAAGGCACGCGCAACGTCGTTAGGCTGATCATTTAATTCCTAGCAAAGGTAACACGTACCTACGCAACGTGAACGTGTTAGGCCCGTAACCTTATGTCCGTTTGGAAGTCACTTGCAGACTGTCCGTGTTTGCGGTTACTATTCGTCGTGTACATCCCTCTCAATTCATTAGGCCAGTCTGCCATAATCTCAAAAACCTCTCTGTGTAGTCTCCATGCCCGTGCAGTCCAACTGATCATGGTGTTCCAACGTTTCCTTTCTGACGTGCAGCTCCACATCGCCGACCGAGAGTACGACCCATTTTACGCCCGCCTCACCCTGTCCATCTTCGGAAAGACCACCGACACCTTCAGCATCGATGAGAGCTTCTTGTCGAAAGTGCAGGGTAAAGGTACGGAAAGCCATCATTTCGAAATGCAACACGTGTGCGGATATGACGTCTACATGCTGTTGTCGCTGAGATCAATCGGGCGCAAATGCGCGAAATGCGTCTACCCTTGCACATTCTCGTAGGCAAGTGGAGTTTCGTGTGAATGTGTGGCTCTGTTGTAGACCACCTGCTTGTTACGCCGAAAGACTTAAATTATTTCACACTCGAAGCAAACTTTTCATTATTTTCATTTATTTATTTTCATCTTTGTTGATTTCTCGGTCACGGAGAGCGTTTATTTTTCACTCGCAACGGACGATGCCGTCGCCGACACTAAGAGTTTCTGCGCAATGAGCTCTTTGACGCTATTGGCACTAAACGAAGACAGATAGACAGTGGTTAACAAGAGAGAGCGCTCACATTGTGTTTATTTAACCTTTGTCCACCCATTTTTCGTTGTCATTCCTTCAAGCAGCCCAAAATCAAAACTATGCTACAAAAGTGTACATGAAAATGGTCATTTCACGGTGCTACTACGCCTAATGAATTTAATAGGAGACGTCCCTCTGTACTACATCCAGCAAAACCAGAAGAGGCGGTCCAGCACTTGCTCGGCGCCGACGTCAACAAGAAGTACTTCTATCTGACCAAAGACATGGCTGTAATAATGCCTAGCGAGTTGGGAGTGCCAGTCTTCTACGTCTTCAAGAAGGCCGAGTTCATGTACGCAAAGAGGGACAAGATGGCCCTCACCCACGGCGACAACGCGGAGTTCCACTTGGGCATCAAGCGCCACTACGTGTAAGTGAAGCATCTGCTAAGCCTTGTGGCCGCATGTTCGACGCCATGTCCAATCAGCGTCGCCAGGACTTTGCCCCCTTTTTTTTGGGGGGGGGGGGGGGGGGGGGCACATGTTCGATCAGCGTCACCAGGACTTTGTCCCTTTTTTAGGGGGGAGGGGTGAAAACCCGGGCTGCATCGCAGCTGTGAGAGGCGAGATCGATGCTATGGCTTGAGGAAGGCGAGTGCCCCTTTTGCACCCTCCGGGCGAAGCCCATGCTCTGGCCCTATGCTTTATTAATGAACTATCATTCGTGATAGAGTGAGGGAGGGAAGCGGAAACCACACACACACACACTGGAATGTCACAATCGTTCGACTAGGCGGGTTACTCGCAGAAGCTTCAAGAGTGCCTTCGTCGCTTTTCGGTGACGAAGGCACCCCTTCCCCAGTGCAGGGTAGCGAACCAGCCACTTGCTTTCGGTTAACCTCCCTGCCTTTCCGCATCTCTTCTGTCTCGGTCTCTCTCTCGGTCTCTCTCTCTGCCTCTTTCTATCGTTCGTGGACCAGCAATACAGTTTCAGAGTAGACACTCGTGGCAAATCCCTGAAGGCAGGCCACCTTAAGGCCAACTTAAGGTCACCTTAGGGCCTTCAGGCAAATGATGAATGTGTCCGCGTTAACATATATAATTACAATGCCTTCTTTTCTAACTTCTTCTGAATGGCATATCCTTAAAAAACAGTCATAACGTCGAACATAAACGTCGCCGCAACAATCAGAGAGTTCCCACGAGGATCGTAATGCTTGGATTGTAGGAACCTGAATTGTAGGAGCCTGAAGCATATGGTATGAGCCCGTTAAGAGGTAAAAGCTTAAAAATGTGGAGTTTTTTTTTTTTTAGAATACACGTTGATCAGACCCACGAATCGGACTTCAGCAGTCCATATGAAGTTGTTGCCTGTGGAGCTGTAAAGTTCATTCTCTAAATTCCACTTATTTCGGAATTGCTGTGGAAGTGGTTTTCATCCCGAAAGTAGATATAAAATAGGTTAGGATGACCATGAATTGGAAAGTTGGTCAGTCTTCCTTCTTGAACGCTATGGTATATAGCGTTGTTCGTTTATAAAACGATGCCAGACGAAAGTACAGAAAAATATGCAAGGCGTCACTTCACGCGATCGCGCTTAAGCAGTGGCAAGGCTGATCTTGACTCAATCCTCTCCCCACTCCAACAGATTCGACGTGGCCTCGTACCAGATGTTGGGATTCACGCCGGAGTTCACCAAGCAGAGTTTTGGAACCGGCAGCAACGCAAGGACCACCATCTCCTGGCCTCTCGATCTCAAGGTGACATTCGCACCTCTCGAGGGCAAACTGAGCCTGCACCGTCCACTGCACCTGCCCTGGAACGTCCTCAACCATCAGTTCCGGCCCTTCACCTTCGCCATGCCCAACGACATTCACGCCGATCCATCGCACGCACTCGCTGAAATGCCCAAGCTGATGAAGCCTCTCTACCGACCTGAAGAGCTGACCGAGGTGAATTTGCCATAGAAATATTCCCTCTTTTCAACGAAATACGCAACGCTTTTATCTCGACAGAAGAGACTTTCCCCTTCCTAACAATAAGCTAAATATGCTTCAATATAGTCAGCTGTTAGGCTAGTTGGTTCGACATCTTGCTCAGGGAATGACGGATTTTGTTAGGAGCCAAATAGCATCTCCTAACCAAATCCGCATTCCGCTAAGATAGAAGAAGATAAATTAAGCGCAAGAGCAAGATTCCAAAATAACCTGGAAAGCATCCCGCAATTCGGGCGCGGTATGCATGAGATATGGTTTCACTTTTAGAGGACTACATAAAAATACCAAAAAAAGGCCCGCGTGGCGGTGTGTAATTTCCGTAACACCAACTACTAACAGTCCAAGTGGCTTCTGGCGACGCATTTCCGGTTTCCCCTATCGGCCTTATCCGATTTCTAGTCTACATATCACTACCGATTTTAGCCTAAGTATGTGACACCGCTGGGGCGAGTTAGCTCATGCACGATTTCCTACATGATGGACATGATCCTGTGTTGGAGATGACAGGTAGAAATGGGCCACAAAAACTTGTGAGAAGTGCTAACCTACGCCTTGGTGTAAATATGACGACGTGAGGTATTTTCGTTATACGCTGATTAAAACAGGGTGGCTAGAATCTAGCGCGGTAAGTTGTTTTTCTCGTAATGAGAGCGCAGACCAAGCAAGAGAACGTTTCAACCAGAAGACTTGTCTTTATCAGGGCCTGTCTTCACCATGGCCACTGCCTACTCGAGTCTAGTTAATGCGAATATGAACGATATCGTGTTTTAAAGGAGGCATAGGTTACACGTAAAATGCAGAAGACTTACACAAACTCTCCCTGTTTCTTCTGTGTCCTTGCGTATCCATGTATGCAAATCAAATAAACAAATTAGTTATACAGAAAGCTTCGCGAAACCACATAAACGATGCGGCCAATGTACGAAGCAAAAGCTTAGAGATATAAGTGGCGTTCAACAACGTTAAACTCTAGTGAACTTTTGGAGCGAAATTTATAAATAACTACTGTAGAGTTACGATCTGATATCAATCAATATATTGTATAACTCTGGTGCCACATTAATGCAACCTATGCCGCTTCATGCGCAGTTCGACCGTCACTACTTCGACGACACCTTCGGCGTAGGTCTGCAGGTCAAGGGTCACCTGATCAAGAGGGGCCTGCGTCAAGCCGTGCGGGAAGTGTACCACGACATGTCGTGCCGGGAACGCTTCTACTATATGATCGTCAACCCACACTGGCACCCACGTGACATCAAGATCTACGCCCTCCCCGCTGCTCAAGATCCCTCCACGGAGGTGAGTACAGCGAACGCCGCTTTCGAAATGTAGAGCTGACGTCTCGGTAGCGATGGGGATCGAGAAAGCATTGTGGAGGGCTGGAACAGCAGCCACTTGTTCGTAGATTACCGCGATAATCGAGCTGCGGCGTGCAGAAGCCTGCCTACGGAAACTACATCGCGTGCTCACTTAATTCCATACATGCTACGCTGCAGTTCGATTATAGAAGATAAGGTAACTGCAAACACGGAGACTGTTTATTGATTAATTCAGAAGGCGAGACAACCTTTTGCGTAATATTTGCAGTTTATCATAAGAACCGAACTTTCATTAGCCTTTGTCAGCGCAAACTCGCTGTCTTTCATCGCCAAGTATATCGGTCTTTAAGCTTTCAGGCCAGTTAGCTTTACTTGGCAGCAACGAAATTATGCCTGCACAATTGCGAAATGGCGAGTCCTAAGCATAGTCTCCTAGAGTAAACATTACAAGTCAGTCTTGAATAAGTGAACGCCTAACAGTTATGAACAGGAAAAAACTACGCCGTATATCGTCCCAACTTGCCAAGTGCAGTACAAACGCGCACTTAAAGGAGGAGAGATAAATGAGGAAGGACAGGGAGGTTAGCCAGTTCTCAGACCGGCTGGCTACCCTGTACTGGGGAAGGGGGTAAGGGCGATAAAGGATGAGAGAAAAGAGACGTTGTAAAAAGAGAGAGAGAGAGAGAGAAAGAGAAGGTCATCAGACGATCCACGACACTGTTTACAGTCTGTCTCTAAGACCACTTGCCCGCAGAAAGCGCAACAATGCTCTCAGTGCCTTGCGTGCAGAGGACGGTCTCGGCCAGTGTCCTAATACCCTTTCTTCCGACAAAACGGTGCCATGCACTTAAAGATCCTGCAACTCACCATGAGGGATATGCTCATCTGTAATGGCCGACCTTCCTGAACATTTCGTTTCAGCTGAACATCGACATTTCGTACAAGTTCTTGGAGCCGGACGACGAGCGGCACAGCCACTTCAATGTTCACGACAAAATCGGCGACGACCCCGAGGTGCCGTCTACGCACGTTCTGCGTCTCGAAGCCGGCTTGAAAGGCGCCGCCAAGGAGCGCCACGCGACGGCCGAGTTGCGGTACTCCTTCAACCACGACCTCTTCAAGCACAAGATGCAGTTCTTTTACGAGAAGACACCCTTCGGCCAACAGGACACCCAAATGAAAGTGAGTCACGGGAAACTGATCTGTAAATGAAGATTCGCGCGGTTTCGCTTGCCGAAGCCGTTTTAGCGTCATGTCATGCCTACGAATCGCCACGTCACGTCTGTTAATCGTGAAGGTAAACGCACGTTTCAACTTTCAACAAGTGTTGAACGAGGGCGCTTACGCGAAATAAAGAATTTACACATATGTTTTTTTTTTCCTGGGGACCATCTTAGTTCTGCTTTTGCTGACACCGGTAAAATATAGGCAAAAGCCGCAAGCAATGAACACAAAATTGATTGATGTGTGGGGTTTAACGTCCCTAAACCACCATATGATTATGAGAGACGCCGTAGCGGAGGGCTCCGGCAATTTCGACCACCTGGGGTTATTTAACGTGCGCCCAAATCTGAGCACACGGTCCTACCACATTTTCGCCTCCATCGAAAATGCAGCCGCCACAGCCGGGATTCGATCCCGCGACCTGCGGGTCAGAAGCCGAGTACCTTAGCAACTACACCACCGCGGCGGGGCCAATGGACACAAAATAGTTGCGTATACTACTATGCGAATAGAATTCAATTAGACCATCAACGCCATCTTCGCTGTCCTTTGAAAACAATACAGTTTATAATGTTCACATTATTTCCTTTCCCTCCACAGCGAAGGCTAACACATGCAAAATCCACACAGTACTGCTGCACTATGGCCGAAGTGTCCTAATGTGGAATTTTGAGACCTTGGTTACAGAAATGATACGCTCTCTTCCTTTTACGTCATTTGTATACAGATCTGCCTGGACGCATCAGCGAAGTTCCCTCATCCTGACTGGACCATAACTAACATGGCTAAATTCTACACGGGAAAGGAAGTGGACGCTCACCTTAACGTCCACTATGGAGCCAGCTGCGAAGCGGGAACCTCCGTAAGTTTTGCTTATATATGCCAACCAGGACGAAACTTGCAGTGGTATCCCATATAGGTCATTCAGCGCTGCTTCGAAAGAACAAAACAACAAAAAATAAGAGGAATGGGTGAAGTCAGCGTTTTCGTGCTGCTATCCTGCTTCTCTCTTTTTTTTTTTAGCTGATTGACCACAACATGAGCAGTCTATATGAGCAGTCTATATAAGCAATCGTGTTTTTCCGTTTCGCCTGGGTTAAAGCGAATAAAGCTCTCGCAAAGCACAACTACAGAGTAACTTTACGTCATCGTTGTTCCCGCGAATAAGGTCGGTAGGTGAACAACTTTATTCATTCAAGAAAGAATCATTTGAGGGGGGGGGGGGCAGTAGAAGTGAAATGACATCGAGCCCTCGGGCCACTCTAGGTGGCCGGACACTTCTGTGCTTCGGCGACCCCTCTGACACAGCCCACTGTCCGGAGTTGTAACTACGGTTGCGAGCTGCGCAGAGCAGCCTCCCATCCCTCCTGCTGTTTCGACCCTTGCCACGGGGGCTTGGGTTTGTTCGGGCAGTTCAGAAATACGTCATTCAAGTCGTCTCTGGTGCTGGGACACAAGTTGCAACGAGGAGAGGTTTCGCCATGCGTAAAAAAGAGAGAGAAGGAAGGAGTCGTGACTGTTGCCATTTGAAGTCCGCGCTACAAAACCTGGTCACTTCTGGAAGGAGATTTATGCAGTGGGGTATAGGTTAGGCGAGAATTTCGGTAAAAAGAGTATTATGTCGTGGTAGCTGAGCAGGCGAATAATACCATGTTCATGCACCATGATCAATGCTACATTGAAGCTTGAATACCGCATATAACAGCAACGTCGAATAACGTACCTACGTATTAGTATCCTCTGTACCTCGCATACATGCTTGAAAACACCGCACCCTTCCTCTATGAACAGATCACAGTGAACGGCAAGTTCACACACACCGACGAGGACGAACAGCAGCTGGCCGCCGCGGCGGAAGGCAAGGCCATCGGCAGGGACAGGTTCAGCAGCACCTTCCTCCACTGGCTCGCCAACAAATGCCACATGAAGCAAGAGAAGGGCATCCCCTTCAGCCACTACTGCTACAGGCTGCTGCGTTACTCCAGCCGCCTCGGAAAGTTCACCGCCGACGTGGAGTGGAAGAACTACAAGCCCGTATGTATTTAAAACAAACACTCTGATCGGCACATCCTGAGCACACGTGCATTTTCCCACGTTTTTCTCTCTTTCTCTACACCCTCTTTCTTGCCCCTATTTCCCCACCCCAAGTGCTGGGTTGCAAACCGGATGCCAATATCTGGTTAATTTCCCGGCGTCCTTCTTCTCTCTCTCTCTCAGTTCGGCACGTAAACCATGAACATACAGGTATGCTTCACAAAACAAGTGCAGCGTCATCGGGCGTTCGTTTCAACCGGACTGATATAAGACAAAACGTGCCACAAGACACTGGTGGAAGTGGACAGACCGAATCATCCTGACAGAACCGAGCATTGTTATCAAAATTTGAATACCATTTGTATTATCATACTCCATTTGAATGTAAAAAAAAACCAGCAAGACGCTTCTCTCATCGGCAAGTATTGGTACCGCACAGTGCTTTAATTTGAATTTCTTCTTGCTTGCACAATGTCGAAGCGAATGCGCAATTGTTTCAGTTGAGTTCTCTCGCAATTGTTTCAGCTGAGTTCTCCCTAGACAGCGTCGTACAACTTCCAATATGTGATCACAATCTGAACGGAACCTGTAGGCGTGGGACGCATTAATATCAGGCAAATGAGGCAACAGACGAATTCGCGAATTCGGCACTCCACGTGAACGTTTCCCGCCTCGTCCTTTTAAAGCACACCACTGGATCGATATCGTGATTGGCTTTGAAGCCTGAAAACTAAGTCGAGAAAAACACTCCGCGTAACTGCCTAATCCGTTTTTCCTTGCAGCTGCTGCACCGCCTGGCTAAGTACTACAACAAACGCTACGCGTACAAGCCCTGGAAGGCCGGCTTCCTTGGCGTGCTCGCTTCGTACTTCACGGGCGACCACGGCAAGCTGCACGTCGTCTCGCAATCTCCCTGGTGGCGTTGCGGCGAGAAGCCGCACACTAACATGATCGTCACGACCGAGGACGGCCACAGCCACGAGCACTGGGGAGTGCCCACCTTCAGCAAGATCCTCGAGCCGAGGATTTTCACGGTAGCCGGATACACGCAGGCGGCCGAGTACTCCAAGCTGTACAGGCACAGTAAGTGTTCCCCTGTTGAATGTGCACCATGATGCTGTTCTGTGACGCTGCACTATGACGCTGCCCTGTAGGAAGCTACCACATTACACTATGCAATGACGCTACGCCATTACGCTGCACCATGATGTAGCACCTGTCAAATGTGCACCGTCATGCTGTTCTGTGACGCTGCACTATGACGCTGCCCTGTAGGAAGCTACCACACTACACTATGCAATGACGCTAAGCCATTACGCTGCACCATGATGTAGCACCTGTTGAATGTGCACGATGATGCTGTTCTGTGACGCTGCACTATGACGCTGCCCTGTAGGACGCTACCATATCGCACTATGCAATGACGCTACGCCATTACGCTGCACCATGATGCAGCACCATGACGCTTCACCATGGTGCTACGTTACAACGCTACACACAATGACGCTGAGCCAAGACGCAACGTCACCGAAATACCAGAATTCTCATACTCACAGTGCGTTGCACGATGAAGTAGGCGCACTGAAACAAGGTATGAGATTGGGCTTATCGGTAACCCATTTTCAACAACGAGCACCGAGGGCTCAAAGCGAAACAAAGGCAACAACGCTTATTTTTATTCGATTTCTTGCCCTGAATCCACACTGCGCCGGTTGGTGAATATAAAGTAGGAGCGTTGAGTTAATCACTCCTGTAATCTAATAAGATTTGGCATGTTTATCTTCACTTGCGCACCAACACACGCAATCATTCAGTCAGTTGTCGCAAGCAGCCGAAAAATATGAGCAATGGTCCCAGGCTTTTCTGACGGCGTGTAGTTGCTACTGCTGTCCAAGCGTACGAAAGTTAGCACACATTTATCGCTTCTCGAAAAGGCAGACAGCTAAGCAGTGCAAGTGGACGTCTAATCTTCGTAGTTTTTTATAGGCACAAACTGCATTCAGCCCGCATTTCTGCTATTGAGAGGAAAAGAAAGAAAAAATGTCGACGCCGGCGGCAGAATCCAGCGGAGAGTGTCCGTATAATTGCTATCGCAATAAAAAAAACAGCGCTTAAATGATGAGGACAAATAAGGAACGACACACGATGCACTACCGCATTTCCCGGTCGTCGTCGTTTAAACGCTGCTTTTACTTCCGCTGTGAACACGAACTGGTCCAACATCGTTCATTGCCCTGTGTTCTTCGAACCAATATTGACACTTAAAACTCACTCATGCGCGAATGCGCTGCCACTTACTGGTCGCGACCAGATCACCGGAACAAGCGCCTGCGGGAAACAGACCCCGGTATGACTTTTCGTCTTCCAGATGAAATCAGCCGAAGACATGCTAATATACTGCACCGAATTCGCCTGGGCGTCGCCTTCACTCGCCACTACACCCACCTAATCGGCCGTGCAGACAGCCCGAATCGTGAACGCTGCCAAGTGCGCGAAACGATAGCTCACATATTTTGTGACTGTGCATTATACGTGGCGCAAAGAAAAATGCTAACTGCAACGCTGACAAGCGTGGGACGAACACCATTAAGTGAAAGCCACATATTGTCAGCAATGAACGACCAACCAGTGTCAAAAACTGCTACAAAGGCTGTTCTAGACTTTATAAAAAGCACTGGACTAGAAACTAGACTGTAGGGTACTATGCTAAGTGGTATACTGTACATACGCACCACCCCTTCTTGTCCCCGTCATCACCCTTCATCCCTCTTTCCTTCCCCTTTCCCATATCCCCTGTGTAGAGTAGCAGGCTAGAGCGAACTAGCTCAGGCCGACCTCTCTGCCTTCTAATAAATTCTCACTCACACACACTCTCACCGGTATCAACACCATCAAGAAAGGAAAATAGAGGGAAAAGAAAGGCAAGGAGGTTAACCAGCCTATAGGCAGCCGGTTTGCTACCCTGCGCATGGGGGAGGGATTGGGGAGATGAAATAGAGCAGAGAGGGAAGATAGAAACAGCGCATTAAACAGCACATGCGCGCACACTCAGTCATAGTCCAGTCTTGTCTTTCGCGGTGTGTGACATTGCTGTTACAGTCGCTTGTTCAAGTCGGTGTCGCGTAGGAATTTCAACAGAGCTTTCGTCGCCTTCTGTTGCAGTGTCTTCTCTCGGGCACTCGACAGAATAGTGTCCACAGACATTTGGCTGTTGTCGATGCGCGCAAAAGCAGACGCCAGTGACTGTCTCTGGATTTCATACAATGGACAGTCACCATCAAACACCATCAAACTTTCTTTCTCTTTCAGGGTTCTGTGACCTACAGGCCCATGGCGTGCGCACTTTCGACGGCACTCTGATCGAGCTGCCCGATACCGACTGCTTCAAGGTGGTCGCCCGCGATTGCTCGCCTTCCAAGAGGTTCCTCGTCTTGGCTCGTGCCACGAACAACCCTTCGCTGACCAAGGTGAGGATTCGAGATAGCCGGCCCGAACGCGCACACTATTTAGTTGTCGCACGAACTTATAAGCAATATTACGTGGAATACGGCGAAAATATTTGATGCACTGTTAAATAAGTAACCTTATCAGCAAGCACAGGTCCGGGTTAACTGGCGGAACATGGGAGAGGCCTTCGTCCTGCAGTGGACGTAGTCAGGCTGATGATGATGATGATGATGATGATGATGATGATGATGATGACGACGATGATGTTCAGCTTCCCAGGTAACAATAGCACACTTGTCACTCAAGTTTGAACGGGTCGCAGAAAGATAAAGGCTTGCTTGATGTTGGCGACTGTGGACAAACAAAACAAAGCTAAGCCTGTGCAGTGGTGCTGAAATGTGAGTTAAGACATCCTGTAGTTTCGAGAGCGTCGCTGGGGATTGTTTTTCTTTACCCGCGATATGTCGCAAAGACCCTGAACGCGCGGTATAAAAGCGTTTCTCCGCCTGTCCTTTGTCACGGTGATCGTAAATAGCGTGTACGTGTTGTGCTATCACTACAAATTTTGCGTTCACACTATAGACCACTAGAAAGTCGCCTCGCAAGCTGCATTGTTCGTGCTTGCTAAGCAGTGAACTGCTAGCCTTATTTTGGCGTGCCAGTCGAGTTCCTTACTATTGCATTGACTGCATTACCCCCTGTGAAGACTCTGAACTCTTATGTTACCTTCTAGATATCCGCCTGACGAAAGGCTGGCGGATAGAAGTGATATAGCCAGATCTCAGCAGCATATTAGCCAAGCAGAGCAGAATGTGCAATTAGAGATTTGCTATGGAGAACTGTGGAACTATTTTTATGCACCAAGCTATAGTGGTTTGCCGTCCTTATAATGAACAAGCATTAACGTTACCTTCCACAGACTGGTTATCTCTGCAGCTACTTATAAGTCTGTCTCATTGCGGATGTCGTTAATCGAATCGCTTCTGCCTTCTCTGGGCAATCGAACGCAGGCCCTGAAGATGTTCATCGACACGACGATGATTGAGATTTTGCCACTGGGCGAGGATTCCGGCTTGGTGCTGCGAGTGGACGGCAACAAAGTGGACATCACGCCCGAGCACTCGTACAGCCACACCTCACACGACGCCGAGCTCTTCAGGGTCAAGACCGCGGGCGGCAAGGTGTTCACGCTGGACTCCGAGTCGTACGGACTCCACGTATATTTCACCGGAAACCTACTCTTCGTCGAGGTTAGTGCGATGGCTGCCTTTTGTACTGAGCGGATGCACCCCTTTATATAAAGAACTGGGACATTAGGCGAATGCGCAGTGAGCAGAACTGATGCAAAAGCGGGTAGCTCTAGGGGCACCAATAGCAACAGTTCGAAAACCTCTGCTGTGGATAAGTTCATTTTCTGTCTTCGACTTAGATTATCGAAAGGTAAATTAAAGGGACATTTTGTTTGTTTGTGAGTTTTTGTTGTAATTTGTAGCTTTGTGTCTCGTTATCCCAGAACCAAATATTAAATGTTCCAACTTATCGTATAAAAAACGATGGTGTTGTAAATCACGACCAATTTTGCGTCCCTTCAAAACGGCCACCTAAGGCCATCAGAAACTACCACCCCACTGTGGGCGAGCACCGAATATCCTGTGCACTCAAGCTTTGGTGTCATTGGGAGCAAAGTTTCGAAATCTGGGCCCCGCGTACGGAAAAAGATTGAAACGATGCGAGTGGTTCGGTATGATAGGCCCGTTAACCGGGTTTCCTTCATTCAAAAAGTGCCACACAATATCGAAGAGCACTAGGAGATAACACTGCCCCCCAAAAAATAGTGGGGAAGTTGTAAGTATAGTAAACGTAACGTAAATCTGAAGAAAAAAATGTGGAAAGATAACTTCCTAGAATTCATGAATCACGATAGACGTGTACACGTCAGCGTGTGCCATATTCACGCCCGTTCGTTTCTGTCAGGTGGCTCCGTTCTACCGCGGAAAACTGTGCGGCCTGTGCGGCGACTACAACCTGGACAAGAACCACGAGCTGTCCGGGCCCGACGGTCACCAGTACAACAACACCCTGGAGTTCGCCACGAGCTACGTGGTGCCCAGTCCCGACTGCCACGCGCCGGCCCACTAACCGTCGTCGGCGGCGGCGCTCACTCATCACGTCATCGCACTGAGCACGTCTCCCACAAACTCACTTGAAGATTACAAAAGAAGAGAGAGTGAGATTTGAAGAAAGCGATCGCTTATGCTCGCTTTTATCGTCAACAAGCGAGGAGTTTCGGAACAAACTGTCAAGTTTTAAATTTCGCCAAGACGTCACGATATAGTTCTTCATCTGCAATGGAAAATGTAAAAAAAAGTCAATAAACAAAACCCAAAGTGTTATGTTACGGCCGTCTATATGTGTTTATAATTGCATGGTTCATCGAAAAACCCCAACGAAGTTTGTCTGTCGTATTCTGATGTGCTTTGTTAATCGCCCTTGCGCTCTGGTTTGTCCATCAGGTGTGTTCTGGTGTAACCGTAAAGGGCTGGCATGGTGTGCGAGTGGTGACTGCTCGACACGCTATAAAGGGTGGAACACAGCGACCAAGCACTAACCCCGAGTAAATTTCGAGACTACAAAAGTTCCCCGATCAAAGTAGCCAAGCCGATGAAACAAGTTTGATTTCTACTAGGCCTAGCTATGGAGGATGGAACACGCTATAGAACACGCTATATAGGGCAGAACACGGCGACCAAGCGCAAACCACGAGTAAATTTCAATACTACAAAAGCTCCCCCATCAAAGTAGCCAAGCCGATGAAACAAGTTTGATTTCTACTTGGCCTAGCTATCCACAAGCAAACAACCCTGAAAAAGCCATCGTTAAATCCTAAAGAGAGAGCATTTGTTTGTAACTTCGCGACGACAACTCAAGAGCATATATCGAAAAAATGTCAAACGCTGTATAAAAAGAGTGCAATATGTTAGTCAACTAGTATGTAGAAAAATCTCTTTTACTTAGTGGAGTATTTATTAAATGAACAGAAAACAAATCGCCTGCTATACTAGTGGCGTTAATTCCCCGTCCTCTTATGCATCGTTACAGATGGAACTGTGGTTTCTCAAACTGGCTAAACCGCACTACCTCAGAGATATCGCCACAATGGAGGCCATGTTATATAGTTGGAAGGATGTCGAAAAGGGAGAGGAAACTATTTCTGAATGGGCGTTTCTGCAAAAGTCAAGTCACCAACTTCTCTGTGAGAAGTGGTTTGCATACACGCGATGTAAGAGCGGAATACTGACAAAGACTGCACACTGCAGTTCTTCCATTCGTGACAAAGTCGATGTCGATGTACGTCTGACAGTAGTCTATCAGTCATGAAATGCTTTAGCTCTCGTTGTCAGCAACAATTAGGTAATTTTGAGCTTCAAGCTAAGCATTTAATCCGGGTAATCAAACGATAACAACCCAGAAGCGCTGCGAACACAAAACGACCATGACCATGCCTGAATCGAAATCTGAGGAGTGTTAATTTTGGGGGACCTCAGTTTACATTCCCACGTAATGTGAGTGAAAGCTGGCCGTCGAAAGGGTGCCGCGAGCCAGAACATGGCACGGCTTATACGCGAGCGTGGATATGTATTTGTCTGCAGGCAGCACCACTTATGCGCTTCTTTTACACCTAGCCGTGGGTGGGGCGCGGAGCTTCGGCGTCGTTGTCGACGCTTGTGTTCTGAGATATCTTGGAAGAGGGTGCGGAGCCTGGGATAGAAGATAGGCCTTTAGACGAGGGTCAGTCACTCGGGGAGTGATAGCTCCAGCAGCGTTGTCCGCGCTATCATTACCCGTTTCTGCAAGATGTACGGCGCATCATATGATGTAATGTTTCTGGTCTACAGTGCTGCAACTTCCGGGCAACCAGTCAAAATAGTTTCACAGTTTGACGGCATGGGTTTAGCCGCTATCCTTACTATCTCTGCAATATGTACGGCACATCATATGATCTAATGTTCCTGGTCTATAGTGTTGCAACTTCCGGGCAACCAGTCGAAATAGTTTCACAGTTTCACAGCGTGGGTTTAGCCCCCTTCGTACCTAGAGGATATGCAAAAGCAAATATCCCTAATTCACCGTTACTTTTATTTCAATGTGATGAATAAAGAAACGCGATTTAACAGGTTGTATTAATCCCCACCCAACTCTGCATTCTTGTATGCGTAGTGTTGAGTAACGTAGCCAGAAACGAACAATTGCATGTGCTGCGTGAATTGGAGTGGTGATTGTGAACAGGGGGTGGACCAGAACTACAAGAGAGAAGGCAGGTAGGTTAACCTGGTGCTCGCCCGGTTCGCTACTCTACGCCGAGGGAATGGGAAGGGGGAGTATAAAGATAAGAGATAGATAGGAGAGAGAAGAGAAAGAGACAAAAAAAAGGATTGTCAGTCAATGGGCTGACGCGTATGCAGTGGTGGCACTGCACAAAAGTTAAAGGTGTTCGCATAGGCCTGTAGTCTTCAAAAAGCGCAAGACGGCTTTGACTGCCTTTTGAGCCGACGAAAAACGAGAACGGTGCTCCAGTAGCATCTGCATTGAAAGTGGCCGATCGTTCAATTATCGCAATGCGTCAGGAAGCTTCTGTCTTTCAGAAGCAAATCTAGGGAAACGGCATAGCAGATGGTCGATGTTTTCTTCGGTGCCGCAGACGTCGCATTCCGCATTGTCGGCCAATATAATGAGGGTTGTATATGCCTTTGTGAAGGCAACCCCCAACCAAAGGCGACAAAGAAGTGAAGCTTCACGTCGACGAAGTCCGGATGAAGGCAGAAGTTCCAATCGAGGGTTTATTTGGTAGAGTCTCGTATGTCTTATGCTTTGGGTGTTCCACTCCAACAGACACAGACTACGTGCTAGGTGACGAAGTTGCTTTGCAGCGTCCGTCCTTGACAAAGGAATTGTGAACAGATGCCCAATTTGTTACTATGAATGTTTTCTCCCGAAACAATCTTATTTTAGGCCCCCATTTCTGAGCTTTAACCGCACTCGCGGAGGTATGCTATTGTTTGGCTTAGTTGTGCAGCATAGATTATCATAGGGATCCGTAAGACAGATTATCAAACAGATCATTATCAAAAACCGATTACTAAGATTTAAAGAAATCTGTACGTGGCACTCTCTGTCGGCGGCAGCAACAATGTCCTGCCGTAACTGAATGTGAAATAGGTTTAAAAAAAAATCACGTCTGACAAAGAGCTCGTTGCCTGTAGGCCCATGTGCTCAGATTTGAGTGCACGGTAAAGAACCCCAGGTGGTCGAAATTTCCGGAGCCCTCCACTACGGCGTCTCTCATAATCATATGGTGGTTTTGGGACGTTAAACCCCACATATCAATCAAAGAGCTCGTTGCCGTAAAGAAATCCCGGTCATATGCAACAGAGACCAAAGGGGACATTTTGATAAAATAGCACTATCGCACTACAAACCCCATGATTTCCCAGGACAATCGAACAAACCCAATATGAACACGATGGCTCATTGTAAACTGTCAAGCACTGGTGGAAGCCACGCATTTTTTATGCCGCTGATTTTACGCAACGAGCTTTCAAATTCGAAGCATTTGCCTACTGCAGACACTTAGATCGTATCTATCTATCTATCTATCTATCTATCTATCTATCTATCTATCTATCTATCTATCTACCTATTATCTATCTATCTATCCAATCTATCTATCTATCATCTATCTATCTATCATCTATCTATCTATCTATCTATCATCTATCTATCTATCTATCTATCTATCTATCTGTAGTGTGCTGTGGGCCGTTGTTCACGCTGTATCGAGCCGCTGGTACGACGCGTGCGCGGCCGAGACGTACTTGGTGGCCGAGCTACCGAGCTGCTGCAGCAGCAGATGTCCGTGCCACGTCAACCAGCCAGGCGGTGGTGAATCGTCTCCAAGCGTAGGGCATCGACGTCCCTCAGCTGCTTCAAACACAGCGAGACACTTCTGATTCGAAAGACAGTTAGCTCAGCTAAGACAGCGTTTATCAGATTACCTCTCGTGTTACTCGTTATTATATCAGTCTTCTCTGCCCCGCCACGGCTGCTGATTCGCAGGTCACGGGATAAAACTCCGGCTGCGGCTGCTGCATTTTCGATGTAGGCGAAAATGTTGTGGACCCGTGTTCTCGGATTGGGGTGCACGTTAAAGAGAACCCCAGGTGGTCAAAACATCGAGATTTTTTCCACTACGGCGTCTCTCATAATCATGTGGTGGTTTTGGGACGTTAAACCCCACATATCAAATCAATAAATCAGTTTTCTCTGTAAATATATGTTTTTGTGTGTGCATTCGTGTCTGGACCGTTACACGCTGAGTTGTCCTGGGCCCGAAACCTGGTATTCCACCAGAGTAGTCGACGTTCCTGGTAAGCCAATGATGTACCCACAACTAATGCGCTTTCAAAAACACGTCGATCAAACATGGAACGCATGGCACAATGGCAAGCGTCACAAGGTGTCACGCTCGCGTGTTTGCGCGAATAAAAAGTGCGTTTACCTTGAGCCCCAACGTGATTAATAACTTGGTAAAGTAAAGAACACTCGACCTGCTGCAGTGCACCAAGGAGGAAGGTTTGCAGAGTGCCTCTGTTTAGAATGCTCCCGAAAGGAGTAGTGTACAGGAGCGACGTAAGCCTACTGACCTCATGCAAATCGGTAGAACTGACGTGCATTACCTGACACATTCAGAGCTCGCGCTGGCACTTCGCTCGCAGCGGGATTATGACAAATTGTGGAACGTTTTCTCTGATAAAACTATGATAGACGTTGCAAAAAAACTATACAACCCACATCTGCTGCTCGCGTACGTTCTCTCATGCTAGAGACATCACAATTCGTGCAAACTACGGAAGCCATGGACTCGTAAATGAAGGATTCGAGAACTATGTGACGCCAGCCGCCTTGAAAGATTATTCCACTATTGGCGTGACGGCTACGAACGGCGCTGGCTGGGTACATCGACTGCAGAAAAGGTGGCTTTCGCCTCCGAGTCACCTGAGGCGAATGCATAGGCGACCTTTCAGAGCTTTACAGCAATAGCTGTTATGAGATCCCAACTAGGGTCCCTCGCAGTTGTCCACCGCTATCGCAGTCGGTGTCCGTAACCAGATGGAAGAAATTAGTAAAAAAAAATTAGCACCAAAGACACAGTGGGGCTAAAAAACTCGGGTCTGCCGAGTGCCCGCTAAATATTTTACCACTGAGTTACACCGGTTAGGGGGACTTTTTTGGCAAACCTAGCACCAAAGACACAGGGGGGTTCGAACCCGGGTCCGCTGGGTGCCAGCCCAGTATTCTAACACTGAGCTACGCTAGTTTTTTTTTCTTTATTGCCCACTTGACTACAGGTCAAGCTAATGTGACAAACACCATCACACGTGTTTCGTGTGTGATAACGCATCAAACAAATATATTACATCTTCAACACAGTCGGTTGTCTTATACACATCTCGCACTTTTATAACAGCTTCCATGAAACACTCATTAACGGATAGAACTCTTCCATCACAGTGTCTGTACGATAGGATACTACGCCAAACCGTATGAAGACCAAGTAAAAATATAACGTCCCAATTTCGCACAGAACTATCACAAGGCAAAAAACGAATTCCATGTGGAGTAAGACGTGCTTGTGACTTGTTGGCAAACTTGCCTAAGGCAGGCTTGATGTCGGGAAAGCAATCGCGTTAATACGACTTACAATGCGTTTTAAAACAGCGAAAGAACAACCAGTCGTCGCACAGTGCGAATAGCGTAACGCGTGGGTCGTCCAACGCTCCAACCCATTACAAAAGCTTGTTCTTATTACCCTACTAACTGTGACACATGCCCACTTCAGCCATGATTCCTCATCGTCGTCAGTCACTGCATGAACAGTTGGCACAAAATTCCTCGCAAGTGTTTAGCGGATACCACGCTTCTCAGAAAAATGATGAAAAATAGCATAGCGAATGACCGGCCTACTACCCGAAAGTTTATTATTGATGCCCTACTGGGTATCGAGCAAGTGTGCTTGCAGTAGTTACCCAATGAGTGTTTTGAGAAGGCCGCTCTTCTAGCTTTCGCTGTGACTGTGGTTGCCCCTTCTGCGCGGACCTGGCGTCTTTTTTGTTGTTGTTTTTTTTTTTGCGTCTCGCCTCTACTAGGCCGCAACCACGGCAAAGAAAGCCAAGTCGCACAAAACGTGACTACGAGGCTCGGAAATTTTACCAACGCATGAGACAGCAAAAGAGAGATGCATTGATTGCCGCAATATAATCGCACGCACGCTCCTACTTTCCGATTACCCACTAAGCGGAGGACTCACGACTCACTCACTCACTGACTCACTCACTGACTCACTCACTGACTCACTCACCGCTTACCGTACGCCACCGATTCCACGAGAGGAAAAAAAAACGCATTCTCATCCAACCGCACACACGCATCCGTATAACAGCCTATCGTGTGAGTAAAAATGCGCGCACTAAAAACAGCAAGCCACCCAGATAAGGCGGCCCACGCAATCATCCCCGCTGCCGTATCAATTTTCAAGGATAGATATACTTCCTATAGTCGCACGTGTGACCCCGTACTATACGCTGCCGCCGTCGGGCAGTCGTGAAATCTGAGCACCGACGGAGATCTGAGGAAGAGCGACCTAAACCCTCACCGGGTGCATGTTGTTTAGACGGCTCGAGATCCGAAGTTGAGAAGCATTTCTCTCATCCCCTCCCCCCCCCCCCCCCAGCAACGCCTTCTTAGACGTGCGTGGGCCTGCCTGCTCTCTTTCCGTGTCAGCCAATCATTGCGCCCAAAGCGTAGCTATAGCCCAAATCCTCACTCGCACAAAACCGTAGCACAGCAGCGCCACTGCAGCTAATGCTACTGAGTACTTAAGGCTTCCAAACAGCAGGCGCAAGCTTATAGAGCTCAGCTTGGAATGAGCTTAAGCTCGACACTGCCATGATGAGAGTGATACGGTTATGGCTGCTGGCCGCCGTCGCCTCGGGTGAGTTGATGTCGTTAAATCAGCGTGTTTCGCCTGAGAACATTCCCAAAGACTACTGCGCCTTCGCCAGTACTTTCGACGTATATATTTCGCGTAAAAATGTGGCTATGGAAGTAGTTTGCGTAATTTTTGCGACACTAGGCACGTAAGGCTCGTTAAGGCAAGCGTCCCGTCGGTGAAAACTATGGAAAACAACTCCTCGGTTTATAATTTCAGACATGTCACAGACGCTGCGCTAACTGGCAGATGCATTGATTCTTTGAACGATCCTCGTAATACTGAACGAGTACAGGTTAATTTGCAGCGCATTAGCGCGCAATAGGCGTGGGTTTTGCAGACGCCATGCCGATGATATGCTATAGGTTAACAACATCTCTCGCAAGTGTACCCCGTCCTTGGACTCCAGTGACCGTGCTTCCATCTTTCCTGTCTCTCCTATCCCCTCAGTTTGTTGTCGCTTCTTCTTCCTCTTTTCTACACCTTTACTCCTACCCTTTTTATCCCTCCTCACCCCCATCCCTTGTGAGCTACTGTGGCGGTGTCGCTCATCGAAGCAGACAATAACGGGGCTCACTTTTCTCTTCCTTTCTCTTTCTTAAGAATCACTCACAGTATACCGTTGAATGGGAGCACACAAGCGAAAAGAAAGTTAAATGACCAGTATCTCATAAACGAAGGTGACTATCATACCTCAGAGACGGTGCATACAGATTTCCAGGTGAGAGTGCAAGAAATGCAAAAAAAAAATGCCTAGCAGCAGGCTTAATTGACCCCGACCTTAACTCCTGCAGAAGACGAACCGATGAATTTATTTTAGCGTCGCATTTCCCTACATGCACTGTATTACGTGCGTAAAAGCCGGTAGTGCCTCGCAAGTACTTCTTCCCTCCGCCATTAAGAAATGGTAAACATACTTTATGGGCACGCTTAACACAAATTATATTAATGCTGTATAAACCGGTAACACTAGGCTAGTAAAGCTCTATATTTCAGAACTATAGTTAAGAGATATAGAGACCTTGATCTCTATATTCCTGAATATAGCTATCAAGATCACTGCGGTGACTGAACCGGTAAGACGACGTCAGTGCTTCTCTATATCCCTCAGCGAGACGCATCAATAAACGTCTTTAAAAGGTGCACTTAACTACACACATTCCATTATTGTCTATAATCAAGTAGTACTACTCAAGTACTTATCTATATTCCTCAACCAAGGGAGCCGGTAAATGTCCAATAAGGTCGCATTTAGCAACGCGAGAACAGTATTAGCGATATATGAACCGCTTTACTAAAAAGAGAATCTCTGTATTCATCGAGGACACAAAATGTCCACTAAGATTGCGTTTAACTAGACGTATTGTATTCATCTTGACAAGCCGGTGCTACTGTGCAAGTACTTAACCATTACCTACAAAGATAGGAACCTATGAATGCCATTTAGTGTAGTGTCATTTAACCACACGAAGTGTGTTATTGGCGCATGAACCGGTACTACAATGTCGTCACTTCTTTACCCTCCTCAGCGAGTCGAACTGCTGAGTGCCCTTTATAGTCGCGTTTAACTAAGCGTACTGTATTAGTGGTGAACAAACTACTAACACAACGGAAGCACTTCACAATATTAGTCAATGCTCTGGACAAGGCGCTCCTTCACTCTAAATAAAGAGCGAGTAAAACGGGTGTCTTTTTGTCCCACAACAATAATCGTCATCTATATTGCGTTCCATCCTTGCGCTATCGCCCCGCGCCTGGTACATTCCGGTCACGATCGACATGCCCATTATCAGGGTTACATTGCATTCTCGATATAGGAAAGTGGCCAGCGCCGAGTTTTCAAGAAAGGAAGCGCACGCAAGACTGATGATTATTGTTGTGGGACAAAAAGACACCCTTTTTACTCGATATTTTTTTAGAGTGTTGGTGCTGCTATAACACCACGCCACGGCTGCCTGGGAGTCGCTCCGCAATGTTCAGACAGTCAGAAACAGAAGCATGACCGGAAGATTAAAAAAAATGAAGAAGAAAAGAAAGCAAGCTTCACCCCAAATGTAAGCTGTTCGAACTGCTAAGAGTTCATTCGCCTGTGTTTTGCTTCGGTTTATCTTGCGTTCATACACTCTAAAAAGTCTTGCGGAGGAACTGCGAAGTTACCCCCGAAAAGGGCTCAATTCTGCTTCTAAAGACAGAATGCGCAAATAAGATTGCTCGCGGCATGGCAAGGAGGGACACTTTCCTCCTTGGGGAGTAAACCGCCCATTTTTTGGGAGTAACTGGAGGAATGTTTGCACCGCATGCAAATGACCCACCGGTGCCTACACAAGCCTGTTTCCTTCCAGGGGGCCATAGCGTGGCGTCGTGTAGTGGTTAGCGTACGCGCATGCTGGCTGAGTCGTCGTGAGTTGAAATTCCGTGTGTTTGCTGCAAAATTTTTCGAAATTTATATCTGAATGTGATGCTTGCACATCGACTGTACATCTAATCGAATGCCAGCACGGACTTCGAAAGGCTGAGAAAGCCAACAAAAACCTGATTCTTCTCTTGCGAGAGCGCGGTTGCTCCTTCGCATTTGCTCCCAAAACGGTGCAATGGGTGTAGTTACTCCTCTAAAGGTGCAACCTCGATACCCCTTTTTCTCCTCCACTTCTTAGAGTGTATATGCTCGTTTTACTCCTTTTGTGCTCTAGTATTGTGTTTATAGGCTCCAATCGGTTCTAGCAGTGTGATTATGTAACATTTCACATTCTTCTCTGTTATTGTTTAACAGTTATCTTACCAGATACGTTTCGTTGTTATGTATATTTCCTGTTCTATGGCCTATACTTTCCTGCTTTTTCTACGGTTTGCCGCTCCGGGACCGAGGCGCTGCCTACCCACCGGCGCTGTCGAAACTTCACGCTTCCATAGATCTGCGCCCAACTACCGTTGCAGGCGTTATTTCGCAGCAATCGCTTCGCTTGCTCGGACCACGGCTGCACTGGAAAGGCGCGCGTACCAGTGAGTTCACTTGCGTGCCTGCAGTCCTGCCATGCTCGGACCGACGAATTAGCGAATCGGCGACGCTGGCACTCAAGAACAAGCTGGCGCTCGTGTTGCTAAGGTGCAGCTTGCAGAGCTTATGTTTATTTTGATTCGTGAGACCTGCGTGATCGAAACGAGAGATACGAGACGAGCGACGACAGGCCGTTCGTTCCACAGTTACAACATATTTCGAACAGGAGGTACGGTCAACTTACGCCCATAATTTCAGAACCCCCACCCCCCGCCCCAATACTGGCATTACATTGGGGACAATATTTGTGGTTTGTTAACTGTGTTGTAATTATTCTCATTTAAACTGAGAGCGAGAATCCCTACAACCTTCACAATCAAACGTTGTGGGATCGAATCCTACCGACGGAAAGGGTGGTCTTTCGTCCACTTTTTTGCTTTCAGTTTAAAAGATAATCATTAAACTATAGTTAAAAAACCACATACTATGTACCTTCCTTGCATTAATAGTCTGTCGGTTTCATCAGTTCATAATAGTGGAAAACGAAATCCTCAGACAATTTCCCCTATACTTTCGCAATATCACTTGAAGTTGCACATGTCACTCCCTGGTATCAGGATCCGTCTATCAAGCCTTAATCATCTATAGTAATGTTAACGGGTTCGTCCTAATGTAATTTTATGATAGTAGCGGTTTCGCATAGCTGATTTTCCCTCTTTTGTGTGAGCGTCTGTGAAACTTGTGCAGTTCGAAACGGAACGAGAGACACAGAAAGCTCTCATCCTGGTCATTTTTGTATGCCTCGTTCGGCTTCGCAATATACTCCACCTTATCCTTTGTGCGGCCTCAGATATGATGCCACGACGCGCTCTGTTTCACTATTCCCAGATTGTGGCCCAGCTTACTCGGCGAGAAAATGCAGCCACGATAACACCGCGGAGAGCTTCCCCCTTAAAAGGAGCCGCGAGACAGAGCCTGCTCGAAGTCACGCGAACGCGGCATTTCGTAGCAACTACAACAGTGCCCTATACCGCGCGTGCCCCATCTTTGGCAATATTAACACTTGGGGTTTCACGTGCCGAAACCCCGACATGAAGACGAGAGACGCCGTGGTGGAGCTCTCCGAAAAATTCGGCCACCTGGGTTTATTTAACCCCCACCTTATTCTAAGCAGACGTTGGCCTCTGAACCCTTTGCCAACATCGAAATGCAACCCGCTATCGTTGCTCAGTAATCAAGCACCACAGCCCCACCGCGGTGGTATAGTGGCTAAGGTACTCGGCTGCTGACCCGCAGGTCACGGGATCGAATCCCGGCTGCAGTTCCGGTGGAGGCGGAAGTGATGTAGGCCTGTGTGTTCAGACTTGGGCGCGCACGTTAAAGAGAAAGAAAAATGGTAGGTGTAACCTTATAATACAAGAAGAGAACAGAGTAAATTAGGGAACAAACGGGTGTTAAGGATATCATAGTTGAAATCAAGAAGAGGAAATGGACATCGGCCGGGCATGTAGCGCGTAGACAGGATAACCGCTGGTCACTAAGGGTAACTAACTGGATTCCCAGAGAAGGCAAGCGGGTTAGGGGTAGACAGAAGGTTAGGTGGGCTGATGAGATTAAGAAGTTTGCGGTATAAATTGGCAGCAGCAAGCACAGGACCGAGTTAACTGGCGGAACATGGGAGAGGCCTTTGTCCTGCAGTGGAAGTAGTCAGGCTGATGATGATGATGAAAGAGAACCCCAGGTGGTCGAACTTTCCGGAGCCCTCCATTACGGCGTCTCTCATAATCACGTGGTGGCTGTGGGACGTTAAACCACACATATCAATCAATCAATCGAGCACCAAATCCTCCCGACTACTGCGGCTAGTGTTGCTTTGCGTCGTCAAAGAAATCGAGCTTAACATATTGCTCACGTTTCCTGGGGAGAGCTGTTCAATGTGAAACCCTTTCAATACGCGATGTTCCCATCTCGCGTCCATCCCAACGGCATGTTCCGATAGCTTAAGACTTGAGCCCAATTATGAGGCTCAGTAACTTCAACGACTAAACGTGCGTAGACTTGACCACTGCTTCTTCCCTGTTATGTTAAACACCAACCAGTTCCTAGATTGGCAACAAAGCAACCTGCCTGATTTCCAAAGCGCCTACACCCACAATATGTAGGGCTCTCAAGATGGCCACGATTATCCTTTGTGATTTTTAAAAGAGAGAAAAGGAGATAAGAATGAGCCCCGTAACTGTCTGCATCACAGTGCGACACCTAAACAGTAGCTCACGAGGGATGGGGGTAAGGAGGGATTAAAAGGATAGGATTGAGAGGTATAGAGATAGAGAGAGGGGGAAGGAGAGCGTGGCGCAGGGGCAGCGACATCTGGAAGTAAGGAAAAGATACGAAAGATGGACACGATCGCAGGAGTCCCAGGACGAGGCACCACTCGGCGAGAGCTCTTGTCGGCGGCAGGAGATGGCGTAGGGCGAGCCAGTCGGCCAGAGCTGCGCTGTCGTTGGAGATCGCGGGGGCACAACCGGTCGGCACGAAATCCAGAGAGCGAGTGTCGGTCATGATTTTCTTTTCTAGCCTATAGCCCACGCTTTCTCGGTTTTATGCGATAAACATCTATTCTTCTTTTTTTTTTTTACCACGGAATCTACTCTTTTCGGAAAGATATTGAAGGGTAAGCATTGATGGGTTCTTTGTCTCCATCTTCTTAAAAAATAGCCTTCGAGGTCGGCAAGGAGTATGTGTACGAATACAAGGGAACCATGTACGTCCTGAACCCTGAACAGCGACACCAACTGACCGGCCTGGGATTCCGAAGCAAAGTCATCATGCAGCCCAAGCCCGACCACACGCACTTCAAGGTAACTGCATGAAAGAACAACATAAGGAGTAGTGCTGCACTGATTGCCACCAGGCTGTCCGACACGATGCGATCAAGTGAAACGAATTCGTAAAGGTAGTTGCGCAAAAAGGTGCGCATGACCAGAGAGATTCGTTCTGGGCTACCATGCCTAATTTTAAAGTCTTTCAGCCTCGGTAGTTCAGTACGGTGTGGCATTTTGTTTAAGGTTTGACGCTGTGCACGTTTTTCAGTCTCCGTCTCTTTCACAGCTGTGTAAGCTGCAGCGATCGATACGTAACTATGCACAATGGACCGCCTTCGGTTCCCGAACCAATCACTCCATATTAGATAGAATGAATGAGGATCCTTACTGCAGTCCTCCTTGTTATCTAACTCGGTCACGTTTTAGTGCAAAACACCCTGAGCTTCTCTTCTTTACTTCAAGAACATTAGTTTAGCATGCGGCTGATGGCATCGTTAGCAACGCTAGCGCCAGGAAAGCGACTACAAAAGAAATCTCGATAGAAATTATTAGATTCACACTTTGTGGTGGCATTGTAACACTCACTCTCTTTATAGACATCACGCGCTCGTGTAACATTTTTTTTTTCAGATTTCGAACTTCGAAACTGAGGCCTTCAACTCGGAAGAGATGCACCTGAATCAACACGAGTTCCACTACACGCCAAACGATCTCCAGCACGACGCTCTCGAGCACCCCTTCGCCGGAAAGTTCGACGAAGGAAAGGTACGGTGACGCATGGAGAACCTTAGAGTAACTTGGAGAAGCAACACAATACACCGTTGAAACAATGACGTTGCTAGACTCGCCTACGATCGCCACATGCACTTGTGCGTGTGTCCTCTTCGCGCTTCTTGATGAGTCCGCGCTAAACACTTCAGGCATGTCGGATAATTTGCACTATGTATAATAGTGACATATTCACAAAAATAATGCGTACATTCGCAAGCCCACATGCGTACATTCGCAAGCCCACAGAGAACGCCAGGAACAAGTTTGTTAAAGTGCAAGTCCACTCAACTGAAACTATTCAGCCACCAATGCTGGCGTCAAAGTCAGTGACATCGACAAGTCTTGCGAATTCCATAGCCTTGCTGTGAGTCATGGGTCTTGAAACAAGAATTGTCCCGGATTTCATTTTGTATCTTGTTTCATATTGTATGTCGTCAGTACTTGTCACATATAAAAGCTACTCGACGGGTCTATTCTGTGCAGCGGTCCGCATTAATTACATGCATTGCCCCATAATTTATGCTGAAGATTCCAGGTTAAAACAGATACCAAAATTGTGGCATTTTTTCTTAAAAAACAAAAAAACAGGCTACGAAGTTTTCCAGATGCAGCGTCTAATAGCCGGTTCTGGCAGCGGAACGAGCACGAACATTTCCTTGCACACCGCTGTATTGCCTCGGTATTAAGAGTCGTTGGAACCTTTCTGCATCTCGCCTGGATAACGAGTGTCTCCGTGAGCGCCGCTTTGTCGACTACGCGCAATCATGACGACGTCAAAGGGTGTCATCGCATCATGATTTTGTTTCGCATCACTCGTGCTGATGCCGAGATTGCCGATGGTTACATTCCTAGTTTGATGAGGCCTCCAAGGGTGTCTGTCCACTTAACATCGATGTTTCGCGTAGTCTAGGGCTCGGAGATTTAACAGCGGTTGAAAAAGGCGACACGGTACACAAACTTAATTAGACCATATTTTTTTCCATTGGTACTGACTGACCCGCTTCGTGCATCGGCTGCTGCAGATCGAGGAGATCGAGCTGAGCAAGAACGCACCTCTATGGGTGAAGAACCTCAAAAAGGGCATACTGTCCCTCTTCCAATTGGACCTCGTCAAGGGCCGTCACGACCACCACCGGGAAAGGGAGTACCACGTCAAAGAGGTAAACAGCCGGAAGAGGTAACAAGTCACACAGTGCCTTATGCATTTGCCTATGAAGACTCGGAGCCAAAGAACTGCATTACTTTTTTCTACTCTGTCAAATATACTAATCTCCTGCCCTCTCCCTCGCCCCTTGAAAGCTTTCTACGTCCAATGCGGCTTTAACCACAATAGCACAGTAAATTATGATGATCCTATATTCAAGTATCGTACGTCACATTATCTAAAAGGTGAATACGTAAAAGGGGAACAGAGAGCCAGATAAATGCTAATTCTCGTGCTTTCACGTCGTGAAACCGCGGTAAGATTATGAGGGACACCGCAGTGTAGGGCTCTGGAAATTTCTACGCTATAGGGTTCTTTAGCGTTCACCCAAACCTATAGTTACACGCTTCTCTAGCGTTCCGCCTCCAAGGAAGTGCCGCCACTGCTGCTGGGATTCCATCCCGCAACCTTGGGCTCCGCAATAGAGCATCGTAACCACTAGGTGACTACCTTGGCGGGTGATAAGATGAAGTAAAGGTAAGGAAGAGTAATGATAAGATAAAGATAAGAAAGAGACCCCACTATCACAGAATCTTCAATTGATTCGAAGCTCAATCTACCTTGTTATTTCATGGTTACTAGTCGACACAACTAGCGACAACAAGTCGCATAGAAAAACGTGTGAACGGTGCCTGAAGTGGATATTACATTGTACGCAGGATGGCCTTCACGGCGTTTGCGACACCCTGTACGTCGTGCGCGCGGAAGGTCACGATTACATCGAGCTGACCAAGATTAAGAACCTGGAGAAGTGCGACCGGCCCCACTACGCCGTATTGGGCCGCGAGGTGGCCAAGAAGTGCGTCAAGGGCGAAGTGGAGGAAACGGTGAGTATAGACCGCGTCACCTATGCGCCGACTCGAAGCACCCGTTCGATGTGGTTTAGAAGAAGAGCTCCCAGGAAAAGTGGTTGAGTACGACGCCTTCGAGAAGGTGTATCACCTGAGCGTCTTTAACTACACGTAAGCCAAAAAATTTAATAATTATTCAACAATATACTACCGTATTCAGATCAATCAAACTCTCTCGTGTGGAGGGAAGAAGTTGATTCGATGTGTTATATACACTTCCTTTCACTTAGTGGAACTGCGTTGCTTTTCTTTTTCAGACAGGATGGAAATTTTCACTCTGCTTCCTATGACCTTACTTCCGAGAGCTTCTAAATAAATGTTGTAATAAAATTTCTCTTCTGGGAAAACACGGATTAACATAGTCCCATTTCGTTCAATACAAGAGACTTTACCTGACACTCACATACTCGCACTCTTGTGGTATAGTCTTCTTGTCACTGTGAAAAAATAATGTTTATTTTATGGCAGGTTAGCATTGATCATTCAATGAACAGCTTATATTTATCTTTTTTAGGGCTTTATATTGTCTCCATTCTGATATTAAGTTTGGCGAATTATAAAGAGTATTGCTCAAAACTTCATCTTCTTTTCACAACACCGAAGGGTTTTTTTTAGTACTGCAAAGGGTTAATCAAAACTGTTCTATCTAGGCTTCTTCGGATTATTTGAAAGTACGATGTCAATTAAGGGCTACGTTTTTCAATATGGTCAGCTTTATTTGAATTTTAACTGATTACTTTCAGCACCCATCCTCTTCAACATCTGAGGTATATTACGAGCTGAAGGGAACAGCGCAGAATTACGTGATCATGCACGCGTGGGCCGAGTCCGGATACCTGTTCAAGCCTCACGGCGAGGGCAAGACGATACACGTGAAACTGAAGTAAGTATTCACAGCGAGAGATGGAGATAGAAACAACTTTATTAGGTCCACAATAGACGCGAGTTAACTCAGCGTCACCTGTCTAGATAGAGAAAAAAATGACAAACCAACGAATAGTTTACGGGTTATCCTCATATAAACCTCCAGCTTGTGAAGGCGCTCATGAACGTGCCCTAGTTTGCATGTCAGGTCATGTAGTAGGGAATAAAACTTGAGTTTCACTTTCAGCATCGGTCAATTGCTGCAATGCTAAAACACACTATTGCTCTAGAATACAAGAAGAGGGAATTCATACGAAACAAACGATATGCTAACAAACGCGCAAGCTTAAAATTGTGGCTTTGTCTGAATAATAACTGCAGTTTTACACGAGTACAGTTATGACGTCGATCATTGGATCACCAGGCGAGGAACTGAACACGTCACTCGTATCAACGAAGTTAATGATCAATCGTGAAAGCAGCTTTATAAAGGTTATTTCCAGAAAACGGTGTTATAAGACAGACGAAACAAAAGAACACAAACAAGTGCGGCGGTCGACTTTCGGAGTCTTTGTTCTTTTGTTTCCAACAGCCTTAAGAGTGTTGTTTCCTGCAAATGATAATGAACCTACTAAACGAGTACGTACTTTTTGAGAAAGATTATCTGCCCACGTATGATCAATGAATCCACAGTGCTGATATGACAGAGACCACCGAAAGAGGACAGGGCGTGGTTAGTAGCTAGACAAGTAGCACAAAAGTATCCTTGTATTCCTCGTGTGAAACAGTAGTTTACATTGTTTCTTGGAAACGACGCGAAGAAGTTCCAGTCACTCTCTCTTTCTTTTTTTTTCGTCCTTTCCGCACGCTGTGCTCGTAGTTCGCGCTTGCAGTATTGCTTTTAGCCGGCAGACCAGCGACAAGCTTTCATTAGCCATGCTGCACTAGCGCAATGTTCTGAGCGTCCCCGCATAACTGCAGTCGCACCCTGGACCTCCTGGAAGAGCACGATTCCACCACGGACACCTCGCTCGGCGATGACCACGAGAAGGAGCACTCTCTGGCTCAGGACTTCGGCTTGACCGGCGACCTCACGAACCCCGAGGAGCTCAAACGCCAGAACGCTCCCTACAAGCACTTTAATGTGCACGGCAACAAGGAAAAAGTAAGACCGGGTTCAATTACGCCGAATTTCATGGCGCTTACTATCCCTCTCATACTCAGAAGAATTTATTCGAGCGCAGAAGCTTCCACTGTTTACACTAGCAACTGTAGGAATTAGTAGCTTACACTAGCAACTGTAGGAATTGTTTAAAGAGAACTCACCAGCGCTTATCCAAAATCAGCCAGTTACTACTATATAAATATGTATTAATCGTTGGTGTTTTAGGCCCGAACATCGGGATATGATCGTGAGCGACGCCAACGTGAAGGGCTCCGGAAATTTTCAACCACCCATGGTTCTTTGACGTGCGTGTAAGTCAATCCATACTCGGGCTTATAGCGTTTCGCCTTCTGAAAAGTGCAAAGCCAGGATTCTATCAAGCGACATTAGGGTGGGCAGGCGAGCACCACAGACACTAGACGAACGCGCTGGGTGCTAGTAAAGAAAGTCAATTCAGTCAGACCTTCCCATCAACTTCATGACAACTGTTTACAAAAAGCAGTAAGAAGCGGCTATCGGAATGCATTAACGGCTGTGAATATTTTGCGTAGAGAAACGAGAAACCACACTAATATAGGTTCATTAAACGTCGACCCCCTTCTTACTCTAACTCCCTCCCCTGACACACTTCAGTTCGCGGAAGGCCTGCACCAGCTGGCTGAGCTGGACTACACGGACGAGGACATCAAGGAGATCGACAACAAGCCGAGCGGAAGCCAGCTCTTCCTGATCCTGTTCAACTCTTTCGCGAGCTTGGACTACGACGAGATCAGCTGGGTGTACCAGAACCACGTGGCCTCTGCGCCAGATGGAAAGAAGGACAACATCCTGTGAGTGATCCTGTCATGTCCTGCCCACGTTCGAAATAAGGGCAAGCCTACTTGGCTTAGTTAGAGCCGAAATTCGAGCAAGTTGGTTTTGACTTAAATACCTAATGTAGCTGAACAAAGTAAGGACATATAAAGATACGCACAGACGATCGCTAGACTTTAACTAATAATTTACTACTTAACACACCATCCACTCTTCCCTTTTCGTGATTGAATGGAGGTACCAAGTTTACCCAAAAGAGACTTTAGTTTCGTATTCTCTTTAATTTTGCTGTTCTTCTTTCGCTATCTTTTGTATTCTCTCTTTGTGACATCCCTTAATCACTTTTCACTCCCCTTACCCTCTTCCCCAGCACAGGGTGGCCAGCCGGTCTAAAAACTGGCTAACCTCCCTGTCCTGCCACTCATTTCTTTCCTCCTCTACTTATTCGGAAAAAGAGCATTCACAAGTAATACGCATGCACGCATGGCAGCGTGCGAAACCCCGCATTGGCTAGCAAACCAGTGGTTGTATGGATGGATACGAAACTTCATTTGAAGTCCTGGGGTGCACGACTCAACGCGCAGCGGGTCACTTCCACGTTAGGACAGTCAGGCCAAGCCCGACCGCCGCATCGCGGGCCCTCTGGACTGCCCACAGTTGATCCCCGACATCAGGCCTCCTAATAGCGGATAAGCACTTTTTTTCGTTGGATTGGTTTGTGCCCCGCAACAAGGGGCAACGCCAGAGCATGTGGTGTAAACATTTTTTTTTTTTTTGCAATGTCCGAAAAAGTCGACAATTTTAGCCAGAAGTGGCTAAACAATTATGATGACGATAATGGTTTCATGACACTAGTTCTTTACTTGATAAAGCGCATGAAGAGATGTTTTTTTATGTATAAACAATATTTTAAATGAATTTCTGTTGTGGTGAATGAAGCTGCACTGCGCTGCTACCTCCTGGTTACGCCACTGTGAACCGGTGAGAGCAATACTCCACGTGTTTGTGGTAAACTGTAAGCCGTTCAACTAGAGTACGGTATAATTCGCCTAAGCATTAAAAAAAACGCAGCGCCACAAACAGCTTGATCATGTATGTTTTGGCCTCATTTATTGAGGATCGTCCCAAACATTGTACTGTTCTCACAGTTTAATATTTTTGTATGTCTGTTTTAGAACACTTTAGCTCAAATTTAGAAAGTTTTCCCAAAAAGTTACGAAGAGTTTAAAGAGATAAAAATCTCGCTAGCATGACTGAAAATAAGCTAATTTTAGCGACTTTCGCGCTACGTTAACACCACAGTAACAAAATGGGTGCAACCTGGTTAGCATCCCTGCCTTTCTTTTGCCCTTTTCTCTCTCTCTCTCTCTCTCTCTCTCTCTCTTTCTACTCATCCGGAGCTGTACCTCCTTTGTTTGAAGTACAGGGTTATTGGCAGCAGGTTTCCAACGCCAACAAGAACGTGAACTCTTGACGTTGCATTCCAAGGACTCTTTAGTCCCCAAGTTCACCTACGTAAACGAAAGGTGGCAAGTTGCGAAAATCACGTCATTGATTCGTATTTCCATCCTTGCAGAGCTTGTTTTCTTTCGGGCTCAAGCAATGGAACAGGGAGAGGGGGAGCTACTGTAAAACACGCCCCCTACCCCTTCATTCCAAACTTAAATAGGTACAGCAGCGCTAGACCGGGAACCATTCCCGCAACCCAGGAATCGGCGCTAAAGCACCTTAGCTACAAGATCACCATGGCTGGTCTACCTATAGCGTATCCGATCGAATGTGGACTCCTGAATGATATGCCTGCATTTTATTTATTTCGTCTCGTCTGACTCTCACTCTCCCTCTCTCAATCTATCTGGCATGACACCGTCTCGCTTCTTTTCACGCTGGCCTTAACGATGGACGTTAGAGGTACATAAAGCCACACACATCGCCATGCGTCGTCCGTGGTGTGCTCGTCTCTGTTCGTCGCTTTACCTGAGCTAACGACAAAGAAGAATACCCCTCCTACTGTTATAGTGGCCCGCGCACAATTCGTGTAGTCACGATGGCACGACCACAACGTCCACGTCCTTCCATGGCACAGCTTTCCAGCCATACTGGCACTGCCCCCGAGCCAATACGCTACAACGTCATTCAATTCACTCCAACATACTTGCGTGAGAGGTCTGGGTTTTGAATTTGGCCAAAACAATCTCCTCGAGGGCAATTCTCCTTAATCATATACCGACCATCTCAGGAGAGGTCAGCAAAGCCTCACCTTCGGGCTCAGAACCACACTTGGGTTTCGAAATTCAAACTTTCTTTTTCTCTATCCAGCCACGCGTTTTTGGATCTCCTAGCTGCCGCGGGCATGAACCCTCACGTCACCTTTGGCTTGCACCTGATCAAAAACAAGGAGATCGGCGCACTGGACGCCCACCGCTTCTACGGAAAGCTCCACCTGAACCTGAAGGAAGTCAGCGGTGCCTTGATCACCGAAATTGCCGTGAGTGACACATTTTCTTTGTGAAAAACGTATGCCCACACAGCGCTGCTTTTGCTAGTGCTCCGATTTTCATTCATTCGTAAAAGGTCGCTCTAACTCGACACCATAGGCAATTGAAGAACACAAAGAAAGAGGGGAAGCTAAGTGTAACGTTCTCATCCTCCCATCCCCAACCGTACACGCTTATGAACTCCTGTGGACACCTGTGGACCCATGTGGACATCCATGCACACCAATCAACCACTAGGGAAACATTGTAGCTTTACTTTGAGTACTTACGCGTCGAAATTCGTCAGAGCAAATCGAACCGAGCGACCGCTGCCGGTAGCACTTTCCAGGTAAGAAACAAAAACATAGATACAAACCTATCTCCAGGGAACCACGCTTAGAATACAAGGTAAACAAGTTTCTGTGCTTTTCCCTCGATGTCAAGGCTAGCATTGATTGAAAATGAATATGTTCAGAGGCTCGCAGGGTACGCGACACCACTGACAACGTCATCGTGCAGGACTCGTGCAAATCGGAGGCCGTCAAGAGCCACCCGGGAACATGGAGCGCCTGCAAGTTGGCCGTTAGCACAATCGCGAGCGGAGCGGGATGCAAGCATGCCCACCAGGACCACGAGGAGGACCATGGCACCTGCAGACCCGAGATCATTTCGCACATCTTCAACGTGAGCGCCAATTGTATAGGTTTATCCACGCCCTTCGTTCCATCGTTAGCGGTCAGTGTATCAATAAAACCCCCCGTCATATCAACTGGCCATCCACACTTTCATGGATAGGGTGCATCACTAACAATGTGATTGGCGTATAACGCGTCGTTGTCGTGCACGTCGAGCATAATCGTAACATAAGGCTGGTACGCTTTGCAAGGCACTATGTAAGTGCCTTGCAAAGCACTATGCAAAGTGCCTTTGTGTGGCCGCTATGCAAGTCTCACTGGCTGGCCGTTGCGTACACGCTTCGTAGCTATACATAAACTGTCGGCTATGAAGCTAGTATGATGCAGTAGACTCACCGCATAAATGATCAGTTAAACATCGATCACCAGTTATTTTTAATATGTATTCGCTGCTACGTTACATTGAAACACGCGCTTACAAGCGGTGACGTGACGCTTCACTCGAACTTTATTAATTTGCCTAAAGGATCATGTAACAACAGTACTCGGATAGTGGGGAAAAAAAAGGGCACGTTGCCTAATGCCCGGCTCGATGTTTGAATTTCAAACGTGCGGCATATCATTCTACACCACAAAGGAACTGTGTATTGGCATGTTCTTTGAAGTGGTTTCAGTGTGCTATTATGTGTTTTTTTTCTTTTTCGTATTGTTGATTTTTGGGTACCGTTCAGTATTATTATTTTATTTTTCGCTGCAGAACTTTGTGATATGGAGTAGCCGAGGCAATAGGCACCTCAACCTCTCCACAGCAAAACACTTAAAACAGAACAGAACAGAACGGAAACGTAAAAAGAAAAGTGGGCTTGAGCTAGAACTTTCACGACATCCATATTCCCCAAATTTTTTTAGCCACAGGCCCACATCCAAGGTGGCAGCCGTATAGTGAATAAGAGAGTTCTAAGGGTAATTGTGTCGCGGGGCGTCGCTCGTGCATGCTGGCACAATTCAGAGCGAAGGAACATCACCAGTATGCGTGTGCCCTAATAGATGGCGTGAGCTTTGCACCACGGTTTTTATCATTTCCCTAAATTAATCTCTTGCGCACCACGCAGTACTCGGTGACACCGGCGGACACACACGGCGAGCCCCAATCAGAGACCACCGTCTACCTGCGGGTGGCCGGCAACCTGGGAACGCGAAGGGCCATGCACTACCTGGAACGCTTCATCTGCCATTGCCAGGAGGAGCCCAAAAGAATGGCCGCCCTGTGGGCGCTGAAGCAGTCGTGCAGGAACCACCCTGATCTGGTGAGAACTCAGTGAAGTGTACACCCCAGTGCCGGATATATAAGAGATAACGCACACGGAAGAATAGAGACGATGTGTCAAAGGTAAATCTTCACCAATATCACTGGTGTCGTATTTCCCACCATGCTCGTTCTTCCCAGTGCGAAGTTTTTATTTACGCTATGCAGCGCCAGCTAGAACTTTAAGTCTGTTTCAACAGAGTGCCAAAAAAAAAAACACACCAAACGCGTGCCTTGAAAGGGCACTCAAGTGAAAGACGCTTTTTTTTTTTTCAAATTAGTAAATTACTCTACGACGATAACAAGAACACCAAGCCTGCTGAAAGACAATGCTTAGCGAACTAGAAATGCGGCAAAGGAAAATGCGGGTCACGGGCGGCCACGCCACCTTAAAGTTCCCATCTATGACGTCGCTGTGACGTCATACATCTTGGAAGCCTCTACTAAAGCCTATGTAGTTTGCAATTGGTAGAAAATTAAGTGCATCGTCTACTGAGGAAGCCATGGACTGAACATATCAAGATTCAGAGATAGATAGAAAACTAAAGAAATCGCTGACGTCAATCGGAGACTGCGGCGCGAAATTCTAGGAGGGATGCTCTTCACATTTATTTTCTCATAACTTAAAAACCTACGATGGCAAACACTAACTGATTAGCAGTCTCAGAGTATAATTGATTAATCTTAAACAATTCATCGTTTCATTGTAAAGTCCCATTAAACCCAAACTAACAGAATCGCAAGTAAGGGGTAATTCTTTTAAAACCCACGCACAGGCTACAAAACTAGTCTTGATCTATAGCGAAATAAGATAATGACTCAATTTTGCTACACAAGTTCAGTGCCTAAACAGTTATCCATTCCTAACAACGTACCCGCAATAATTTCCCGCTAATTCGTCCCATTAGGCTAATTTATTCCCCAATCTATTAACGTCGATGACACAAAGTATTTCGAAGTTCTCTGCACTAAAGGATCCATTTTTACTGCCAGAGGAATAGTTGTGCAACTGATGAATCAAAAGGCCAACGACTTCTAAGCTCACCAGCCAAGTTAAGACATCAAGAGGGCAACAAAACGATCTACACAGTGGTGTCGCCATCATGTCGCAAACGAGAATGCACAAATAAAACAAAAAAAAAGTCACAGCTTTACCACAAAGGCCAAGCAACGGACGCGATAGCAACAAATTGAAAGGCCACGCGAAGAATGACAACCAGATCGAAACGTGCCACGAGTTTCTCGCGCACAAATGACGCGCGAAAAGTACTCACAGGTATTGATGAACGCCAATAAGCATCTCAGTTGTCACTTTGCTGTGTCTGAAAAGCGCGCCCCTTTCGCAAACGGACACTGTGCAACGATTGCAGTAACCTTTGTGCGCCCGGTAACTACAACAGAATCATTCCGGTGAAAGTCCAAGGCCAGCCAAGACGTACGATCCTCCGCACCGCGAGATAAGGGCGCGCGGGTGAGCGTCCACCCCTCTGCTCTCCACGGAACAAAGTACGCGGGTTAGATGAGCGGGCGGGCCGCCACGTCATGACGGTCTGGCGACGCGCTCTCACTGCGCCATTTCACTGGTAGTGCTTAAAACACTACAGTGCCCTCGATATTGCCATCGGCAGCGGTAAGTGGTAGATATAAATAGCTCGCCGTTTAAAGACTGAAGGAGGTGCTCTTTCGTGGCTCAGTGGCTAACGTTTCGCACTCAGAGGTCAGTTATTCGATTCCGCGCACCGGATCCTTTTTCTGCATTATTTTCTTTCTTGCGTTTTTATATATGTAGATACGTATACATATACGGTGAATAACGGAGACGCTGGCGGCAAGGTCCAGCCGAGAGTGTCCATATAACTGAAAAAAGAAGAGGTTACAACCGGGCAAACTAAAGCGCGATTCGTGTCTCATGGTCTTCAAATACTTCAGGAGCTCAAGCTACCATTCCACTAAGACGTTGTATTCACAGTGACGTTAGGGTACCTGAAGGAGCCTGCAAAACTATTCCACGTGTTGTGCTTCAGCGTAGCCTAATGTTCACCATATTGTTTTATACACCTGTCTTAAAAGATAACAATGGTTGATAAACGCCTAATTTCATGATCATTTAAACGTGATGGGTAAGGTTATGAAACTTATCAATTCTCAATGAAGCCTAAACATTAACACGTTTATACCGAGACATGACAACATGACAACGTGTACGTAGGGGAAATCTGACCTGACATTTACCTATTTTCACATCTTGCGTCGGAATGGAAGAAACACCTACTGTGTAACGTCCGATAACTTTCATTGGCCCACAACTATACACAAAATACGCATTGTTCCCAACAACCTCCTATTATTTGTTTTTTCTTTGCAGGCTCGCGCCATCGCATTGCCCGTGTTCTACAACACGAGCGAGCCGAGCGAGATCCGTATCGCCGCTTTCCTGACCATCTTGTTCAGCCACCCTGAGATGTACCTGCTCCGCCACATCGCCGTTGAAATGCTCACGGAGCCCAGCGACCAGGTGGTACACTTCGTGATGAGCGCATTCCGTACCTTGGCCGAGTCCAAATACCCCTGCCATCGTGAACTGTGAGTGAACCGGCGAATAGCCGAGATGTTTGTGTTTGAGAATGTTCGTACTTAAACCAACTGGAATGTTGCGAAAATACGTCGACTAAAGTAGCACGTTGGGCATTAATGGCGATCCACCATAACAGGCAGTGGAATAGAACATCAAGAATTGACACCGACAGACAGACAGACAGACAGACAGACAGACAGACAGACAGACAGACAGACAGACAGACAGACAGACAGACAGGCAGACAGACTGACTGATTGATTTGATTGATATGTGGGGTTTAACGTCCCAAAACCACCGTATGATTATGAGAGACGCCGTAGTGGAGGGCTCCGGTAATTTCGACCAGCTGGGGTTCTTTAACGTGCACCCTAATCTGAGCACACGGGCCTACAACATTTCCGCCTCCATCGGAAATGCAGCCGCCGCAACCGGGATTCGAACCCGCGACCTGCGGATCAGCAGCCGAGTACCTTAGCCACAATACCACCGCGGCGGGGCAACAGACAGACAGACAGACAGACAGACAGACAGACAGACACTTGCACTGAGCTAATCTTGCGTTTAGAATCATATGAAATTGATCACGAATATGTTAATATGGTTTCATACACACAGATCTGAGGCAGACACGCCAGCGTTGCCCACAAGGACGACACAATGGGAAGACGTGTCGCCGTTTACTTGGACTATCTGCTTGGCCTGATACCCCGTGAAAATGACTGCACATGTAGGCCCATCAGCTAGTATACCAGTGTGATAAATGCAACATCCGTAGCACTGCTGGCTTCCAGTGTAAATTCATAAGCGACTTTACACTGCGAAGTACTCAATGCTATGAATTTACACTGATCGAATAAAGGAGTTGTAACTGCTACAGCAAGCCAATTTTAACGCGAGAGGGTTAAAGAGTTCGTATCGCAGGAATTCCAGCGTCGGCGTCGGCGTCGTTGGTTGAGAGTGAAAAATCATCTTATGCGTGACCGAAAAATCGATAAAGATGCAAATAAAATAAATTGAAAATTTTGAGTCAGAGTGGGTATCGAACCCGGGTCGTTTGGTTTCGAGTGAGAATCTAACCCGGGTCGTTTGCGTGGCAAGCAGATGTTTTACCGCAGAGCCCCACGTCTGCTTCCGAATATAGTGAAAATAACTACTAGAAATATATTGCAGCAAGATGGCAAGTTGGACCAGTTGGATCACACCCGTTTTTTAGTGCGCTTGAACAAATTTTCAATTATGAACGTAATCAAACTGGCCCAACTGGCCCAACTGGCCCAACTGGCCATCTTGCTGCTAACTACAGCTGCTTGGAAATGAATCTAAAGGAACTTTCATGCTTCAGAAACACACGCATCCTGTGTACAGACAAAATAGATTCTTCACAATACAACGAGATATATTGCAATAATAGTGCATGGCACAAGCTCACATTGCCATCGGTTGTCAGATCAAGTGATTATCGGAATGACTTTTATCGTTTAAAGCCACGCCCATGTGCTCAGAATTGGCTGCATCTATCTATCTATCTATCTATCTATCTATCTATCTATCTATCTATCTATCTATCTATCTATCTATCTATCTATCTATCTATCTATCTATCTATCTATCTATCAATATATCAATCAATCAATCAACCAATCAATGGTTTAAAGCCTACACGAGGCACACACGTTACTGCGCCTACCACCTTGAGACAGCGTACTGGGCGCATAACATGTTCGAAAAGATTTCATGCACTAAGTGTTTGAAGAACCCACTAGGTACAGGATAACGCTACCGCGTTCCACTCTTAAAGGCAAAGCTTTAGGATCCCTTAAATTTTTCTTACCACAAATGATTCGGAATGTTCCAGCGTGTTATATATAATCAAAGATCTTCCCAAGTAAACGTATATGTGTATTCTTTTTGTAATTTTAATTCAATATTATACATAAGTACTAGACGATATGCGCGATATAACATATCAAGACTTCCATAATGGCATCCCCTTACGTACAACACAGCAGTGTTACTGCATTTGTCATTTTACTTGAGCAGTGCTCGGCTGAATACCACTAGTTTTAATGACCTGATAATTTGTTTACTCTTCGGTTATTATTTAATAGATTTAGCTGTATGAGCATACAGCCCCGTTTCAATGGACGCGCCTGTAAAGCAAAAGGTGACACCGTTCTTAAGCTCCAGAATCGCTCATTATCAAGATACTTCCACATCTCGAGTTTTCCGAATGAACTACATAGTGATATGATGCAGTCATGATGCATTTGTTGCCTTCACATAAGAAACAACACAAGTCCAATAGAAAAATTTCTCAATACTTCGCCTTTTATTCCACAGCGCCACACACATGCAATATGTGCTGCCAGAATGGGACCACGACACAAGGTTCAGTAGGCCCATCGACAGGTCTTCATCTCACATCACCGTCTCCTCCACATACAGCCGTAAGCCTGCTTATTATGCCTGTCTGCAGTTAATTCAGGAGAGTGGCTTGCTGGGGGAGTTTGTTCAGCATTATCACGAAATTGAATGCCAAACACAGGGACAACGAAAGGGTTACATGGTGCACGTGTTATCTTTTTTCGACCCTGTGATTTGCGCTGAACTCTATGATGCTGCTACTAAGGCCTTGCTGTTGAATAATTATCGCTGTGCTTCTTGCACTGGCCTTCTGAGACATGGCGTCCAGCTTGTTGTCACACGTTTCGTTATTATATTATTATTATTATTATTATTATTATTATTATTATTATTATTATTATTATTATTATTATTATTATTATTATTATTATTATTATTATTATTATTATTATTATTATTATTAGAAATGTAGTGGGCAGTTTGAAGCCTCACTTCGATAAGGCCTGAAGACTGACAGCTGCCATTTTGAGGGGCACCACATCTGCCTACTTTTTCGCGAGAAGGGAAATGAATAGAGGAAAAGATAGATAAGAGGAGAGATAAAGCAGGGAAGACAGGAAAGCAGATAAAAAAAATGACGACGAGTTGGACACAAATTAAGGAACTGTGAGGAACGTGGTATCGTGGAGCTCTCCCGAAATTCGGACCACCTGGAGTTCCATAACGTGCACCTAAGTCTGAATGCACGGGCGTGGGGCACTTCACCTCTATCGAAATAAGTTCCGATGACTTTCGCCGCGACTGTCTTATAAGGTACTCCACGAATCGCGTTTGATAAAAATATACGCAGACAATTTTGAAGTATTCTGTCATTATGCAATGTCAATTAAAGGGGCCATGACACAGTTCCCCCACTATTCATCGTTCTCACCAGAGACTACATGTGGAGGGTCTAGTATGCAATATAAAGATATGCAAAGTGCGCCGTAACTAATCTCGCCACCATAATGTGCCACTCAACATTTACACAAAATGTCACTCGTTTCTTTTCAATTTGAATACATTACATTGTTCCTTTTTGTGCCACTGGTTCTCACTTTGTCTTCTTTTTTTTTCGGCAAGGTGTTTCGCCTGTTAATATGTATACTGATCCTGCACATGTATTACTTTATTTCTGTATTGATTACCCCTGTTCATATTTGTACCCATCCTGCATATGTACTACAACATTTGCTGTAGGTTTCTCACCCCTTATGTAATACCCCCTCTAGGGGGTCTTTAAGGTAATAAAGTGAAGTGAAGTAAAAGAATATGGCAGTGCGAAACAGGTCGTAGAAGTCACCGGCCGTAAACTCCGCCCACCACCGAAGACCGTCATTTTGCCATGGCGCGTGTGATGTCATGAGCTGGAAGGAGTGACGCCGTAGTCTTTCGACAAATCTTAGCCGCTGCAAGTCGCTCACTTTCGGTGCCAAGCTGAAGATAGCCAAGTCATCTCGACTTCACACATAGCTGTCCACGGACCAGTATCAGTCACTCGCACAGCTAGTCGCTTGTTACTTCACTGCTCGCGGGGCTCACCGGGAAGCCCGACTTTCAAGGGGACCGCATGGTTGTTTAGAAATATGTCTGATTATAAATTAGGCGCTCGGCCGAATGCGCTACAATTTCGCCAGCTTGTTTGCGAAACGCAAGAGGATTAACTCACGCAACACAGATTATGATCGAATATTAGGTATCATGCTTTGAGAGGTGAAAACTGATCAATATTGAGCCTAACTCAGATATTTACTAAATGGTAAGCAATTCGACTAACGTCACATCTACACACACGTTGCCCTTCACTTCTCTCTCTCTTCTCCTCTAATCCCCTCACCCCTTCCCCCAGTGCAGGCTAGCAAACTGGACGTGCGTCTGGTTGACCTCCCTGCCTTTCATTTCTTCCTTTCCTCCTCCTCCTCCTCCTCATCATCGCATAGCAGTATGAGTAATAAACAGAAAAAAGTCTTTAAGTGTACAAACTACGGTTAGCTGTGTCCTAATAAATTGCTGAAGGAGCGATTCTTGGTTGGCTGTTACGGTAGCGATTGCCAGTATATGCTAATTGTTTGATTGGTTCATGGGGTTTAACATCCCAAAACCACCATATGATTATGAGAGACGCCGTAGTGAAAGTCTCGGGAAATTTCGACTACCCGGGGTTCTTTAACGTGCACCTAAATCTGAGCACACAAGTCTACAGCATTTTCGCCTGCATCGAAAATGCAGCCACCGCAGCCGTGATTCAATCCCGCGACCTGCGAATCAGCAGCCGAGCGTCTTAGCCACTAGATTACCGCGGCGGGGCGCCAGTATATGCTCTGACTGTCATTGTATTGGGCGTCCAATATAATGAAAAATTATTCTGTGTATTATGAGTGCCAATCAGCGCGATTAGCTCTCATAATCACGTACCAACTCGCCCAATCGTACACGGTCTTCTTAATCGCTAGAGCTCTATGGCAAACTTATGCTGCTGTCACTACTATTTATGCTGTCAAAACTACACGTTCACGTTAGGCCATGTGAACGCAGCACATGACACCTCCGACCATTTTTCGACTCAGCCAAATACGACTACGGTAGCATGACGTCCCTGGAGATGATCCGCTCCCACGACAGCTTCCTGCCCCGCAACTGTTACGTCATGCTCAAGGACTACAGGGCCGGACACTCGTACGACACGTTCACCCTGGAGTTCGAGAGCTGGGGCATGGACAAGCTGATAAGCAGCATGCTCGGCCCACGTCCAGGATTCTCGAAGAACCTCTGGAACTTCTTGGGACGTCGCCGCATCCCGCGCGACGCATCGGCGAAGGAGCGAAAGGAGATCGAGGATTCCGTGAGTGTTGCGAGCCACTTACAGACTCGACTAATAATTAACAGCAAAAAAATATAGACTTCACAAGTCGTGCTTAAGGTTCAACGAGTAGACTTTTCGTAGAATAAATGCCCTCTTTTAGTGTATGTAGAGAAGTTTTTCACGCTTCATCACTATAGTAGGCGAGCATTTTATAGCGAGAATATCGGTTCATAATTGACATTGGAGCCATTTAGGGTAAACGCAGGGGCTCATACGCCATCCGGTGCTGCCCCCCGAATGGTGTGAAATAACCAGCTTTGACTTCCTTATTACAATACAATGGCACGAACACACTCGGTGGGTTCTTTCCATCGGCGTCGGCGTCGCCGTCATGGGTATAAAATACTAATCGATTACACCGTCCTGCGCAGATGCGTCTTTGAGCCGCAGTAGGGAGGGAGGAAGAACCAGAAGGAAGAAGGCAGGGAGGTTAACTAGGCGCATGCACGGTTGGCCACCCTACGCTGGGTGAATTGTAAAGGGGAGTATAAACATGAGAGAGAGAGAGAGGAAGGCGAAGGGAAAGAGAAAATTGTTAGTACATGCAACTGCGAACTTTAATGGCAAGGTAAAAACATAGGCGCGCACGCAGTCTCGACAGACACACGTAGGCCACCAGTCATCACTTGCTCACGGGCTGTGAACTCTCTCCTCATTTCACGTTGAGACGATATAGAACGCGAAGACAACTTCGCTCCAAGGAGCAGCCTTACCTCACACCATCGCTTTGGAGTTAAACGAGATCGTATGCGATCGAATTAACTGTTAGCCTTTCTTTGCATAACATTCCGGTTTTCGCCATTGGATCAGTTGATCCGTCCATGCAGAGAAACTGATGTTTTTGTACAAGTAATCATTTCACCTAATCTGTACCTAAGAGAAAAATGAGACTTTTAGCACGCGTGGTGTCGATAGGGTAATTACTTCATCCGTATCGAATGCAAGTGATACGTCACAATGTAAACGTCTTCAGTCTGTCGTGTTTTGTCCTTTCAGGCCTCACTTGCCCGCGTGACCGTGCTTCTGGCTCCTCTAGCTATTATGACCAGACCAACCTCGCGTTTTTGCCACCACTGGTCCGTCTAAAATGCGTTTCATTGGTCCAACCATAAACGTGAGGCTTGCTATAGGGACGAGTAAGAGTTATCGGCATTCCTTTGTTTTCCAATCCTATTAAATGACAGCCATGTGTCCGCTTCGTGTCGCTCTATTTCGCCCAACCAAAACAGGATTGCCTGACGTTTCTTTCGAAATGCGCAGCTCCACATCGAAGACCGGGAGTACGACCCGTTTTACGCCCGTCTCACCATGTCCGTCTTCGGGAAGACCACCGAAAGCTTGAGCATCGATGAGAGCACCATCGCCAAACTACAAGAGAAACAAGGTGGGTGAATTCGTCCCTTTGAGTGGCCTTATTTGCGGCAGAGGGTACAGTCGCCAATTCTATGGGAGTACTGCAAGGGCAGAGCTTACAATTCTCGCCAGAGTTATTTAAATACAGGCGGAACCATAACGAGGGTTTTCAGCCAAACGCACTGACAAGAGACGAACAAGGAAAAATGAGTCTTGCTCGACACTTTCCTTGCGATGTGCAAGCGACTATCATCAAGCAGAACTTCAGAAGTCTGCAATACTATATCCTTCCTAAAGGCGGATGCCCATAAGCCTTCACTAATGGGCGGGCATTCCAGACTGACGTCTATACACACACACACACACACACACACACACACACACACACACACACACACACACATGTATATATATATATATATATATATATATATAAAGGGAACATATTACACCAAATTGTAATGTAAATATGAAGAAAAGTGGGTGAAAAGATAACTTGCCGTGGGCAGGATCCGCCCACGGCAAGTTATCTTTTCACCCACTTTTCTTCATATTTACATTACAATTTGGTCTAATATCTTCCCCTATACTTTCCTTGGCATCATTGTCTGTTAGATCTCATTATTATTGTGTAAAAACACCGAAAAACGAGCCCTTAGGTATACACTCCTTATATATATATAGGCTGACACACGCATCAATGCGCGTTTATTATATTAGCATCTTAGATTCACAGCAAGTTTCAGCAAAATAGAGGCGACAGACATTCGCTTTTTTTTTCTAAAAACTAGCATGCTTCGCCATAAATTGTCTCCAATATCGGTAACACAACCAGAACTACCAGTCCCAAGCCTATACGTAAGGCAACAAGCTCGTCTACCGAGGAGAATCAGAGTACGCCACGACAGTCGGCATTGTTCCACAACGTCCATATTACAAAGATCTATATTCTAAGGCGTAATTTCTCTAATTACGCACCTTTGTATCATCTATAGCCCTAAACATCTTGACTAAAACATGTGAAGTAAGATATAAGAGGAGGAAGAGGAGGAGGAGGAGGAGAAATGAAAGGCAAGGAGGTCAACCAGACGCACGTACGGTTTGCTACCCTGCACTGGGGTAAGGGTGAGGGGATTAAAGGAGGATACATATTTCACCCAACGCGGTGCTTCTGGTCGCCGTTGTCTCCTCTCCCTGAATTAGAGTGCTAAACCACCTCGCCCAGTTTCCCGTCCTAATGCAATGCTGGTACTGCGTACATACTGGTTCGTGCGCTTACTTCTTTATCTTGATCTGATCAGGTGTCACCAAACAAAAGCAGTTACCAGCGCTCGAGGCAGGCCAAGCTGCTATGCATAGGAAAGTTTTTTTTTTTTTTGTTTTAGGCCATTCTGGTGAGAATGCACACACAGCACGGAAAGAGCTTCAGCTTTTTTTTTTCTTATTTCGTGGAATTGTGGTTACGGACACCAGCGGCGGCGGACAATTACGGCACACGCAACCCTTGTTGGGATCTCGTAACAGCTTTCCCTGCGAAGTATCTTCAGCGGCTCGAGTTTTTAGTCGTTCGCCATCATAGTTTCGTGACCGTAGGAACTGAACGTAACAACAGACGCACTGAATTCCCCCTGTATACTTTCTCTCAGCTAAACCGGAGGAGGCGTTGCAGTCTTTGCTGGGAGCCGATGTGAACAAGAAGTACTTCTACATGACCAAAGACCTCGAGCTGCTAATGCCGAGCGAGCTGGGAGTCCCCGTATTCTTCTACATGAAGCAGGCCGAGTTTGTATACGCAAAGATAGACAAGGTGGCTCTCAACCACGGCGACAACGCAGAACTGCACTTGGACGTGAAGCGACACTACCTGTAAGTTAGACATCCATTGCTAATCCCCGACGTGACGTGTTCGATTACCCGTCTTGATGATTGCCGAATGCAAAAGCATCGTGACCCTGAAACACCGTTCGCATTACTACACATGCTGCTTGAAAAACTCAGACGTAATTGTGATAAGATCACTTTAAGGGCCCCAGAAAAACGTTCAAAGTCCGCACTCGTGGCTATGATTCCTTCTTTCTTCCTTAGCTTCTTTTCGATAATACGGCGTCTAAATACAAAATCATATCGATGCAGTGCGAACTTCACTACGCTTGGCAGGTATTTGTGGTCCTCGAAATGCTTAGGATATAAGAGTCATGATCTAAAGGTAGCAGGGAACTCAGTCGAATGCTGGCAACGAAGCCTTGAGGTGCTTGTCCTTAGGCGATCTAAGAGAGTACGCCGAGTTTCACGTAGAATACACATCGTTCAAATACTAGTATGAAGCAGTAAATATGTATGGAATCGAAATTGTTAAAAGAGGGCTTCGTCATGCCATATACATAGGCTATGACGATCATGCCTTTAATGATGGCAAATTAGAAGGTATCGGCGGCGTTTCCTTTCATACAGTTGAGCTCACTAGGTTCCACTATGAAACGACACCAATGCAGAAGGGTTGCTGCCGGGCGAGTTGCTCATCCATAAACGTAGCGTGTATTTATGCACGCTGCATAAAAGAAAGAAACGCGACTAAGGCACAGAGACAGGTAGGCGTCGAACTTCCAATTATACCCAATGTAGAGAATGTATAGGTGTGCAAAAGACATCTATCTGTACAACCAAGTAAAACTAAACCCTTGAGTCATTTTTTTTCTTGCCACTCAAAACAGATACGACGTGGCATCGGACCAGATGCTGGGCTTCGCCCCGCAGTTCACGAAGCAGGCCTTCGGAACTGGCAACAACGCGAGGACCGCCATCTCCTGGCCGCTCGACCTCAAGGTGACCTTCGCACCTCTCGAGGGCAAACTAAGCCTCCGCCGTCCGCTGCATCTTCCCTGGAACGTCATCAACCACCAGTTCCGACCCTACACGTTCGGCATGCCCATCGACATCACCATGGACCCCTCGCACGCAATCGCTGAAATGCCCAAGCTGATGAAGCCGCTCTACCGACCTGAAGAACTAACCGAGGTAAAACGACCATAGACGTAAAATTCTTTTCAATGCGAAGCATTAGTTATGAGCCTTTTGAGTGTATTTTCTAAGTACCACTGCTTTTTGTTTCCCCAGGAAAAGGTGCATTTCTTGTCAGGAATACATTTCAATGACTCTTCCTTCAAAGAAGTCTTTAAGGGAGTTCAAAAGAAGTTCAGGAAACTTTACTGAGCCGATCGGGCGAAAGTACGAAACACAGGCATTGTCACTTGACGCCACCGACTTAAACCATGTGCTTATATCAGCGCTAAACAGGTGATAGCGCTTAATTGCGAAGCAGTGCTGACGAAATCAAAGACAGCTGCGAATGACTTGTTCAGTTTCGCTCGATTCGCGTGTCTCACTTTGCCGCCACTCAAAATTATTCGTTCCGTTTCGTGCGCAGTTCGACCGTCACTACTTCGACGACACCTTCGGCGTAGGTCTGCAGGTCAAGGGTCACCTGATCAAGAGAGGCCTCCGTCAAGCCGTGCGCGAAGTGTACCACGACATGTCGTGCCGGGAACGCTTCTATTATATGCTCGTCAACCCACACTGGCACCCACGTGACATCAAGATCTACGCCCTCCCCGCTGCTCAAGATCCCAGCACGGAGGTGAGCTCGGTCGACGACCCCCCTGTAAGCGCCAACGTAATGTGTCGGTCAGTATAACGTACATTAATGTACTACACCGCTGTAGATTGCAACGCAGAATTGGGACCAGTTGGCTGTTGATATAGTTGACAATCTAGCCATGACGTGTAGGCAGTGTTGAAGGCAACGGCGTTACAAGTAACGCCGTTACTGGTAACGCGTTACATTTTTTCGGTAACAGTAACGTAATCATTACAATTTTAGAACTCTAACAAGTAACGTACCAACGTTAGAATTTTTCGGTAACGTGCAGTGTCACATTACTCGTTACTTTTTGCATCTTGTAGTTTTTGCATCTTGTAGTCATGCGGGTGAGCTTTTTCCCAAAGCACACCCGCATGAAATCTTTTGTCACAGCGTCGGACAACTGTCCGACTGCTTGCTTTGACAAAGAAAGCGACGGTGGAATCGTTCTCTTTTTTTTTCTTTTGTAGAAATTGCGGATAGAAATTACAAAACACCCCAACTCTATGTGGGGCAGTTTTGGGCCATCGCCACACAAACCTTGATGTAAGATGCGGAGTCCACCATTACAAACTGTAAGAACATGCTTTTTATGTAACCGGATTGTTGCTAGCAGGTGGATTGTAGCTATAGCAGGTGGGTTGCTGGCCCGTGCGCCTCTGCGGGCACAAAAGACAGGCTGCCCAAAGGGAAAGCACATGGGCTGGTTTACTCCATACCACGTGCTGATCGCCGCACTAAATTTACGTCGGCAAAGCAAAAAAAAAAAGTTCTTCGATAGCCTGCGATAACATGAAGCCGACGTCTGCCGATGTTTGCAGTAATACGTTTCCGAATTACACATTCGGTTATATGCGGTCTTGAAAACTCGTGAGGTGTATACCTCACACACAGATCAGTTTGAGGTGTTTTTATGCCTAAAGCTGACCTTAGCACCTCTCGAGGGCAAACTGAGCCTCCGCCGTCCACTGCATCTGCCCTGGAACGTCATCAATCACCAATCCCGAAATGTAAACAAAATGTAAATGCGCAATCCCGAAAACGTAAAACAAAAACTTTGCAAGCCAGCCTCGTATACAGGGGAACGCATAAGAGGCATCAAGAAATAACTGAGACGTTGGGCACAAACTTATTGAGTGCCGTGTGAACGCGCGCTCTGAATTCTTCATCTCACAATACAGGCTATAAATCACCACTACTTCGCCGACACCTTCATGTAATGGCCGATATTCTCGAACCCCCTCGTTTCAGCTCGACATCGACATTTCATACAAGTTCTTGGAAGCGGACGACGAACGTCACAGCCGCTTCAACGTTCGCGACCAAATCGGTGACGACGCCCAGGTGCCGTCCACGCACGTGCTGAACCTGGACGTCAACTTCAAGGGCGCCGCCAGAGAGCGCAAGGCCGTGGCCGAGTTGCGGTACTCATTCAACCACGACCTCTTCAACCACAAGCTGCAGTTCTTCTACGAGAAGACACCCTTCGGGCACGAGGACACCGAAATGAAAGTAAGCACCACTTCGTTTATTTACCGGTACCTCAAGGGTCCCGAGGGACAACAAATGAGAAATGGAAGTTTTGGCCGAGTTTCGTTCGCTACTGCTGTTCTTGCGCAACTCCATCGCCACTTTTATCATCCGACATTAGGCCATGCCCCATGCGCAGCCAAACCAAGGCCTCCTTTATTTCATTCAATGCCAGTGCAAACGCGCGCTCTTCAACGGGAGTCGTCGGTCCGCCTTAGTTCCGAGAGTGGTCGCGATGAGACGCCACATGGGTAGGCACACTCTAAGCCGAAAAGGACCAAAGTGGGGTATGCCATTGGTCCTTTAGGGGTCTAAATGCGCTGCCACAGATTTTGAACCAATTTTGGACTAACTGCGGGAGTAACTGCAAGGGCTCAACTGTTACCCCAAGCACTTACTCCACTTGGTTTAAATGTTGGCCCCAGTAAAATGCTCCAGCGGGACTAACAGTTGAACCGTCTGGACAAATGCCAAAAAAAAAATGACGACACTGCGTTTGTGCAGTATATTTTATGTTTATTCTAATTTAATCAGCACTGAAGATCATAGTATGTTATTCATGCAACACACACACACACACACACATACATACGCACTATTATTTCAAAGTAAAACACCGCAAACACTGACTGCCCGGGCTGTACTACAGAGAACAGACTCTCGGGTATATATAGCACAGTATTTTGACCTCCCATCTAGTGCCAGTGGGCGACTTTTACTCGGCTTAAGAAAACAATAAATATTGACACCGTAACGCGAAAATTTACATGAGCTTATTCGTGGCACCGATGCGCATCGATCTTTTAATATGGATCCATCTAATCTTCAACATGCCTCCAGCCCGAGAATATGAATTATCAGCTGGTATTCGATCATGTCGGCCGAACCAGCGTTCGCAGTGCTGGCGCACGAGTCCGCAAACACAAACATAGCAGCGGCGCTTGTGCGGGAAAGCCGGCGAAGTAGCCGCAGGCGCCCCGCCGATGCCATACCGTGTCGGCTTGCCGACGGCGTCGCTAGGCTTACGACGAGTACGGCTAAACGACCACCGGCGATCGCAACATGCGGCTCGCGTGAAATTTTCGTCATCGTTATTGTATAGTCACAAATGAACAATAGGTAAGTGCCCCATGTTCGCTGTGTCTTACGGAGTGATGTAGATATCTGTATACTTACAGCGACGAGACCGTTCGCAGGCACGGTTCTTTCATCGTGCTGGTAAGGCACAACCTGTGTACCGCTGGCCCCACGATTAGTCGTATCCGCGATCGCCTACACGTTGGATTTTTGATAACGATTGTCGCATGGAGAAAAAGACATAGGTTTGTCTGAGCTACTATTTTTGTGAACTTGTACGCGACGTTTCCTTCGCTTGTGCCGGCAATGCACTCACACCGGCAGCCCGCTTGATACCGATGACGTACGAAGCCTACTTTTCCTATATATCGCTTTGAACTTGTGGTCACTGTGTGGGTACACGACCGCTGATGAACAGCTTACCTTTATTAGCATTGTCAGTGTTCACCGTAGTTCGAACTTATTCAGCACATTAAAGCGAGTTCTCGGCATTACCCGTGTTTGCGGAGACTTTCACTTGGCTTCGGCTCGCCCGTGCCGGCATGGTGGAAACGCGAGGGCACTTGCTGTGTGCACTGACAGCGTGTTGTACTACTTTCCTCTAATAACATCTTCTATTCGTTTCATAGTGCTTCACTTTCACAGTGGCGTATAGCCTATTTAACTTGTTTTCATGATCGCCGACCACGCCGAGCATTGCAGTGCAGCATCGACAGGAGGCGATCGCGGCGCAGTTGCCCTCCCCGTTGGTCCCTTCATTGCCGGGCGTTTGCGCAAGACACGCATTGTCACACATTTAGTCCCTGTTGGACGAACCGTTCGTCCATTAGTTTAACGACAGCAGTTAGTCCGACTTTGCCGAATTCTGGCTTAGAGTGCAGGGTATACGGCCGCTTCCATCGCACGCGAGTCGTCCGAGCGCTCTACCAAGGAGATTCGGTAAATGCGTGTCCCTCTCCGATGTTGTACGCCTGTCAGGCTTGTTCCTTCGCGTGCTCCCTTTTTTGTAGCTCGAAGCAACGCCGCTGCAAGCTCACTGATGCAGCAGCATCGCAGTGACGCGTCCCCACTGGTTGTCCCCATAGCGTCACAAACGGCAACACGCTATCACAAAACACCGTGCCGTATGTCTTACAGAGCCAGCGTGAGCGCATTGTGAACACTAGGAAAAAAATATAGACGCCGCCCCACGGATCTGTACACAACTAACCAATAAGTTACTTTACGTGATTTCCGTCGAGAAGCATCACATTAAGGTTAGTGGTTAGATGATGAGAAAAGGCACCTAATTTCTGCAACCCGGTCGGGAGCACGGCGCAGTGCCTCATTAAGGGTTCTCTCCCCGATGAACGCAAAGCACACGCGAAGGCTAGGCGATGGGCGAGAGAAGGAAAGGGCTAAAAATGGGGGTGAACGGCTGGATCGGACGCCTCTGGTGGGCATAGATAAAATAGAGGAGGCACTGGAAGAACCAAGCAGAGAAAGAAATGTCAAGCCAAGACTGGTTGAGTTCACGTTTCGCCTGCAGACGCGACCACACGGCTTAGCTGGTTCTGACCCAGACGACCCACGTTCGATTCACATCATGTGCGCCATGAAGTGCAGTACACGGCGATAAGACTATGATTATGTTGTTCTTGAACGCAAACTTGTGCATGACAGTGGTCGAACATTCTGCAACCACGTGAATGCGTGTTCCCAATCGTAACAGAACAGAACCTACGACAACAGTCCACACTGCAGCGCGACGCATTTGATGCAGGAGAGCACAGTACTAGAATAACTTAATTGCGGCTTATTACAAAGCGCGCCTGTTCCCGCGATCAGAGAACCCGAATGAGCCCTCGACTGCGAATTTGCCAAATCAGGGCCACTTCATGCCGATTGGTTTTGCACTTGAGACGTGAATCGGCAAACTTATAACCCATAAGCGATGGACATGAATGCGATGTAAAGGGCTAAACCATAAACAACGTACATGAAATAATTGCGTAAAGTACTACAGAAAAATAATTTTGTTCAGTCATCCATGTCACCATGATTCTCTTAGTACAAAAAGCAACATCTAAATGTTCACTTCTACATACATGCCTTTGCAGCGAAGCAGACGCGCGGTCGGTACGATAACTACGGTAAAACGACTGAAGTAACTTGGGTAAAATTGTGAGATATCGGTGAAGAACAAAAGTGTTTTCTTCCTTTGACCTCCTTTCTGCAGATCTGCCTGGACGCATCGGCGAAGTTCCCCCATCCTGACTGGACCATAACCAACATGGCTACCTTCCACGCGGGAAAACAGATCGACGCCCACCTTAACGTTCACTACGGAGCCAGCTGCGAAGCTGGGACAAGCGTAAGTTTGCTTATTCAGGCCGGTTTGGACGAAGCTTAAAGTCGTATTCAATATATAATACTAAGCAGCATAACCTAAGCACAAAAGCAACGAACGAACTAAATGAATAGAGTGAGTGAGGACAGCGTTTTTTTTTGTTGTTGTTTTTGTTGTACCTTAGACTTTTTTGCGGTAAGTTTCCATAGTTCGAACCCTAGACTGCAGCAGAACTCTTGGACAGCTGCAGTCTAATGAATAACGCACATTGGGCATTGAGGCCGGATGTATAGCACGGGCACGTGGTCAACTACTACTCCCCATGGCTCTGTTCTTTTTAAAGCAAATTTTAAAAAGCTTTGCAAGTTGCTTCAATGGGGGCTTTACTATATGTTTTGTTAATTTGAAAAGAAAATACGAGGCCGTTCTCATAATCACAAACAATAAATTATTTGTCTGGTTTTATTTTTGAGGGACCATTTGTGAAAAATACCTTGTATGTAATATGGTGAAATCTCTTCATGTTATTACGTGTGGCAAGGGTATACTTCTTAACCGAATATTAATTGTAGGGATGACCATTCCTTAGTTGAAAATTTAGTGCTTTATGACCAGAATTTCAAGGCTGTTTTCTTAAAGAAAAGCTTTATGTAAAGTCACGATTCTTGTGGCAACAACATTCTTTTGCTTCAGAAAGGGCGCGCGGTATTCCGAAATAAGTCGTCAAAGTTTGCATTTGATAGCTTCAGCAGTTACAGAGAAACTGTTCCTTTTTCGGACGAAAAGTAGTGTTTGGAGAAAACGCCATTTAAAATTCGAGTTGCCGCGGTGCAGACACGGGATCCGGCGCGTTTGGGGTTGTTTTCAAATATTTTTCACTGCACGCAAAAACTCGCGACTTCGTGAAAGCACTTGTCAGTTATGCTTGAATACTGCGCCATGAAAACTGAAAAAATCACATATGCAGTCGTCTTCGCCCTCCGTCCCCCCTTAAAACGTGCCCGTAGTACACGTTGTGGCGGTTCTGTCCTACTAGCTGGTTCGCAGCCAGCTCGCCAGGGCGGCGCATTGTGTAAATTTTAGGCGCGCATGGAGGAAGGGTAACTCAATAAACAATTGTATCGGGCCATTTGGTAAGGATCCATCTTGCTGGGAAGCGCAGCCACTATTACAAAGAACACACCACACAAGCGCTTAACTTCATCATTGTTGAAGTTAAGCGCTTGTGTTGAGTGTTCTTTGTAATAGTGGCTGCGGTTCCTAGCAAGAGGAAGGGTAGGTGCGCCACCTGGGCAGCGCTGGCTTCCCATTGCGCATGCACGCACGCCCTCTGCCTCACCTCTGAACGCCGGCGCAGGGAATGTGTGCTAGCGAGTTTTAGATGCGGAGCATCTTATACTCGCGCCTTGTAGTGCGCCGTCCGCGCCGTCCGCACCGCTTCTCGAACATTCGACAGCTGACGCGCGCGCATGCGCCGTCGCGCCGTCGCCCACTCTTCCACCATCTGTGCATCCCTTCCTGCTCTACACACCGCGCGCGCTTCACTCCTCCACCATCTGTGCACCCTTCCTCCTCTACACACCGCGTTCGACATCTACAATTCTCCTGATTCTCCAGTGGACTTCGAGAACGAAGGCGTCGCGCTTCGAGAACATTCAACAGCTGACAGTGCATGCGCCGTCGTGCTGTATATATACTCAAGGTCGGCGCTCGCTCGCTCAGTTGCCGCTCGTCGGTTGGTTTGTACGGCGCGTCGACGTCCAAGGTCGCGGTGAAATGAATTCCAACGAATCCACAAACACAATGATCGACGTCCCTTCGACCAGCGCCGCCCTTTCGCATACGTGTGTACGTGTTCACTCATTTAACACCCCCTCCTACAACCACTTTAACCAATTTAGCCATCGACCCAAGTAAGTCGCAATTTAACACCCCATTTCACAACCACGTTAACCAATTTATTTTTTTACAGTACAAACCAACTGCTCCTGCTGCACAGCCACTCACTGGCCACTTTGTATACATATAGGCACTGGATCTTGACCTCCAAGGTATAGTGCCGGAGGGAGAATATTCTGTTGCGTTGTTGAACAATTGAAAAATTCGCAGCGTAAGCATTCTAAGAGCGGTCTAAGAGCGAACTGTGGGCCTTCTCTGTCCAATCGGAGTCTTGGGTCTCTCATTGCCTATATTGGCAGCGATTGGCATGTTCCAGTAGGAAAAACCAATCCATCGCTGCGCGCTTAGCGCCTCTCCAGGTTTCTCTCCAGCGCAACGCCGCCGCCAGTGTAAACAGTAGCGGCCGCTTCTTCGCATCTACACATGGTTCCTTACAGCGGTAGATAGCGTAATTTTTTTTGCTGGCACGTACACTGTCGAATCATGTACTCTTTTTTCTCTACAAACAGATCACAGTGAACGGCAAGTTCACACACACCGACGAGGACGAACAGCAGCTGGCCGCCGCGGCGGAAGGCAAGACCGTCGGCCGGGACAGGTTCAGCAGCACCTTCCTCCACTGGCTCGCCAACAAATGCCACATGAAGCAAGAGAAGGGCATCCCCTTCAGCCACTACTGCTACAGGCTGCTGCGTTACTCCAGCCGCCTCGGAAAGTTCACCGCGGACGTGGAGTGGAAGAACTACAAGCCCGTAAGTATACATATACGTTCACCTCGCTCTAAAACAGTCATGTATTCACGAGCATACAAGTCGGTTTCGCAATAGTGGTGCACCATCGTCCTGCGTTTGCTTCAAACAAGCCGTCTCCGGACTGGACCCGTTATTCCACTTTCTTGAGTTCTATTGCGATAGCGGCTTAATGGACACTTTTGGCGTTCTTTGCTACGTCAAGAGGGTCGCAATAGCATAATATATATATATATATATATATATATATATATATATATATATATATATATATATATATATATATATATATATATATATATATATATATATATATATATATATCGTGTAAATTTTTATTTAGTAGACATATCTCATCGCGTAAAATACGCAGAATGGGAACCCAAAATACAAGACTGCAAAAGACAGAGCCCCCCAACCCCGTATTTCTTCTTGATGCTTGCTTTAGCCAAAAAAATTATGCTTATTATAGATGCCTAGACGCATGCATGTTATGATATTATCTTGCGAAACGAGGTGGAATCTGGAGCAAGTCAGTTTTGTACTTGAAGCCATCAAGTCGGAGCTGTCACCTTATTGGTGCGACAGCTGGGGAGCTTAAGTCAGAGGCGAAGTCTGTGGTGCGTGCTGTGAAGTCTGTGAAACCTGGTGCTGAAGTCTGTAGTGCATCCAAACAAACCGTCCAAGACACAAAGTATAATAAAATCAACGAGTCCTTGTGACGAGCCTTTCAACATCTCATAAACAACCTCGTCAATTCGGCGCATCTAATGAATGGTTCAGACTCGCCCTTTAAAAAAAAGTGATCTTTATAATGATCCTTATCTAAATTGGATTTGAGTCATGAAAAATCAAGTTGATAGAGAAAATCTGAGTAACCTTCTACTCTTTCGTTCTGCAGCTGTTGAACCGGCTGGCTAAGTACTACAACAAACGCTACGCTTACAAGCCCTGGAAGGCCGGCTTCCTGGGCGTGCTTGCTTCGTACTTGACGGGCGACCACGGCAAGCTGCACGTGGTCTCTCAAACTCCCTGGTGGAGCCTTGGCGAGAAGCCGCACACCGACATGATCGTGACGACCCAAGACGGCCACAGCCACGAGCATTGGGGAGTGCCCACCTTCAGCAAGATCCTCGAGCCGAGGGTTTTCACGGTAGCCGGATACACGCACGCCGCCGAGTACTCCAAGCTGTACAGGCACAGTAAGTGTGCCAGTCTTTCTACACTAGGGCGCTGCGTCGTGGGAATGCACACCAGGACGTTACACAACAGGACGCTACACAAACCATGACGTCATCGGAATGCACACCAGGACGTAACACAACAAGACGCTACACACACCATGACGTCATCGGAATGCACACCAGGACGGTACACAACAGGACGCTACACACACCATGACGTCATGGGAATGCACACCAGGACATTACACAACAGGACGCTACACACCATGACGTCAAGGGAATGCACACCAGGACGTTACACAACAGGACGCTACACACACCATGACGTCATGGGAATGCACACCAAGACGCTACACACGGAATGCACACCAGGACATTGCACAACAGGACGGTACGCACATCATGACGCCATGTCACTCAATTTGTATCAAAGCTTTGGCATTGATAATTCGATGTGTGACGAATTTGGCGTATCCAGTTCATCACTCCTGTAAGGTAATTATGGCGCGGTTCGGGCATGCTTGACTGCGCCCACACATCCACAAAATCCCTGAAGGAAGGAGCCGACTGATAGTTATTTGCCAGTGGTGAGGGCCTCTTCAACCTGTTGACTTGTCCGAGTTTTCGCGTGCACGTATTAACGTGATGGCGTTGAAGAGGTCGGTTTGCAGAAATTCCGGTGTCTGCACCGGTCATCGTGAACGAAAAATCACCATCTTGTCCGTGACCAAGAAAATCGAGAAAGATGCAAATAAAGTAAATACTAAAAATGTCATAGTCCAAATGAGGATCCAACCCAGACCATTTGCATGGATTGCATGTAGTCGGTGGAATGACTTCTGCTTAGAAATGCAGTGAAAATGACGTTCACGCTTAGAAACACACGCATCCTGCATACAGGCTTCGCAACACAACTTATATTACTGCAGTAATATTGCGTGGTAGAAGCACACATTGCCATCGGTCGTCAGAACACGTGATTATCATAAGGGATGCGTAGTTCCAAGCGGGCCACCCACTACAGAAAAAAAAAGAATGTATACCCACGTTACTGAACGCATTCTCTTAAGGCCACGTAGTGGCTGCACAGCAAGTTCGAAAACATTTCATGCGCATAATTGCTCGCGATTTAAAGCATGCTACCCATTACACAGAATGCAGCCATATGCGAAAGCTTCACCAACAGAAGCCACTTTCACCTTTACTGGCAACTTTCACCACCTAGAGAGGGCGCTAGTGCAAGCCCAACATGGATGCTGTTTGAGGAATCGTGCCGCCGCTGTGCCCGTCTCTTCGAACTGCGTAGTATTTTCGGCTGCCGCCACCATGTTGCCAAGGTTTTGCTGAGGAGGTCATTGACACTAGCATGCATTATATCGCACACTACGTGTTACGCGTGCGCGGCGTATATTGAAGGAAAAGAAGTTTTGAACGCCACGCACATCGTCTGCTGCGGTGCGAAGAAATGCGCATACGGCTTTGTGAACGCTCCTCGTGCCACGGCCGGGGAAGATCGAGCGGCCGTGCTCGTGCAAAGCAGGATACCTCGCCTTTGACTGCGCGGCGTTTGCACGGTCGCATCCAACATATCTCGTGATTCTTATAGCTGAGCAAGCAAACAATAAAGAGTAAATCATTGCTAATACGACTCGCAGTACCTGTCCGACTTCGGTAGTTCACTAACGAATTCAGAATAACCGTAGTCGAAATTACCAGCGACAAAATATAAGGCCCCAGCGAACCGCCAATGTGAGGCCGACTGAACGATGACGTGGGCTGGCTGCGTGGGCATCTCCCAAACGACAGTTGCGACGGATGCCGCATGACGGCGCCACCATCTGTGAAAGTTGCGAATCGATTACACTGTAGTTATCCACAACTTAAACTTATCGAGTAACATCACACATCAAAAACTATGCACTAAGCGGTAGAGGTGCGCGCTAAGGACAGGAAATCTCTATCAGCGTTCTACTCTTATAGGCGAAGCTTAAGGGTACCTTAATTTTTATTTGGCTAGCCGAACTGCTCTCCAATTGCTTTACCATAATCAGTCATATGCGAACTAGCTTAACAGAAATGTCATTAAATTATTTGAACAAATTTTACATTGCGACGAAAAAAATTGTGCATAAACACCGTCTAACCTTTCTCTTTCAGAGTACTGTGACCTGCAAGCCAATGGCGTGCGCACTTTCGACGGCACTCTAATCAACTTGCCCGAGACGGACTGCTACAAAGTGGTCGCTCGCGACTGCTCGCCCTTCAAGAGGTTCCTCGTGCTGGCTCGTGCCACGAACAACCCTTCGCTAAACAAGGTGAGGCAGTCGACACCAAGACTATCAACCTAAAGGAGTGCAGCTTTCAGTTGTGGCACAAAACATCCATTCGTAAGCAAAGTCGCGTAGATTTCATAGTGAACGCTTTACGTACTGGTCAAAAAAAGTTGAAGGATACGTTGTGAATTCCAAAGTGTGTTCAGCGAAAGCCTGAGGCCGTTGGACAGCCTATGACATGTCTCTTTTTTTACATTCTATCAGAACTCACATGACTACTGAGAGAGTGTCAAGGAGATGGGCCACAGATGTGGTGGCACGACTGTTGCTAAGCGCCACTGCGTTATCACGTGACCGTTGCGAGGGTGTGAGGGGGAAAGCTAGGCTACAGCTGGCGCCGATCCAGGGCACGGACGGACGGACGCGAGTATAAGACACTCAAGGCTTCCGCCATCAAAGTGCTCACTGCGATGGTCAGTCGCACGTGGCTACGAGGTTTCCCGGTCAAACTCGCTGACCAGGACACAATAAGAAAGACGACATGCCACTGGACTGGAAACTGCGAGCTGATCCTCCAACAGACTGTCGTCTTTCTTTCCACTTACTACTTACGAATTTCTATGGTGTCCTTGTCCACGCGTTTGGCTGCGCACTCTCCTTCTATGCATAGTTAGGTACGTAGTGTTCTACAATACCCACCTATCCATCGTGTCTTTGGCACTAAAGCCCCTTCGAGTCACACAAAGATGGAGGTTTGAAGTTAACCCTGTAAACAAAAGAGAGAGAGAGAGAGAGAAGTCTAAGCCTCCACAGTGGCACTGAAAAGAGAGCTCCGACAGGGAAGTCACTTGACAGGGTGAAGGAAGCATGGCAGAGGGAAGTTGTCTAATAGGCGTCTGAGAGATAGTTGTTTGACAAAGGCCTTGTTTAGGTCAGTGCAAGCCAAGCTACAGAAAAGTAATGCAGCTAAAATGTCGTTAGCTCTTCGTTTTTCACGACCACTCGATTACTACGAAGACCAAACCTCGAATTGCTGGTCTCTACCTGCTGACGTCAGAGCCAGGGAGGCTAACTCTCTGTTTAATGATACGAAAGAAGGAGTTTTCACGCGGATAAATTGTGCCTGCTTAACAACTACCTCAATATCTTTGTGCGCAAGTTCCTCTAAATCAAGATTTTTACACTGAATTGAATCCCATTAAGCATCGCAAGTATGGCTTAATAAGTCTCGTGCTACAAGTGCATGCTTTTTGCCGACGCACGCCACTAGTGAAAAAGACAAACATATAAAAAAAGGTGTGGCCGCATCAACTATCAGTTCACGTCGCATGGCCAACGATACCGTGCGTGCATCCGTGCATAGATGCTTGATTGATATGTGGGGTTTAACGTCTCAAAACCACCATATGATTATGAGAGACGCCGTAGTGGAGGGCTCCGGAAATTTCGACCACCTGTGGTTTTTTAACGTGCACCCAAATCTGAGCACACGGGCCTACAACATTTCCGCCTCCATCGGGAATGCAGCCGCCGCAGCTGGGATTTGAACCCGCGACCTGCGGGCCAGCAGCCGAGTACCTTAGCCACTAGACCACCGTGGCGGGGCGTGCATAGATGCTTCTACACTGCAGTTTTGTACTGACTTCCTCATCATTTATCATCGCGTGAGTGTATAAAAGCGCACAGTTGTTCTTTTTTACTCCTCTCCACTATTCAGCCACTCAAAAAATGATCGGCGTCCCAGGTCACAAAGTCATATCTCAATAGATTCTTGTTCGACCAGAGATGGCTATAAATTACGCAACTCCCTCACTCTTCACAACCACCGTCACGCCACTCCCAAATCATCAATCAAAACTGGCTTTAGCAGACTTTACTACAAAGACGCATAAACGATATCGCCAACTATACCTTTAATACAACACGCAATCTCGTCGCTAACGCTGTCAATCGAATCTCTTCCTTCTTTCTGGATGATCAAACACAGGCCTTGAAGATGTTCATCGATACGACCATGATTGAGATCCTGCCCTTGGACGACGCTTCCGGCTTGGTGCTGCGAGTGGACGGCAGCAAAGTGGACATCACGCCCGAGCACTCTTACAGCCACACCTATCACGACGCCGAGCTCTTCAGAGTCAAGAAGGCAGCCACAAAGTGGTTCACGCTGGACTCGGAGCCATACGGCCTCCACATAGGATTTGGTGGAAACATGCTCCTCGTGGAGGTCAGTACGGTGGTTTCTTCTTATTTTAACAATGGGTCTATCGCTTCTCGTAGGACTAGTACATTAGGTAAACACACAATAGATTGAGTGCGGAAACGAGCACCAAGCACTGCGAACTCCAAGCCCAGCTAAGAAGCGTGCGCCAGAAAACTTACACCTGCCGTTCATTTGGGGCATCTGGAGACCCAGTTCCACCACTGCTCTATCTTATAGCATTTAAAGACGATAGTCTTTCTTGGGATAGCTCGGCGCAAAAATTTTGGTCTGTCTGTTGGCACCTGTCACCCGATTCAGCCACCAGGCGAAAGTTTAAGCCCATGCTCAAGGCCCATCCATCTTGATCTGGTGGCTGCTTTCATACTTGTAAACATTGTCAATCAAAAAGCACATAATATGCATAATTGAGGCGCAACATTAATACGTATGTCCTAGGCGGCGTCTTATTTAGGAAGCACATAGATACGTAATTCTAATAATTCTAAAGGCCGAAGTGTCAATCACGCTGCGCTGACAAGGCGATACTATGAACGAAAAAGCGGATGTTTCCTAAGCTTCGCTAAAAAATTCAGGGGCTTTAATTAAAACTAGGTAGTCTTAATCTGCGCGGCGCAAAGGAGGCGGCACGCACGTTAAGGCTCCCTAAATAAAACGATTCTGTTCTGCCACCTACCAATGCCACCAACCCGCATAAACACAGATTTCCCGGCCGCTACCTGGTGGACTCGAACGTCGTGAACTGCTTAGTTACTGTGGCCGTCGCGGGATAGCGCTACGTGCCCGCACTTGCGATCCCACAGAGAGTAAGCCCCGGGTTTAAAGAAAAGGAAGTGCTCAAGGTCATGACGCGCGCTGTCGAACGCGTAGAGTTTTTCCTAAATTTAACCAGGGAGACCCTGGCACTGCGATCGTTCGGCGACCCCGCGAATCATGCGTATGACATTAATTTGCTTGGTCTTCGTACTGGCGGGTGGCGAATCGCACTTCTGGTTTCGTTTATTGCTATGTTTGGGTTTTGTTTCGAAGGAAAAAACGAAGCATTTTTCACTTCGTGACCTAATTTGAAGTGGTAAGCCTAGAAGTTTAAGGTGGTGATGCGTAACTGCAGAACATTTGCCGATTTCGTCCTTTCGTGACAAAGCAGCTCCAAGCCACGCGAAGCCAGAACGAACGTGAAGTACGAAGACAAGACGGATCCCTGTCATACCCATCATTTCCATGCTCGCTCAAGCGCTATGCGTAGCAGCTCCCATGGACACTAGCGCCAGAGTTCCCTCTAGTGTTTATTTAGGAAACTATGGACGAACGTATCCCCTTGCCACTTTTTTCATCCCTGTTTACGCGGCTTTAAGCGCACTCACCAGTTCAAAAGGACAAAGAAAGCGTTCAAAGCGAGCGGGAAGTCCCTACTCTCTGCATCATTTCCCTTTAACGAGCAGATCATTTAATAATAGAAAAAAGATTACTCGAACATCTCCGTAGGATGGCCTTAAACGATCTCTTCCTGTGGTCTTTTCCTTTCGGGCAACTGAAATATGGGCTTTACGTATACGGGAATGTTTTCCATGCCGTATGCGATTCCCTAAGAGAAACAAAACGAATAGAATGTAAGCGAAGGCACAAATTCACTTTGCCTTCAGCCCTTCTTAACCTGTTGAGCATTTTTTTTAATTTATTTAATTTATATATCTTTAATCCTAGCTTTACCCATGTCTTGTTTAAACCACTTATTTCTAAACGTACTCGTCTCGTAAAACAATTTTATCTCTAAACTACGGTACCGTCCCTTTCATGGCCGATCAGCCAAGATGGGCTGCGCCATGCAGGACACCATAAGGAACATCCAATCAAGCAACCCTATAACCGCCCTTATAATCAACGGATTCTACGCGTTGTTTTTTTTTAATGCTGTGTCAGTCCGTTTGTGGGGTATATAGAGTCTGTCAGTGAAGCCATTCGACCATTATCCGGAAAAAATGTCACAGCAACACCGTAACATGCCCTTACATCTAAGCATGTGGGCCTCTAGCCCACATTTAAATGCGGCCATAGCGACTGGGATTCGCTCCTGTGACCTGGCTGTAAGCAGAGGTGCACCATAATATAACTAGACAACTGCAGCAAGGGGATAACCGTCCTTATTTTTTTTTTCTTCCTATGATCAATACAACCATCGTTCTTTTTGTGTGTGGTGTTATCAGGTGGCTCCGTTCTACCGCGGAAAGCTGTGCGGCCTGTGCGGCGACTACAACCTGGACAAGAACCACGAGCTGTCCGGCCCCGACGGTCACCAGTACAACAACACCCTGGAGTTCGCCAAGAGCTACGTGGTGCCCAGTCCCGACTGCCACGCGCCGGCCCATTAACCGGCTCGGACCATTCATCACGTCATCATAACGGGAACGTCGCCCGCAAACTCTCGCAAAAAAAAAAACACCAAAAAATGTGGAGCAAAACCTTACCTGACTGTTTTGAAATGAGAGCACACTGCTTAGACGCGGACAGAAAGATAGAGACAAGCGCTTACTACCAACTGAAAATTTGTTCGGAAAACTACGACACACACGATAAGACCAAATCATGGACCATGGTCCATGATTTGGTCTTATCGTGTGTGCCATGACACTGTTTCATCTGTCACTGTATATTTCATAGTTTTCCGAACAAATTATCAGTTGGTAGTAAGCGCTTGTCCCTGCCTTTCTGATGGTCGATGATTTGGTCTTATCGTGTGTGCCATGACACTGCTTCATCTGTCACTATATATTTCATAATTTTCCGAACAAATTGGTAGTAAGCGCTTGTCCCTGCCTTTCTGTACGCGTCTAAGCAGTGCGCTCTCATTTCAAAACAGTCATGTGTCACCAACTCGCCCAATCAGTCATATTGACAAAACCCTTACCGCTTGGGGTCTTTTTTTTATTATTACTGATAACAACAGAGATCCGCGGAGTGTTTTGGAGCGAGCTCCAACTTTTAACCTCTCGGAATGTAACGCTTTCGAGTCATCTCCTATGTAAAGTGTAAAATATAAAGCAACAAACGAAACAAAAAAAGTGTCATCTTACGGTTGTCACTTTCTTTCCATCCCTGCATAGCGTGCGGAGCACATAGTAAACACGTGCGTTAACCCTAGGTAAATTCTATTCAAGCTTCGGTTTTCTAACAGCTCGTGCAACAAGTCCACGTTCTACGTAAAGTTGCGCTTATTTAGCGTTGATTTAAAAAAAAACAAGCGTCAAATATTGTACTAACAGTAATTAACTTGTACATCTTCGAAGGCAAAACGAGAACAGATATCGGGAAAAGACCCGAACCTTTCAGACCCGGGGAGTGGTGGCATCCTATAACGCTTAAAAAAAAAGGAACTTTCATCCACAGAACTCACAATGAGACGCGTCGCGAATGTTGCAGGGACTTGAAAGTTCAATTATACGCCCAGCTGCTCGCGCGTCCTAGACAGACGTGGACGGGACTGTAAAGTACCATTTCTGCAGATGCGAAGCAGCTTACGGCAAGCGCTATGCTTGCCGTAAGCATAGCGCTTAGCGCTTGCCGTAAGCATAGCGCATAGTCTAGTGTGGGCAGATACATCTAAAGCAAATCGGAACAAAATATTTTTACTGCAGAAAAAAGCGATTCGTCATATTGCAAACGTACCATACGACGCACATACAAGTCATTTATTCAGAGAATATAAGATTTTACCGATCGATCACATACACAGTTTCAACCTTATTATGAAATACAAACAAAGCTTGCTATCAAACAATGCTTGTTTTCTTAAACTGTGTAACCTCAGGAAAAATACACAATCCTATTATGACATTCGGAAAAGGCCTTCCTGGTTTGTTCCTTATTCGCGAACTAATCACGGTTTGAGAAGACTTGAACACTGTATTCCAGCTTGTTTTAACTTGTTTGAAAATAAAAACATCGACATCTTTAATATACATAAAAAACAACTTAAGAACCTTCTCATCCAAAATGGCGCCGTGTAGTTTAGCATCTTCTAGTTGTCCGGCTACAGTACTATATGTAAAAGAAACACCCTATAATAGTGCTTGTGTAACATGGCATTGTATAATGTTTGCTTTCTTTGACATTTTTTTCGTTGCTTTTTTTTACGAGTAAAACATACAACATTTCACTCATCAGTGTTTCCCTTGTGCATTAAAACTCGTGCTTTTCGCATACCCAGTGTTGTAAACGTTGTATAATCATTTTGTAATACTTTGGTAGCCGTTTAGCAACGTGTGCATTGTTTCATGATTGGCCGCACGCTGTTTTCTTTTGTTTTTTGTTGTTTTTCTCTCTATGTGGTTTGCTTATTTTATGTAAACCTGAAACTGATGTAATTGTGATGCATTTTCTTTTTATTTCCTAATTTATTGAAGTTTTGAAAATCGACGTCAAATTGTTTTTTCATGTTTTGTGCTCTGCTGATTTTGTAATGCCAAGTGAAAAGGGGTGGGAGCCTCGTCAAGCTGCTAATATAGCAGCTTTTTGCTCCTATCCTTGCGTTTTCTTTTTCGCAACTCTGTGAAGAAAATGCTCAATAAAACTGAAAAAAAACAATCCGTCGGTGTGCGGCGTGACCACAGTTACTGCGCATGCGCACTCTCCCACTCTCTTCGCGAGGTTGCGGGTGGAGGAAGTGGCAGTCCACTCTCCTCCTGCGCCATATCTCCCCCTCTCCTCGGGTGAGCGCAAGAAGGTGGGGTGGAGAAGGAGGCAGAGTGCTGCCTCCGCTTCGTTTCTCCTCTCCCGTTTATCTCTTCACCACAGCTGTGCGCTCCCATGTATATAATGCTGTACGCGCTCGCACCAATGCACTCTCCAAGCAGCGCCGTGCTCCCGACCAAAAATTAGGTGCCTATTCAGATGCCTATTCAGGTGCCTATTGCAGAAATTAGGTGCCTATTCTCATCTTCTAACCACTACCAAGCAGCGCCAAGTGCTCACTTTGCGACACACGGTAATGCACTAACGACACAGGGGGAGAGGGTGGTCCATAACGGCACATAACATATACACAAGTCCACACGCAGATTAAATTAACATACACGGAAACATGCAAATCAAAACACAAGTGAACATCAGTGCTGCTTCGCATCCCCACATTGTTCCCTTTATTGGAGCATGGTGCAATTTTTTTTCTTACGCAAGTTTTAACTTTTGCTAAATATTGGTGGTCAAAGCCACCTGGCTATAACAGATAGAGAGCCACGGCTCTTAATGCAGCCCACTTTCCATTTTCCTATGGGCCAATTAACGGTTACGTGGCAGAAAAAGAAAGAGATCATACAGCAATTTTGGAAGACAGCAGTCTGTACTTTATTTCGTTACTTGAATGAAAGGCGTGAATTTTTCATGCGAAAGCTTTTTTTTTTTTTCAACTGTACAACGCTGATCGCGACAAACGCGCGCGGTTGACCAACCACGCGTCTAATATTTTCCGAGCAAGGCAACATGGCGAAATACAGCTTGAACGGAAAACAGTGGACAGAAGAAATACCGGTAACAACAAACAACAACAACGGCGGCAAAGCAAAAATAGAAAACCCAACAACATCCACAAACGAGTATTTATGAAAGTAAAATCACATAGGTGTTTCCTCTCGTGTCAGTTTTAAATTTTGTCAAGACTCCAGCACAGCCTTTGGCGTTAGCGTTCAGCAAACGCTCGCGTACCCGCTTGTGACGTACACTCAAGGCGTATACGTCATAGGTGACGCACATGCCACGTGACGCACACGCTTGGCACGTGGGAAGGAAAATAACTTAAAACAGTAAGACGGCTGTACGGTAGATTATGCACGGTGCAAGAATAAAAATGCTCTCGTCAAAAGCATTAACGAGTAATAGCGCGTGTTTAGGCGTTAACACAAACCGACCATCGTGAAAGCGGTCCGGGAAGTCGAATTTCTCCAAGCAGCGGCTCGTAACAGATGTGAAAGTGGCAGAGGATTAGGAACGATATGCTCATTAGGAACGATGTGCTCATTAGGAACGATGTGCTCATTAGGAACGATGTGCTCAAAACAAGTACACAGAACTGCACTGTGGCACAGCATTAAGCTGTCCCGCTACAATGGCAGCTTGATGTGTTTAGAAAAAGTGTACTTTAGAGTATTCGGTACTCTACACTGGGAGGGCAGCAAGCCGCCACAATATCAGAAAGTTATTCACACAACGGAGAAAAAAAAACAGCTGTTTAGCAGAAAGGCGCAGTAGTTTGTGTGCATAGAAAATGTGGATAACGATTTAGAGTACTAGGTGCTCTACCATGGGATGGCTTAAAGCCGCCCCATGAGATCAGATGTGTTAAGAAAAAGTGGTTAACGATTTAGAGTACCTGGTACTCTAGAACATACTCCAAGGACTGTGATATCATAAGGAAGGCCATAGCCTCCTCTATAACTTTGTGCCCGAGCGGTCGGTCCCTCAGCGCCGTCCCCCGAGCTATTATGGGATGCGAGCGCTCCTGGCGGAGCGCCGAGGCGCAAAACGAGAGAATGGATGGCAGCTATGGAGAAAAAACCGGCTTTGAGTAACTACCGAAAGGGCAAAAATGAAATAAGGAGGGAGGCATTTTACGATAATTCAAGGGGAAGCGCTTTACTGTTTGAAGCGAGATCGGGTTGCCTTAGAACGCGTAGTTATAAAGCAAGATTCAGTAAAGAAGAAGAACAATGCACATGCTGCGGGAAAGATAAGGAAACGGCGGAGCATGTTCTGATTGAATGTGGAGATATCCACCCAGGTGTACTCCTGTATCCGTCAACTGAGCTCGTAATGGTTCTAAATTCTCTAAAGAATTACGCGGAAGTTTTCCTCGCAAGAGCGAGAAAGATGAATCAGCCATTGAAGGCTGCCGTTGACAACGCCGCGCAAATACTACAGAAACGTGACAAACTCAAGTGCTCGACCCCGGGACATCATAAAAAACTTTTGGAGGTTGTGCTCGTGAAGTTTCTCCGCCCACTTTTTCTGAACTTCGCGACGAGTGTGACTGACAAACACGACTTGGCAAAAGATTTTCATGTCAAACCATTGTCTCGAAAAGTGCTCAAGCTTTGAGCGCGAAATCAAATAACAAAGCTCACATTGCATTCTGCATACAGTGCTTGTGTTAAAAATTTGGTGTGTGCACACTTCTTAACGTATACGCATAATCCAATGCAATGTAGACGGTTTCTAGACCGTCATAAACGCAAGCGTGCATAGGCCGCGTCGTCTGCTGTTATTATGGGATCGGTGCGGCATCTGGCGGCGAGCGCCAAAACTATAAGGGACGGATGGCGCGTATGTATTTAGCGCTAATGCGCGGGCACAAAAAAATATAGGAGGCTATGGGAAGGCACACAACGGCTGCGCCGACCGACAGCTGACTACGCCAAACATGTACAGGTCGGCGTCTCTGGTTTTCGGTTAGGAACTTGATCATTCTGGCTAACTTCTTCCGGGAGAATGACGCCGTCGCTCGGCCATAAGAATTGGTTTACCCAAAAACGATGAACCTTTATCTAAATGCGGGATTTACGTTAGAACAAAAAAAGTATTAACGGTTAGAGCAGAAACCCGTTAGCACGGCTGTCAATCACAGGTGAAGGGCAGACGGCTCCGCGTTTTTCTTTCTTTTTTTTAGGTTGTAACCGAGTGTAGTACGCCGTGGTGCAGAACAGACTGATATGTGTTTTGGAGGACCAAATAAATGTTTATCCAATCCAATCCAACAGACTGTCTGCATTGAAAAACGTCTTCTCGATGACTTTTCTACCACGAGCGCGCTCCGTTGCACCAGACAAGGCGAAAGAGAAACAAGTAGAAAAAAAAGTAAAATCAAAACGACAGCACGGTATGATTTAACTGCCTAGCCATCGTACGGGACATCATACAAGCGGGCACAACAAAACGTCTCTGTCAGGTACCATCAGGTTCCGCCAGTCGGCATATCCTTTCCACACTCCGTCAAACGCAGCAACCGCGTCGGTATCATAGTGTTCGTCATGTTCCATCCGGTACCAGCGATTTCTAACCTAATGAAAAGGTCAGAACTGTGACAGTCGTGTGAGCAACCACATTTCAGCATGCCTAGGTTCCACCATGTTCTAATCAAGTCATGACAGATTCCAAAGCAATTAAAGTGCTAATTCAGGATTATATAAACAACGGTATTGTTCACAACCTCAAGTATATTTCGCGCACTATAAAGCGCTAACATAATCAGATAAATGAGCAGTTTTACTCAAAATGCCAAAAATACAAAAACTCAAACACAAAGCTGCATTGGCACATATATACCCTCAACTTTCCTCTGAAGCATTATCAATCAATTACTAATTATTGTCAAGAAGTTGTCATTACTGTTTCAGAGGAAACATCAGTTTTTTGTTGTTGTTGTTGGTCCAACATAGCCTTATTTGAACTAGTTTCGGTTTTGCGTTTGGTCCATTTTGAAAAAAAAAAAAAAAGCTTCTCAAACGTTCACATGAGTCCCTTGTCACACATCATAGTGGAAGATCTGCCCTAGCGACGCGTCTCCTAGCATTTTAGTTCTACAGCTGTAGTAGGGGCTCCACAAGCAGCTTTTGTTGCTAGGCACCCCCCACCCCACCAACAATAAAGCTGCTAGTTGGACAATGACTTATCCTATTTAGACTCACACATTAGCAACAACAGTTTTTCGTGTTCGCTTTGAATGCTGTTCCTGTGCTCTTCAACAATGACCAGGTCTAAGCAGTTGCACACAACATTGTGTTCCGGTAAGTCGGTGCTGTTTAAAAGGAACCCCTTCCCCCCCTACTCAGAAATGCTCCATGGCTTGAATTTTAGTAGTTACCAAGGAGGTTTAAAGCCTCCTTGCTTGCTAACGCTTTCAATGCAGCGCGTTTTAAACGTGTTTGTGCGTTTGTGCGTTTGTGCTGCCTTGGCAACACCAAAAGCAGCGCGGTAAAACGCGTTTGTGCTGCATTTAAGGCGGTAGCAAGTCAAGGAGAGTTTCTGAATACGGGGGTTGTAAACTCACTGCTAAGATCGTTCTTAAAGTCACTCTTAAGGACAATAGCGGTGCCACTTGACACAGCGATGGAGCAGTGGGTAGAGCTTCTCCGTCCTTTGCTTTTCGTTTCTTAAAAAAAAAGTCACAAAATGAGGCCCAATATCAGCAGCTTGCTATTGATCATACCACATTTTTTAAAGTAGGTTAAGTCACCGAGACAGAAATCATAGTTTGGCAGCGGAAAACAATAACCGTACCGCTATACAATACGAACGCCGCGCTCATTCCCGGATCATTCAGGCAGCTTGACCAAAACGTACACAAAACAGTCACTTTTTTCCACTGTTCAAACTTCTTATTATGTTTTGTTTTGGTCTAACAGCAAATTGTCATGGTGTAAATTATTGTACACCAAGATTGACTAGACACACAAAAAAGGTGAATGAAAAAAAAACTGACCCCTAGCCGAGGAAGTTTCGGCTAAAGAAACACTACATGCAAAGTGCCAAACGAACAATCCAGGGACTAGAAGACAGATAGACTAGACTAAATAAATGGCCACAGACGGTGCATCCTCGGTGCTCACTCAAGAACAGGGTACACTCGAACATATTTTTAGGCACACCAGCGTCGCACTAGCATGCGAAGCACCAGTTGTATTCTCGCGTTGCATAGACCACCGACATACAAAATGGCGCTCGGTGATGGGCTATCTTGGTTTATGTGAAAACAGCGCCTTCTATTGCTCTATTCCCGTAGTCGTCTTTCACGTGAACAAGCGTTATTACTTATTTTTCTTCCCTCTTATTTATTTTTTTTCTGCTTAGTGACGAGTGTAACAGTGGAATTCACGCCCACGGATTCGCAAACGATGTCTATCACTAGTAGGCTGACACCAAGGCCGCACTGGAGGCCACTCGCCCAACCCCCGAGACTGGTGCAAACGCCACAGATCTCTGGCTCCGTTCTCAGTTAACAAACCGAGAAGTTCCAGAAAAGGCGGATGTACTTAAATCGCGAGTCGTCGAAAGCGAAAGCTGTACGATGTCACTTGTCCGTCGCTTGCGATTACTGAAACAATCGAAATTGTCTTAGCAACGACATCCATTCCCACAGCAAAATGGTTGAGGGAAAGGAACATGGCGTCACTACGACTTCATGATGACGGCAATGTGCCTCGGCGTCCGCACCGAGGCACAAGTCCATTTCAATGACGATTCTCTTTTATATTTGCAGTAGCAGCAACCTAGATCGCTTCGGAGTAAAAACCGAATCTGTCACAAGGTTTGATGTTCGAGCACAGCAGTGTAAAAACACGTGTCCAAAAAAAAAAGAACAGTGGTGATGTTCATGCATCGGCCTTTGTAGTTCGTAAAACTGTTTCGCACAATCGCGCAGGCATTCCATTTTTCTCGCGCTCTCTTTCTTTTCTTTTTTTTTTTTCGTCTTTACTTGTTGGTGTTGCAGCACTTGGAGGCGAAGCTTTTGCTCTGTTTGTCGTTGAGAGTGAGGCTGTCCTTCTCGTGGGGAACGGCGTGCTTGATCATACTCCTACAACACACACACACGCAAACACAAAGAAACAGAAAAAAAGGAGTGTGTTAGTTATCGAAAAGGGGGTTAATTGGTTTGAGCAATGCTCACACAACAAAGACACGATAAATGAAAAACAAAACAGAGTCGACGTCTAAGAGGTAGCGGGGTAGTAAGACGACGATGGAAAAATTTTTAAGGAGTAAAATCAATTTTATTTGTTAGTTAGTTGGTTAATTAGTTATTTCCAGGTGGACTGACATGCCAGACACCAAGACATCATTAGGAGGCACACGCTGTAGAACTGGTGAGAGGGAGGGGGGGAAGGGTTGATGCAGGAAAACTGATCTGGAATCCCTTAAAGGCACGCTGCGATAATTTTCAGGAATGATCATGGAATGTCTTCATTAGAGGAGTTTACTTCCTCACAAATCGACTGCCACCATTTTTTTTTTTAGAATCAATCAAGTGGAGAGCTGCCAGCGGAGTTACAGAAATCGATCACACGCTTTAAGGACTCGCTTACACTGAAGGTGGGGCGGCCAAAGCGGCAAAGCGGGAAAGAACTTTTATCTATAGGCAGCGAAAGCGGGCGGAAAACTCATTTTTTCCAAAAACAATAAGAGAGTGGAACAGCTTAAGTGACGAATTGGTTAGTATAACAAATAATGATTTTTTTGTGCCATGAAATTCTTGTTGTATTATGCATGTTCTGTGTGTATGAAAGTGTATTTATGATCCATTATTATGTTCTGATAAGTTTGACAGTGTTTTTATGTGCGTTTATGTATTTTGCTACAAATTCATTCGTACGGGTTGTTTTTTGCCCCCCAACCCTTACGTAATGCCTATATGGAGATGTGGGTACTGTGAGAATAAATAATTAAAATAAATAAAACAAGGCGGAAAATGCGATCGGTCCCGGGTCAATTTTTAGCCGCCCGCATAACTTCGTTGCTTTCCCGCGGCCAAAGCGGCGGTGGCGCTGGTGTACCTTCGGGAGTAGAGAGAGAGAGAGAGAGGGATGTAGGAAAGGTGGGGAGGTTAACTAGACTATGCGTCCAGTTTGCTACCCTACACATGGGGAGGAGGAGTAAAAAAGAGAGAAAAGGATAGACACATGTAACCTTCGGGAGTACTTTGACAAAAGCACTGCTACGTTATAGCGTGGAAATGGCAAAATCCAACGCTGGGACAGCCGGCGTAACGTAAACAAACGCTATACCGCCATGGCAGAAAACGAAACAATGCGCCACGCGCCTTTTTTTTTTTTTCTTGCATTGTCCGCTTGTAAATACGTGGCTAAGTTTGCCGAAGAGCTGAAATAATATCCTCGAGCGTATGCATTTGGGGCACGGCTCACACGATCGCTCGTCGCGATACAAAACAGCCAGGTGTGAGGTGAACTGCCGCTCCGCTAGCGGCTTAAAAGGAAAGCTGGAAGGATTTTAGAATCGAATCAAACTTCGTGTTTAGGAAGGACCGACACTATTGTCGACGATGTCATAATTGTTTTCCGCGGTTGCAGCAGCGGGAGCTTTAGAACAGGCGAAATAGAAGCTTGTCTCGCTCCGCCCCCGCGAGCACGCTGAAAGAGTGGGCGTGGAAACATACGTCATCTTCGTTTCCTCTGGCCCCGGAGCAAGTGCTCTTTCTCATACTCAACCACGGCCTCCGTGACTAACCCATGACGTGCCGTTGCCGGAACTAATCGAAGAGGCCACACTTCAGGCGTGCTGCTGTGTCAGATGGCGCGGCATACCGAGAATGACGTCACCGTGTTTACTGGCGTCTCAAGAAGCTCGGCGGCCACAGCCACTGTTTTTTTTTTTTTTTTACCATAAAGTGCTTTTGGCGTTCACTTTTGAGAACTCTCGCGTAGCTTTTCTAATTCCGCATGGATCAAGCTGCCCTTACACGCTCCTAAGTCATTTTTTTTTAGAAACGTGCTTCAGCTTCCCTTTAATAGGCTCACGTCTCACGTCAGTACATGTAACATTCACTGCGAAACACGACGGAATATACCGCGAAAGTGATCGTGTCCTCAAAAGAGCTCGAGAATATACCTGCTCAGCTATCGCGAATAGTAGATTTGGGTGCACGTTAAAGAACCCCAGGTGGTCAAAATTTCCGGAGCCCTCCACTACGGCGTCTCTCATAATCATATGGTGGTTTTGGGACGTTAAACCCCACATATCAATCAATCAATTATCGCGTATAGTATACGTCGCTAACAGGCGTTGACCAACCTGCGTTCTAGTCTCAACTTCACAGAGATGCGGCGGAATCAGTGCCACGAGTGCACGTCGCATCTAAAATTAACCTCTGCGCGACGCGTTTTCGACTAGTTTTGGCAGTTGCCTGTACCCCCTTTTCCAGTGTACTAAGTGGCGCTTCCAAAATCTCATGTAGCTCAGCTTTGATTTGGGACACTATAGGTCATGACTGTACATACTGCACGACATTATTACTAAGACGCGGAAAAAGACAAAGCTAAAGATGAAATAGGCAACGAAAGGATGTATACATATCTTAATCCATCTCCATTTTTTTTTTCCTCGCGTCGGCGCGTTGTAGCGTAACATACTAGAGAGTTTTAGTACTGCGGAATGGTGCTACGTACGCATCACGCAAGCGCCTTGCGTTACGTGGCGTCGTTTGCCACTAATCGGCTTTATAGTACGCCGTAGTACCCGCGTACGTGACGAGCGTGAAGCGTGTTGCGTCATCTGGTAGATCAAAATAGAAGCACGTGTTGTTGACAGCCAATGTGAGTCAATCCAAGTGTTATAGCCAGATTATGGCCATATTTGAAGCCACAGAGCCGGTCGGTGCTTGCCTTCGATGCCGCCATTTTGCAAAACGAAGTCTCGCGCTGTCGCGAACTTGTTCGAGAGCGGCGCGATCACCTCATACGTACGCACGCACGCATCTCATGCGTGTGTACGTAGCGGCTGCGTACGTAATGCGATACGTGCGCGTCGCGGTCTGCGCATGCGCACTACGGAGAACGTGGCGTCCTAACGTACGCAACGCCGCCACGTACGCAGCGTACGCAGTACTAAAACTCTCTAATACCATACCCCGTTTGCTGGCCCGTAGATGCACGCCGTTCGCGAATAGTGAGCATCACACATTTTTAAAAAAAAAAAGTGCCGCCACATCCACGAAGTGAATGATGATGAGTGGGCGAAGCTCCGGAGGTAAACCTGGTAAACCATGAATCCTCCGTACATTTCGCCCACTCGATTTTCTTGCAACGCTCCCCCTAGCGTACGTCGCCGCACTATATCGAACGATGACACGCGCCATATGTGGCATCATTCCTATTTTATAACACCTCGCATCTTTCATAATCAACTACACGTACCGCCGTCTAGTTTATAACATCTTGCATCTTTTGGATGGATGGATGGATGGATGGATGGACGGACGGACGGACGGACGGACGGACGGACGGACGGACGGACGGACGGACGGACGGACGGACGGACGGATGGATGGATGGATGGTTGGACGGATGGACGGATGGATATGGCTGTACCCTTTAGATCGGGCGGTGGCTAGCGTAATACTTAATGCCGTCAGCTACAAGTACCGCCATCTAGTGAACACTGCAAGAACTGAACGAGAGGTGGCTACATACAGGGGACGCACAGCCCACGCCTTAAGGAGCTTCGCTCCTAAAACAACTGTATTGATCTCTCCTATTTAATCAGGGTATTCTATCACCATCGAAGACCGAGTAGTGAAGTTCTTACGCATTTCACTCACGCAAACATACGACGGAGCGGGCTAATTCAACCCCAGTCGTGAAGAGCACCAAAGCAGGCTCAGCACCACGAACGACTACTACAAAAAAATAACGCGAAAGTTGTCTCCACGCATGCCTACGAACGTGTACAAACATAACTTTCAAGGCATGTGCACGACGCAGTTAGATGGCAACTGCAGTTCACCGAGTTGTTGAAGGAAGCTTCACGGGAAACATAACTAAAGCGATAAACAGTAGCTTCAAACGCTCACCGCCGCTCGTAATCACCCCTTATCGCAGGGCGAAATAGGCTTTAGAAGATAACGCCACGCGTTATTGCAAGCGAAGGCGCAGTCCACAAGCGCCCGCACTGATATCCGCCGAGTCCTCAAAAATATGGCGGCGAGCGCGTATACCAACTTTTCGGCGTCTGCTAGCCCGAGACCTGCTCAAAACCTTTCAGAGACGATAGTTATAGCGCGAGAACAAAACGACGACACAGAGACAAGAAGGACACGAAAGATACGAACTATCTTGATGCCATACCAAGTAACCCAAGCTGCCACACTTCTAACTTTCAAGGCCAAATCTCATAAGCGCGAAAATGCACGCGACAGCGACGAGCGACGCGACGTAGATCGGCGTCGCGCGATCAGTCGCTAGCGCAGGCAAACCTCATTCACGCGACGGCTTCGGCGAGCGAATTCCACTGTTGCTGGCATGAGGCCGTCTACTCGTACCAAGAAAACCGCGTAGCGAGCGGTATGCAATTTAAAAATAAGATATATTGTTGTGTAATGGAACGGAAAGTGTTTATTATTGCCTTACAGCACTTTTTTATACGCATATGCGTAATAAACATTGCGTTATTTCTTGTTGCGCAATCGTGCCTCGAGCAGGGTCACGTGCACCTATGTAGTCTTTGTCTTTTCCGGTTTTTCGCTATTGGCTGCTTGAGCCCAGCACTTCCGGGCGATGAGCGACGGTTTCCAAATCTGGAGAACCGAGCGATCGCGCGAAAACGAGCACGCGACACGTCGCGCGAACGCCCTGTTTCGTCGCTCATAGCGTCGCTCGTCGCTGTCGCGTGCATTTTCGCGCTTATGAGGTTTGGCCCTCACAGAGCTTCATCCCGCGGTAGCCAGAACCAACGCCTCCTTGATTTCCCTTGCCTGCCGGGTGAGCGCGAAACGGCCGTCATTTATGAAGGCGCTCCCTACGTAGAAGTAAGGGTCTTTTTACTTGGCCTTTGAGATCGGCAATTTTACGCGTTTACTACTAATTTCAGAGGCTATGCCTCGTATTGAAAAAGTTGCTTGCTGAATGACGGTGTCACTTACGTAGGGTTAATTATAATTACGTTTATGTCTTTTTAAAACTTTTCTACGTTATTTCTGTTGCATATAAGCTCCAAAAACGTAAAAAACTTATTTGAAGACACCCCCCCCCCCCCATACTTGAGTGGCGCCACCACCGTAGTTCCGACGACCGCCGCTTCCCAAGTGACCGTCGATGATCCGGCAGGCAAGGGAAATCTAGGAGGCGTTGCCAGAACCGTCCAAGCCGAGAAAAACGAACGCCAACCGGAGGTGCGCCGCGGGGGGAAGGGGGGAGCAGCCTGAGAAAAACGAGCGCGCTCTGGCGGGCTCTGGCGGGTAGCCAGAAATGAAAAATCGAAGAACCATGAAGCAAAAGTGAAGCAGGACACCTGTAACGCGCGCCTCAATCTAGCTGCGCAAGTGTTTTAGTCATTCACCTGCGTCGACATGCGGCCGCCCTGGCCACGTATCGAACCCACGACCTTTGGCGTATAGGATGAGCTAAATCAAGTACAAAATAGGCTATAATTACAAGTGACTGAGAAGGTTGTGCGCCCCGCACTCCACCAATAAGATTGCAAAATGAAAGCACGTGAACACGGATGCCCGCGTGTCCACTGACATTTCTCTAAAAAGTGTAAAGACATATTTCGTACCAACAGCAGTGAGAACGACACAGCTACCGTCGCACCGCATGGAAGTTGCAACTTTAAAAAATTAGAAAAAAATGTGTTCGAGTGCGTTCGAACAGTACTCGCAGCGGTACAATTCACTCACCTGGTCAAGGCGCCAACAGCTTCGTTAATATTTGAACCGTCTTTGGCACTTGTCTCCACAAATATGGCTTTCATTTCCTGAAAGGCGTACGAAACCAATGTGATCAGCTCCAGCTTTTTTTTTAAAGGTTCTACACGTGTGATGAACTTACTAGATAGATGATAGGCAATCACTAGGCAAGAGTATTGAGAATCTGAATCCTCCCCTTCTCCTCCCCTAGAACCCTTCAGTCCTAAATCCCGTTCCCTTATACAGAGTAGCATGTGGACGCCTAATAATCGACTTGCTCGCTAAATTCCGTGCCGACCGGTTGTGCCCTCGCGATCTCCGACGTCAGCGTACCTCTGGCCGACTGGGCTGGCCCTACGTCATCTCCTGACGCCGACCTCCGACGACAGCGTAGCTCTGACCTACTGGACTTGCTCTACGCCACCTCCTGACGCCGACAAGAGCTCTCGCAAGTGGTGCCCCGTCCTCGGACTCCTGTGACCGTGTTTCCATCTTTCCTATCTCTCCTATCCCCTCGATATGTCCTCGCCCGCTGGCTTTGCGCATCTATCTCTCTCTCTATACCTTTAATCCTATTCTTTTAATCCCTCCTCACCCCCATCCCTTGTGAGCTACCGTTGAGGTGTCGCACCGTGATGCAGACAGTTACGGGGCTCACTTTTTCTCTTCCTTTCTTTCTTATAACCACTTTGCGCCTAATAAACGCATCAGAATAATACTATGTTCTCCCTTAAAGAGCTATCTCTCTCTCTGTCTCATCTGAATAGCTTTGACGCATGCATTACAACGAGGCGCCTGAAGTGCGTTTGGATTAACGTGCCACATCATGAAAGACGCCAGTTAGTCTCGGTTAAGCAAAAGTTTAGTGGTAGTTGCTCATTGGTTATCGCAGTTAATAGTGGATGTAGTAAAAGTAGAAGCAGTAGTGGTTATAGTAGTAGCGGTAACAGTAGTAGTAGTTTCTTGGCGGTTGCTTGCGACTTGACAGCTCGGACACTCACTTGTGATATCTTCTCGCCGGCTTCTCTCTCCACGACGGGTTTGCCCTGCATTTTGAACACGTCCCGCATGTCGGTCTTGTTGGAGACCAACATGATCGGGATGCCGCGGGATGCCACTTCCTGCGATTCCAAACAATGCGCACGCTACGATGTACATAGCACGTAGAAATCACATCACGCAGTGACGTATTATTGTTGTTTTTTGCCGTATATAAAGGTAGTCTGCAACAATTTTACAGCAAGGTCAGAAAACGCTGCTAATTGGTAGTCGAGGATCGTGATATACGTAATAATCCACTTCAAGTTGTGAAAGACTATGTCTACATAGGGCAGGTAATAACCGCGGAGCCGAACCACGAGATTGAAGCAACTAGAAGAATAAGAATGGGCTGGAGCACGTTTGGTAAGCATTCTAAAATTATGACAGGTAGATTGCCACTATCCCTCAAGAAGAAGGTATATATTAACAGCTGTATCTTGCCGGTACTTAGCTACGGAGCAGAAACCTGGAGACTGACAAAGAGGGTTCTGCTTAAATTGAGGACGACGCAGCGAGCAATGGAAAGAAAAATGGTAGGTGTAACCTTGAGAGACAAGAAGAGAGCAGAGTTGATTAGGGAACAAACGGGGGTTAAGGATATAATAGTTGAAATCAAGAAGAAGTAATGGACATGAGCCGGGCATGTAGCGCGTAGACAGGATAACCGCTGGTCGTCAAGGGTAATAAACTGCATTCCCAGAGAAGGCCAGAGGGTTAGGGGGAGACGGAAGGTTAGGTGGGCAGATGAGATTAAGAAGTTTGCGGGTATAAATTGGCAGCAGCAAGCACAGGACCGGGTTAACTGGCGGAACATGGGAGAGGCCTTTGTCCTGCAGTGGACGTAGTCAGGCTGATGATGATGATAATTATGATGATGATGATTCTCGTGAGAACACGTGAGCCGAGCATTGTAGAACAAATCGCGTCTTAGAATTGACAATTTATCCTTAAAGTCAACTAAAAATAAATCTTTCTTCTCTCTAACAATGATGACATGCAGTTACATGACCACGCCATGTACCCAAGTTCGCGGCAACTGGTTCGGTTGAGCCAGGGTTGAGCATCGTGGGCTGTAAAGTGGCTGCACCCACCGCAAGAGGTCGCTACGTGCTCGCACTCGCGATCTCACTGAAGGTTCGGTGCCCTTTCACATAGAAATAAAAATAAAAACCTCTCCACTCAAAATCAAAACACCCGCATGACGTGCCCTCCTTCACCCGTACCAATCCTCCTTCGTTAGCACCCAGCGCGTTGTTCAGGATGACCGAAATGAGTAAGCAATTACAGCGTGCGACTCTGTCTCTCCACTTGTGCTTGACAGATTCTAAAAAAAAGTTACAGCGGTCTATTCCCGAGGTAATCAACTTTTCTACTGAAGCCATTGAATTGTTTCATGGAAAAGTATTGCAGCGCCCCTTTAAGGTGAAAGTATTACGTGTCACACGTGATGAGGTCATCCTATGACCGCTTCATCAGTGATTGCGCCATTCTTACGTGACATTCTGCCAAAATTTGTGACCTCGTCACGACGCCACTATGGCGTACTATGTGACGTCACAACGCGATGTCTCATGACGCAACGTCAATCGATGACGTCATCGCATGACCTTCATCGCTTGGTCAAAAGTGCGCCGATCCCGGAGGCATGTTGTGCAAAACTACGTGGGGTGCTGGAAGCATAATTTCCTACAATACTTAGTAGAGGGAACTCTGGCGCAAGTGTCTTTAGGGGTTGCATAGCAGGGCGCTTCAGCAAGCATGGAAACGATGGGTACTAGACGGACTTGTCTATTCTTCGTTCTTCCGACTCTGTTTGGCTCTGTGCAGCCTGTATCTACTTTGCCGCAAGAAGAGGCTCAGCAGAGGTTTAACAGTTACGCTTCACCAACTTGACCTCATCAGGCTCACCAATTCAAATCTGCTCACAAAATGCCCGACAGTCTGTTCTTTTATTCGAAACAAAACCAAAACTCGGCAATTAACAAAGCCATAATTGCGTTCGAAGCCCGCAGGCACAAAGACTCGTCAGATCCGGGTACTACCCATCGTTCTCGTGGTGGCCGAATGATCGCAGCGCCAGAGCACCCTGTAGTTTGATTTTAGGAAACTCTATGGCTGTGACACTCCAGTGCCTCCGATCCCGGAGGCAAAGCAAGAGAACGTTAACTTCAGAAAGCTTCCGGTAGTGGGAGGGTTAGACGCTGGAATACAATCGACGGAGAAGATGAAGATGGCTTTCGTCGTATAGGCTGACGCATAAGAAACCACGTATCATTTTTTTTCTTTTTTTCGACTTACCTCGAGGTCAGACATCCACTGTCTGACGTTCAGGAACGACTGTTCGTTCGTGCAGTCGTACATGAGCATAACGCCGTCGGCCTTGCGGAAATAGGACTGCGTTATGCACCGAAATCTGCGTGGAAAAAATAGGTTTGTCAGGTTATCTTTCGATTCATTTCATCCAATATTCTTTCTTGTCTTAAAGGATACGGCGATTCGTAAGGATATCTATTCAATTGTAACAGCCTCGGACATACAAACGCGACCATTGCGTGAGTTAGCACCAATACCAAAACTAGTATTGGTTGCGCAACTATTGATACCACATTTATTCAAACATCATCCTCCACCTCTAGGCGTCAGTCGGTGAGTTGATTCGCACATGCGGAAACGTGTTTCTTCAATAATAACTTGCAAAGTTTCACATGTTAAAACTATTGTGTAACCACGAAGCAGAGTTACTTAATTTAATGATTATTATTTCATGATTACTGCTTCTGGGCAAAAAAGGCATGCAGTATATTGTAACCTGATGCTAAAACAAACGTGGTCTCCGCGCGTTACATCTGCAACAGACACAGCAAAACATCACAGCATATCCACGGAGTGAATGACGATGAGTTGGGCGAAGCGTCCGTCAGCCCGTCCGTGCTTCCGTCCGTCTGTTCGTTCTTGCTTCCGTCCATCCATCCGCGCAACCATACGCGCGTCCATCCATGCGTCCGTCCGTCTGTCCGTCCATCTGTCTGTCCGTCCGTTCGTGCGTAAATCCGTCCGTCCGTTCGCGCGTGCATGCATCTGTCCGTCCGTCTTCTATTCTGTCTGTCCGTCCGTGCGTCCATCTAGTGAACACTCCGAGTACCGCCATCTCGCATCCCCTGTGGCACATACCCGCTCCGCGCGTCCATCCATAAATCTGTCCATTTGCTAGCCTGTCTGTCCACCCGTGCGTTCATGTAGTGAACACTTCAAGTACCACACTCTCCCATTCCGCATCCCCTGTGGCACATACCCGCTCTTGAGCGGGTATGTGCCACCGGTGGCTACGTACAACATCGGAGGATGTACAGACCCACGCCTTAAGGAGCTTCGCCCCTAAAAATATTTCTGCGAGAGTAATAATTAGCCAGTCCAGTGGGGACAATCGCATAAGCTTGGCGCACTGTTTGCACAAAGTACACGGCATACGACGCAAGCCCGGGCGACCGCAATACATATACATAGGAGGACAGTGCTCGTTTGCAGTTCGGCGTAGTGGGCATTCACTTTATTTCCCTTTCTCTCTCTCTAGTTCACCCGTCTAGTTCTGAGCAGGGCGATTCAACTGTCACGTACCTTTCTTGCCCGGCCGTGTCCCACAGCTGCAGGCTAACGTTTTTGTTGTCGATGCAGATGTTTTTCGTCTGGAAGTCCACCCCTGCATACATCCGCAAAAAAAAAAACCTTGTCTGTGTTAGAAAAATATGTTTATCGTGTATATAGGATGCGTTTGATGCGAGGTAAGTACCACTGAAGACAAGCTTGGTTTGGAGAGGAGAAGGGTAACGCGACGGAGGAAAAATGGTGTGCGTATTAGGTTGGCGTTTCTCAGTCCCTCACGGCGACGGCATAAACGAATAACTACCCTCAAAGTATGCACATGTCAGCTATCATACTGGTACTAGTAAATTTATATAGGAAGTGCCGATGCGAAAAATTAGCTTTATCTCGCAACAGCTAGCGGTTTAGCCAACTTTTGTGCGCTTTTCCGCATGACGCTAGTGTACTGCGGCGAAAGTTAGTTAACCACTCCACACACAATCGGGAATAATTAGAACAAATGTCGTAATTCATCGCTATTTTCTTTTTACGTTCGCTCTGGGACTGGTTTTCGGAAGATCTGCGGCTGTACCCGCACAATCGGGAGGATGGCTCAAAATTTGGGAGTCTCCGGGAAAAATCGGGATAGTTGACAGGTATGATTCTCGCGCGGGCCCCAGCTTTCGAAGAGAGGCTAGACCACTTTAGGACTTCCCCCCTTTACATCCAAAAAAATAAAATCGTCGATATAAGTTTAACTTATCGTCTTTCATTGAGATTGTACACCGCTTATAGGGATTCGGAAGGACCTTAATACTTCCCACTTATTTAAGTTAACCAAAGCGAATAAAATGTAATCTCAATCACCCAGCGTGGAGGTCAGCTGCGGCATGAAGATTCCTCTGCTGAGCCTCATGATGAACGACGACTTGCCCACAGCCGCGTCACCGACAAATACCACCCTGAACGTGAGCTCGGGCGGTCCCGTCGAGTCGGTGAAGCTTCCGAGACGGTGGAGCTGCTGCGAAGACGTGGAGCTGGACGAAACCCTGCGGCTGCCCCGGGTCTCCTGGTCGGAGACCTTCATCTGGGCCACCGAGCTCCTCCTGCGGTCGTCGACGTAGCCGTCATCCTCGAGTGGCCTGTCGAGGTCGGGCTCGTCAGTCGATTTCGCTGGCGTGTCCTGTCTCGACAGGTGGCGCCGCGGCACGGGCTTGGGCTCGGGGGACGTGACCCTAGACCTGGGAAGCGGCACGGGGGGAATGCCCGACCTCTGCGGAGACAACGACCTCTGCCGCCTCGTCTTCAGGGCGCTGGGCGAAGGGGTGATCTTCACGCTCTGGCACGAACCGGACGGGCTCGGAGCTCGGCGGTGGTACCTGGAGGAAACAAGCGATTGCTAACACTGTGGTTCAAGTAAATGGCAGGTAACGGCAGCTGAACAGATTTACAGGGCTATCACGCCTAAACATACAAACGGTCGCACCATTGATGGATACACGTGCACACACTAACGCTATTCACGGTGTCTCTATACGCATTCAAAACACCAAAAATTCTTGAAGATCGGTTGCCGCTAGGGCAGCCACTTCGACAAGCGGTTCTGTCTTCTTGAACGCTGCATCTAGAAGAAAACAAGGCCACTTGGAGAAACGATGGCTCCAGCGGCGCCCCCCGTTCAAGATTTTTTCATCTCTTCAAGCTTTCATCGCTCCGTGAACTTCTGTCTTTTTTAGCACACGCAAAATGCGTTATAGACGTCACATTTCTCGCACACTTTGACTTAGCCCAAACTCGTAACGAATTATGATGGTATAAACGGGACGAATGACTTACTTCGCCGTACTTGGGTCGACGCCAAGTTGGCGTTTGATTTCGCTAATCCTCCTTGAAGACAGATTGCCCCTACTCATCGGCTTCGGCGAATCATCGATACTCTCCATCTGCAGTTTGACAAGGGAGGAAGAAAAAAGCAGCTTAGTGAATTATTGTGTGCGGATAGACGAGATTATAAAAAGAAACGACGGAACATTTGCCTTAACTTTCGTATAAAGGCCTCAGCTTCGTTAAGACGTCGAAGAATAATTACTACACGCCTCTACAGAGAAGCGAAAGGAAGTGGGAAGGGGAGAAAATGGGACTGATAATTTGCTGTTTTTCAGGCCCTCAGGGCGACGTTATAAACAACCGCCACCAAAAGTACGCACACGTCAGCTATCATGCTGGTACTCGTAACTATACCAGTACTGTATACATCGATGTTATACAGTAGTTAAAGTACTCGGCTTCTGATAAAGTCACGGGTTCGATTCCAACCACACCATTCGCATTTTCGTAGCGGCTAAACGCTAAGAGCCAGAACACTGTGAGATTACAGAGCACGTTAAAGAACAACGGGTAGGGCTGAATTTCCGCAGCCCTCCAATACGGCATGACTGATGATTACACCATGCATTTGGTATGTAACACCTTAAATATTATATATATATATATATATATATATATATATATATATATATATATATATATATATATATATATATATATATATATATATATATATATATATATATATATATATATATATATATATATATATATACTCTCTTCTTGTGAAAAATTCAACGCACAAAAAACTCGGATCGCTTCATCTGGAGGTATTGACAAAGCTATTCCCACCAGGTGGCGCCAGCGAGTGCGCTGCCGCATTCGTGGTCCGTCAGCGATACGGCGTACTTGACAGCCTGACGTTGGCAGCGCCACCCTTTACAAACCCGTTTTGTCAGAGAAACATCAGCATAACACGTACTGCTAAGAACTTGGGTTGTGGCATAACGATAATATTCACGCGTGAGACCGCAAGTATGGCGAATGCCGCGCTAGCGCCCCTTGCGGATGACGTCACGAGAATACGTCATACAGCCTATATTACGGAGGGGGTTTCAGTGCCGCCATGTTGGGCTGCTAACGTTTGCGTTTTTCGCGTCTTTGAGAACTAAACTAACAGTGTTAAGGAAGACGCGTACGCATGAAAGCGGTTTAGTTGCTGCATATAATGTTTCATGGCCTTATTAATTCACGTGGCAACATACAAAAACAAAAAAAAACATAGATTTAACGGTCCAAGATGGCGGCGCCCCGGCGTTTTACGGAAAACAGTCTATACAGTGTTGCTGCTGCTGGATGCCACAAATTCCAAGTCAAAGACGAAAACCACTCGCGCCCTTTCTTCCGTTAAGGTAAACAAAACGGCGGCAGCCTCTAACCATAATTATGAGAAGTGCTCGACGCACAGGCAATAGTACTGGGTATCGCCAGAGGTGGGGCACTTCGAACATGGCACGCGTGCTACGAAACCGGCGTGTAGGCCCGTGTGCTCAGATTTGGCTGCACGTTAAAGAACCCCAGGTGGTCAAAGTTTCCGGAGACCTCCACTACGGCGTCTCTCATGATCATATGGTGGTTTTGGGACGTTAAACCCCACATATCAATCAACGAGACCAGCGTGCAACTTCCACGCTGTGTTTGAACTCTCGAAACGCCTTACACAGTCTGTGCGCCCCCGCCGTGGTGGTGTAGTGGCTAAGGTACTCGGCTGCTGACCCGCAGGTCACGGGTTCGATTCCCGGCTGCGGCGGCTGCATTTCCTATGGAGGCGGAAATGTTGTAGGCCCGTGTGCTCAGATTTGGGCGCACGTTAAAGAACCCCAGGTGGTCGAAATTTCCGGAGCCCTCCACTACGGCGTCTCTCATAATCATATGGTGGTTTTGGGACGTTAAACCCCACAAATCAATCAATCAATCAACACGGTCTGTGCGCGTAAAAAACACGAAGTGACCTATAACTCGGTCTATAGGATGCGTCTATTCAGCACCGAGTTACCACGAAAGCCGACGAAGCGAAGGTTAATGGTGAAACGATTCTGAAATAGCACTACCAACGACGCGAGCGCCCTTTTTGCCGGCGGAAACTCGCAAATCATCCGCGGCTGCTCGCGAGGAGCGGATTGAGAAAAATACGCGCGCGCAGACTTGTCAGGCGGCGCAGCCTGAAGCCCCGCTCAAGCCGCTTTCTGTGCCAGCGCCCACCGAAAGGAGAACGGCAGTCGCGTCGCACCCCACTGAAGAAACATTCCGCGAAGCGACGGCCTCAAACGCGGCAGCGCAAGCTGCGGAAATCGCAGCCGCTGCGCCGCTATCACTTTCCGGCACATTATCGCCGACAGATAAAGAGATTAGGATTAAAGCTTATTATTTATACGGCGTGTGTGTGTCTATACGTATCCTCAGGAGCGCAATAACAGAACACCGGTAACCGTCACATGCGGGTACCGAAACATTAAATCACGTTTATCCATTAGGTAATGATATACATGTGTGGGGTTTAACGTCCCAAAACCGCCATATGATAATGAGAGACGCCGTAGTGGAGGGCTCCGGAAATTTCGACCACCTGGGGTTCTTTAACGTGCACCCAAATCTGAGCACACGGGCCTACAACATTTCCGCCTCCATCGGAAATGCAGCCGCCGCAGCCGCGAATCGAACCCGCGACCTGCGGGTCAGCAGCCGAGTACCTTAGCCACTAGACCACCGCGGCGGGGCTAGGTAATGATATCCTGCAGCAGCACCCAAATATGATTGAAACATATTTACTAAAACTTAATTATCTTATTATTACAATTTCACAACCTATGTTATTATACCATACCTCTTACATTTTTCTATTGGGCATTTTGCTGCTTTTTTGTTTCCTTTGTTTGTTTGTATATTTTTGCAAAAAATATAGCCTGTTTATTTCACACCTTAATTCTACGTGAGTACGCGAGGTATTTTTCAATAAATAATATAAAGGACTAAAATAACGTGATTCAAAGCAGCGACGTCAGATATTACGTCATTGGTAGAGCCTCACTTATACGCTGTCGACTCTGGTTCTGGCAGTGGCGGGCGATCCTGGCAAAAACGTGAGAACCACGAAGCGGGACAGCTAAAATCACAAGTGACACTGACAAACTGTACACACTGGCAGAATAGCACTACTTACGCAACACCAGACGGAAACTTTCGTTTTCATTGAAACTTCGGCAAAAATATCGTCTCATGCGTGACCTTTCTGCTCACGTCATGTGACTGCCCGACCGGAACCAAGCCCTTGACCTTCGAGTGGGAAGCGAAACTACCGAGGAGGAGCAGGGCCGTTCTAGAAGGTCAACATTTATACAGAGCCGATACGGCCTGCCGCACCGGCCATATCATAGCCTCAGCCTATGAAACGGCAGAGAGAGAGAGAGAACATAAGAAGAAAGGCAGGGAGGTTAACCAGGACTGATCCCCGGTAAACTACCCTGCACTGGGCAAGGGGAGAGGGGAAGGAAAGTTATAGAGGAAAAGAAAGAAGGTCACTGACTGGGCCGACGCGTAACATTTTCACATCACAAAACGATGAAACAGGCCCGTGTCTCTGAGAAAACGCAACGGCGCTTTCGTTGCCTTTCGGAATCGGGATGAGCAGTGTGCCATGGTACCAATACTTTCTCGAGGCGGAATACATTAAACGCCAATTGGAAATTCCGCCGGTGGCAAGTGTTATCTCTTCGTCCACTTCCGTTTCTTCACATTTACCTTATAATTGATTTTGGTGCGTCCCCTACACTTCTCGTGGCATCGCTGTCTGTCAGTTCTCGTTAATATCGCGCCTAACAAGAAAAACGATCCCTTGTATTTACACTTGCTTCCTTAATCGGGAATCAGCCTAACAAGAAAAACGATCCCTTGTGTTTACACTTGCTTCCTTAATCGGGAATGAGCCTAACAAGAAAAACGATCCCTTGTGTTTACACATGTTTCCTTAATCGGGAATGAGCCTAACAAGAAAAACGATCCCTTGTGTTTACACTTGCTTCCTTAATCGGGAATAAGGTACTCACGCTGCACCATGTGTTCCTGCTTCCGATGCCGCTCTCGCTGCTCACGGAGGCACCCGCTCCGGGCGCACTGGGCAACATGCCGTTCGCCGAAGAGGACGACGCGGACGACGTCTTGGACTCGCCGAACGACGGCGGCAACGACTGCACGCTGCGGTCGCTCGCCTTGCTCGTGCTCCGCACGGGCAGCGGCGGCCTGGACGTGAGCAGAGGACCGTTGACGTGGCCGCCGGCCGCGGTGACCGTGGACGCCGTTGTCGGAGCGCCCGCGGTGTTCGAGTCCAGGCTGTCGTCGTGGTCGTGCAGCGACGGCGTCGCCGAGGACGACGACCGGTTGCGAAGCGACACCGTCTCTGAGGACAGCGACGGCAGAGGGGTGCTGCAGTCGGTCGGGCGTCCTTCTTCGGCCGAGTCCAGTGCGGCCGCGGAACGCAAGGTCGACAGGCCGCTGTCTAAGAACAAACATAAAAGGCAACGGAACGATGAGGATATGGAAACTGCGCTAAGAGGGGATAAAGGGGCAGCCCTTACACCCCCCACCTACTTTAATCACCTATAGGGGGGTAGGGGTGCGACGACTATCCCGCACCATGCCATTGCTCTCTCGGAGCTGTCTCGTCATTTGATGTGGTGCAGGGTTATGGCGAATCATGCTTTTTGTTTTACTCTAATGGCGGCCAAGAACCTCCGGTGCTGCATTGCGAGAACTGTATACCCACCATTGCCCCTTCAAAGCTCGTGACCAATGAAAGGTCGTCGTGAGAAACACATCATCGCTTTATTTTCATTTTCGTATTCATTGCGGAGCTTGTGTTCTGTCGGACTCGACGAAGGGGTAGGCGGGGGTGGCGGTGAAACTTGCCCTCACCTCTAATGAAGAACAATGAACAAGCCTATGCGGATGAAGAAGAACCGACCACTAGGCTATTCGGTAGTTCTTGAACATCTCCAAGAGAACTCAAGAACGAGATGGACACGACGAAAGCACAGGAAGCAACACAGCTTTGTCATCGTGGTCTGTCCTCGACATCTTCAACGCTGTCATCATTGACCTTCTGTGCTGTGGTATGTCCTATTACTCCTATATGCGAGTACATTCCTCTGAAGCTCGTGTCATTGTGTTGTTTTGAAGGTGCTCTGCCACGGAGGAGAGTGACAATGGTATTGAAAAAAAAAAGGCGAACAAGCGCCGTGTTCTTTCTCTCTTTCTCTTTCTAGCATCACAAAAACTACAAGCAGTAAAGAATCACCCCTGAACAAAAAGGCATGCCACCCGCTCCGTTAACTGACACGCTAAATACCGTTATTCATGTCGTTCTTTCGGCAATATAGGGGCACAATAGACAAAGTGCGCGATTCGCTTTAAATATATATTTTTTTCCTTCTTACCTATATATCGCTACAATATTCACTTCGTCAATCCGTTCTCTCGTAGTACAAGTCGAACCGCAGACTTGTCGAGAAAACCGTTGCCCCAGTTCCTTTGCATTTCATCGTTCCAAGGTCTCTACATGCCGGCGCTGCTCTGCGCGCGTGCTACGTCACTCAAACAGAACAGCAGGTCAAGTACAGGCCTTGAGATGGTGGGGAGGGTTTGATGAAGAGGGGGTCACGGAAAAAAAGTGGGGGAGGGGGGTGTGCGGGCCAAGTGCCGCGAGTGCGGAAGCTACTACTACATCGGCGGCAGAGTTCTCGCAGGAGGGCCAGGCCGGGCCACGATGACGAATCGTGACCATCACCACTACACGGCGTCAGTGAGCAGCAGCCAGCGACCATTTCTCAAAAGGCACGCAAATCAGCGCAGGGGAGGGGCGAATGACGCGTCTTGCAAACCATAGGGCCGCGGGCCCGGGGTCGAAAATCGAGGAAGAAATTAAAAATAAAGCGATGGGGACGGTGCCTGCTGCTGTCCTAGACACAGACTGCGCACTTCTAGCGTGGAGAGAAGAGCGGTTGCATCGGAATCACGCGCACTGTGAAGGGCGTGGAAACCCAACTGTTTCTACTTGGCGAGAGAGAGAGAGAGAGTAGTGACAGGTGTGCGGGGCCAGCTATAGTTGGCGAGCGCGCTCCTTACCTGCTTCTTCGGCAATCGTGGCCGTTGCGGCAGCTGGAGGCTGCAAGTGGCCTCCCGCCATCATGGCGACAGTTTCGTCTCCGTTCTCCTTGGGCTGCAGCAGCTGCGGCTGCTGCTGCCGCTGCTCCAGTGGGTCGTCTCGCACGTCGCGGTGGTTGAGTTCTACGAGGCCCGCCTCTTCCTCGCTTTCGATGCGGTCCAGGACCGGGTGCTGGTCCATGGACGGCGGCCGGGTCGACCAGATGGCCGACGCTCGCTCCTCCTCCTCAGGATCGAACAGGGGCCTCCGGTCGCCGAGAGGTCTACAGCGGCAGGTCGTCAATAAGCGGCGAATAGTTTAGAAAAGAGAGAGGGAAAGAAAGGGAGCGAAATTGCGTTGGGGTGGATAGACGTTAACACAACAGAACTAAAAATTACGAGTGCAGACAGGAAGAACGCAGTCCATGTCTGTTCAACTATTTACTCCTCTGTAGATTGGCAGCAAACCTGGCGCAACCTAACTAATCTCCCCCCTTCTTTCCCTTTGTCTGAAATAAAACTGCGCAGGGAATGGAACACAAATAAAAGCAGGTAGGACGAGCGCAGTCCATGTCTACTGCGCTCGCCCTACCTGATTCTATTTGTGTCTCATTCCCTGCGAAGTTTTATTTCAGGCAAAGGGAGAAGGGGAAATTAATCGGGTTGCGCCAGGCTTGCTGCCAATCTACAGAGGACTATGTAGAAGAACACAGAGAAGGAAAGGGAAGAAGGCAGAACAACTGATATGTCGGAACGCAGAACTACCAGTGCAAGGCGCTGTAATTTCAAAGCGCACAACTCAGGGAGGAGCCTCCATGGTTGATTGGGGAGACCTCCTGCCTATATTTCAATTTAAGCTTAGAAACAAAGAAGATGGGAAAGAAAGATGAACTGGCGCCTGCGCATACACAGCAATAAGAGGCAACGCACTGTGATGTGGACGAAGTTTCAATGTACATAAACGACACTGTCAGAAGATTAACTCATTCAAATTTTCCACGCAACAATGTTTCAATTCATACACAAGACAAGTCTAAGAGTACATATAGAATACGTACATGCACCACGAATTATGCAAAAAGGGTGAGTTTTAATCGCAATGAACAAAAAAATTCTTCCGGCATGAATTGTGCGCTGGACGTCTGTGTGCCTATTCATACAGTATTTGAATTTTAATAAGGGTCTAAGCTCAGCGGCCAAGCAACACAAGTTGCTAGCGCACGCGCTTATGCTTGCAAATGTCAATAAAGCTGTAAACTTATGCTACCAAATAAATTAACGGGTTTGACATAAACTACCTTGTCTTAAATCGACGTTATTTTCAATGTTCTTGAAGTGTAGATAAAAAAATGAACGAAGAGGGAGAGCCACAGTACAGCGTTATTCCTCAGTAGCACACTACTGCCTTCCTCTATGCTAGCTAGCAAACTGGTTGACTTCCAATTTATCCTTAGTGTAATAACGAATAGTCCAGGCACTACATTATAGATGATTTCATAAGAGCATTGGAAACAGAAATCAATGCTCATCTAATAGCTCTAACACTCCGCACACTTCAAGGTTTCATTTTTGCGATTGCACTTTGAAAGACTTGCCATCCTGGCGCACAAGCCAGCAACGAAAACGTAGTTTCATTACGTTTTTACTCCAGCGCAGACTCGCGCACAGTAGATAAAAAAAAAACAAGTCAAACGATTCCGTGGAGCTACTCAATGCAGCAGCTGTTTTACAGGTGCTCGAATAAGAAAGCCTACTTGGAACAGATCGCAGGTAGCTGTATTCAAAAATTTTTCTGGCATTCAAATCAATTCAATTCAATTTTTATTTTTCCAGTTTTTACATGCTGGGTGGTTCTGTTGGGTTAAAAGCTACACGATTAGCTTGACGAGACCCAACGACCAGACTATACTATATTATACAACAATTATACAGGGCAGTAACGACAAGCAGTTCAATGCAGTGGTGAACAAACCAAAAAGTGAAACAATTTAAAACACTATCATAATTTCATATACATGACATTTAAATATATTGTCAGCACAACAAATGCACTAGAGGACAGGTGAGAATAAAATAAATTTAAACATGCAAGCGAAGAAAAGAACACCACAGGAACCATGCCAACACACAGTGAGTAAAAACGCACACTGATTCTTTAGCACATAAATAATTGCGGAAGATGCTTACTACGGGATACGGACGTGGGGTGTTTATTTCCAAACAATAAAATTCATGCTATCGATAGAGGTTCCTACACAATTGCAAGGTCCAGCATACAGACCCAGCGTTTCGGCAAATCATGTTTGTTTGGCTTATGTTTATTTTTTTTTTTGGGGGGGGGGGGGGGTAGGCGTAAGTTTACCTAGAGCTATATACAATCCTGCGCTTACCATTACTTTCGCTTTCCCTTCGTTCGCTCGTGCATATTACGGATGTACAATGACTATCTGTATGCATGTAATATATCTTTTTTTTGCACCTGGAACTCTTACTTATTTTTATTTTTGGGCCCAAAACTATAGCCTTTCGCTAAGGGTACAACCAGTTTCGACATTTTCGTGTTTTACACTGTCAAACAAAGAATTGAATCGAACTGAATATGAAGTCGCGCTCACTGCTTGTCATTCCCTTGGTGCTCATTAAGCTACACATGTTTCACGTAAGAAGACCCATCTGCCCCTGTATTGGAACGTTCCTTGGGCCGTGTTCTGTGTGACCATCTTGCTGCGTATATAGTATACTCGGACGGTGATGCAGTCACTACTACTTCTTTCTGTCTTTATTTTTGTCAAGTGCCACAAACTCTTCCTCTTCCCTTCCATTCATTCATAACCCATTTTCTCCTTCCCAAGTACGGGGTAGCAAACCGAAGCCTTCATCGGGTTATCCACCCTGGCTCTCTCTCTCTCTCTGTCAGTCTCTATGTGCCATATTTCAACTATTCCTCGTGTCTTCCGTGTACTTATCGCGTATAACATAACTATTCCATACAGGTCTTAAATATTTGCCATAAATTTACGATATAACTGTGTGGAAACATACGGAGTGATCGAAATTTCTTATGGAAAAGTTAAGCTTATGTTAAGTTAGGTTAGGTTAGGTTAGGTTAGGTTAGGTTAGGGTAAGCTATATACGTGAGGTTAAGTCCAAGGAGATCAAGAAAAAAATATTCCTGTTGCAATGTAAACTATCCGGTATCAATTCATGTAAGCTGACTCCTTTAGACAGTACCAGCAATGCATATACGCTACCCCCCCCCCCCCCCCAGTACCTTTCCAACAAAATAGTTGTAGTTCCGGCAAAATACAAACGTCAGCGTGATTGCAGTGAGCTGTTTTGAACGGCTGAGTTCCACAAGTTTCCCTCAAGTAATTACCGAACTTTAATCACTCGTCAGGAAAAGCAACAGCGTCAAAAGTGCGCAGCTTTGTCTCCATTTGTTATGGGCTGTTACAAAAAACAGCCTGATTTGGCTGCTGGCTAACTGGCGCTGCTCTTTGTTCTCTCCTGCTCCTCCCGTTTCACGAAATGTTTCTTTGCGGCTCAGATCGTCTGCATTAAATAAGCTCCAACTCACCCAAAGACAAGTCCATTCGCAACATCCAAACCTTTGCCCTGCCTTCCACCTCGATCTTCTAAATGGATTACGCGACATACTACATACGAACTGCTAACCATTCGGGGGAAAAAATAATGAAGTAGGCCAGTTCGCGCTTAAAAAAAAGTGGGTAACGATTCAGAGTACTAGATACTCCACTATGGGAGTGCATAAAGCCATTCACGGAGAACACAAACATTCCACGACCGGAGAATGGCTTATTTGTGTGTTTAGAACAAATTTTTTCAACAAGTCCGAGTACTTGGTACTCTACTATGGGAGAGCATAAAGCCGTCCCGTAGGCCTCCCACATGATGAGGCCCTGTCGACGAAAACTTCAGGATACCCTCACTGAAAGAATTGTTCGTCCAACCATCGCTGAGGCACATATATGATTGACATTAAAAGAAACGAATTTTATCACACCATCAAACGCTCGTGGCTAAATCCATCCAAGTCGCCGCCTCAAATTCAAGGTTTGTTTTACGAGCATTTATGAGACGCAAGAGTCGAGATGGTTCGCCACGTCAAGGTTTATGTAGCGCACGAATGGCCGAAAAGACATTGTTTTAGGCTACACAGCCGCTTCAGTTCGTGTGAAACGAGTTTCCGAAATTCTGCTGGTCTTGAAAATGATACGACTCCATAATTAATAAGTGTTTTAAGCTCACATATTAGTAGCTTCAACTACAGTTTGAATTACTTTTTCTGCAAAGGGAAAAAAATATTGCTTTTACGTCAACCCGTACTACGGGAGATAAAAAAATTCAAGAGGCTCAGTTGCTCGAACTATAATATTAATTAATTAATTAATTAATTTAAAACGTATGTGTCGACATCAGTTATACTTGTTGAATTTGAATTTTGTGTCCCCTCATTCAAAAGCAGAATGAAATTTGTATCCTCTGCTCCACTTCACCTGAGCAAATGTATGGGTGGAGGGACCTTAGTCAGGCAGAGGTAATCTGCCTTTAGTCACTTCAACCTAGGCAATCATTGTTTTTGTCTGAATAAACAGCGAATGAATGAATTGCTTGGGTTTAACGTCCCAAAACCAGCGTATGATTACGAGAGACGCCGTATAGTAGAGGGCGCCGTCAATTTCGACGAACTGTGGTTCTCTAATGTGACCTAAATTTAGGTACACGGGCTTGAAGCATTTCCGCCTACATCTAGAATGCAGCCGCAGCGGCCGAGACTCGATCTAGCAAACTTCCAATCAGCACTCGAGTAGTGTAACCACTAAACCATCGTGACGAGCTTTAGGCTACATAAGAATCAGCTACCAACACGTGGTGAAGTTTCCGACGGTTTAAAGACGCACTGACACCAAACTTTTCAGTCCTATTTAGTTTTTTTTTTTGTGTGTGTGTCACATGTAACGCCTAGGCCCTTAAGAGCCTACAAAATACACTATAAAGCGCGAGCGTACTCTGAAAAGTAATTACTGTACGTTTCGAAATACAGTTTCACCTTCTGCTGCAACCTGACGTCACAACACGGACTGTTACATGCTCACGCAAGCTACCGCGCTGTTCCCAAGACCGCCCAGCTCCGTGGCTCAGTCGGATATGCACAAAATGTCACATTGAATCATCTGGAACCTGACGTCATTACAGATAGTCATACTGGTACGAGAAGCAACCTGTCGCCTGACTTCACGACAGTGGCGATGCCAGCAGCCGC